AAAGAGGCAAACTTTCTTTCTCAGTTTTACAGAAAGAATATTTTCACGTAAACTTGACGATTTTGGCGTGTTCGTAATCAGCCAATAGAACCGTTTGTTATTGTGTAGCGCGTTACGAGAATTTTGCAGTTAATCAAAGGGCTATCTTTATTAAAGATAGCTTTAATAAAAAAGCAAGCATTTTTGTCAGCTATGTTATAAAAGAATTTGCTCATGCTTTTAGCTGTGCGTATATCGAGATATGGATGCACTTGGGAAGTTTGGAGAGCACTCAAGAAGCTAGAGTTACACTCGGCTATCGCCTCGTGCAACTCTTACGCATCTTTCGTGCTCTCCAAACTTCCCGCGTGCATCCATAACTCGATATACGCACGCTAAGCATGAACAAATTCTTAATTTCACGGTAAAATTCTTTTTGAGAAAGACAACGTTGCAGAGAATGATTTGTGCACTCTATAGTCCGCACAGCTAGCGCAGTTGACAACGGCAACAACAACACTCGCATATTTCCCTACGATCGGTTAACAAATTCAACAGTTTTCTCTTAAATTTACGTTATAGAACACATGGTAAATGCTTCATCGTTTTTATGGATGCACTTGGGAGACGTCTTAGGAGGATTGCTAAGCTCGCAAGAGCTCGCGGTATAGTTTATTGACGTCATCAGCGTGCTCAATGGGAATATGCAGCACTCACGCGCTATTGAATTTGATCAGGCGAATTTTCTAGCTATGTTATAAGTTCCCTTATAGATTAACTTCTCTTACTCCCTCAGAACCTAACTAACATCGATTAAGCTGTTGGGCACATTATGCCAAAAAAGCGCTTACGTGAAAGAGGTGTACGTATGTTTTGCGACTGCCGGGAGTCTGCTGATAAATTCCTACATCATGTCTCGAGCTTTTTAAATATCATGAAGATTACGCTACATTGAGGTAAACTCGGTATATCAGCAATCAGACTTCAAGTCTCACGGCTTAGAAGCAGCAGCGTATTCTGCAGTTAATTAATGCGTGTTTACAGTGTGACCCGAGCTCAGCCAACCGATTTCTGTGGCAAGAGCTCACGGTTTACTAAATACAAAAACAGTGCATTCTGAAACTTCCTTCTCTGATTTCGTTCTAAATGAAATTTACTGATTATCCTACCTGAATTACTGCTCTATCTTCGTACTAACTCCCGTGTAGTCACCTTTGCTTTAAATATGAAGCAATGAATGATTGATCAGCCTAACAAAGGACGTTTTTATTGGACCTGTTTTGAATAAAAGCATATCTGAATTGTAACATTCCTCAGTGACAATGGGTCACTCCTGGTTTGAAACTCGCTACGCTAGTATGCGTTTTTTCGCATTGCGTCCACACAGAAATTTTCCAAAACGGACGTGTGTTTGAAAATGACGGTTTGTAAACGCTCCCGAAAAAGGAGTTCGTTGGTTGTAGAGCTCCCGGCAAAAAAACCGAAGTTCTTTGAAAAAGCTGACGTCGTGGCCGCCCACTCGTGTATGTAACCCTACTCGTAATCAGGCCCCAGCTTGTCAAGCGTTGGATAGCGCTATCCACCGGATAAATCACTATCCAGCGCCCTTATTGGTACTTAATTTCGCTTTTTTCGCGATCACGTAAAAAAAAAAAACAAACAAACAAACAAACAAAAAACAAACAATCCTCGCCCATATAGAAAATTCAAATAGCAATTGACATGTCACAAAAGCAACGATATGTATCGACGAACACAAATTGCTTTCCGGTTTTACTGGAAAGTTCCATTTTGTATCTTTCGTTGTAAAATAACGTTAGTTTGCTAAGATTTCACACTTTGCTTGTTCCCGTTTATCCAGAGTTTTTTAAAAAAGAAAATGAAGTTGAGTATACTTAAATCGCGAAATTTAATGCCCTTTTTTCATGTTTACCTGTTAAGATCGCGAAAATAAAGCCAGGCGAAATTAAGTACCAATGAGGTAAATATTAGGGAAACCCAAATTTTTGCGTTTTCTACTTGACAGAAGAGAGATTAAGATTCACGTTTACCGCAAAGAGCAAACGTCACTTTCAAGTTGAGAATTTCTCAGAATAGAAAATAAGCGGGTAAAAACAGTCCCGAGCGATTCCTATGGTTAAAACTGGCATAAAACCGTATATTTTTTGTGTATAGGCAATAACGAGTAAATGGAAAATAAGGGGAAGACTTGGTCACGTGGTACAAATTCACGTCTGCCGCTTGGCGTAAATGTGAATCTTAATTCCTCTTTTGTTTTGTCCATTGGACAGCATTATCCACCTTTCGAACAATAAGGGCCAGAACGTCATAGGATTTTACTCCCCAAAAAAAGAAAATGCGCGTGTGGGACGATGGGAAAGGTAATGGAGGAAGAAGATTCCCGTCTTTTCCCTCTTCCCATCGTCCACCGCGCTCTTAATATTTTTACTTCTATTTTTATTGGAGTACCTTGCGCGCAGGAGCCTAAGCAGAGGCCCATAGACCCCATACGATATTGCTACCTCCAACAAAGCTCACATCCTCGCTATGGCCAGTGCCTTATGCATGCCATACCGTAACGATGGGAAGAGGGAAAAGGTGGGCTTGGATAAATTCTGTTCGTAAAATGGCTCATTTTGCCTGCCGGCAGTGCTCGTAAAAATCGCTTATTTTGCTCAAAATTCTGCTTGGACACCCTTATTCTGCTCGAATTCTGCTCGGTATGCTTATTATCCGAACAAATTTTCGGCCCTTCGGGCTGTATTTGCAGTTTCGTAAATATAGAAGGGAGCCTTCATTATGTGTAACAAAATTGTAATTCATCTTACTTATAATGTGAGTGCATTGTAGCAATAAAATAATCAAATTATTCAATTTGTTTTTTTCACATTTTTCTTACGACTGTTATGCATATCATTAGTGCCGCTGATTTCCCCTTATTCTGCTCAAATTCTGCTCGAAGCCTTATTCTTTCGGCAGACTGCTCGCTTCAAAAATCGCTGATTCTGCTCGAAATTTTGCTGGCAGAATTTTATATCCAATCCTAGGAAAAGGACCCGCGTGTCCCCATGCTGTCATTTTTTTCTTTCTCCCAAGCCTCCCTAGAGCTCCTTGCACCAAAATAAAAACACTTCTCCAATTAACCTAAAGTGTTTCCTATATGATTATTTGCGTTTGATATACCCATGACAAGTATTTTAATTTTTAAATATTTACATTTTACCCGGCGGGAAATAACAATAAAAGTTGTCATTTCTCTTTGATTGGAAAGCAATAGATTCTTCAGAAGGAGAGCCAATCAAATGAAATGCCCTTTTCATGCTGTTGAACACAACGTCACCTTGGAAACAGGGTTGAGAAGGGTGCTCTGTAATCGTGATTTGTCTTTGAAGAGTCGCTCGTCAGAAGCCCCGAGAAAGTGTTATAAATCGTCGCTGAGGCCTCCATGCACGACGTAGATGAAATGTAGGCAACATTTGTAGATGCATTGATTCGAATTTTGACGAATATCGACAATGTCTGAAGCTCCACAGGAAGAAACGAGATCGCGGGCAGCTTCACCTCCGAGCAGTGAAGTTGCTCCTCCACTGGTCTCGAATCCAAAAGGTAACTTATTCACAATTTGAAATATTTGGTATTTCTGCGATTTGTTTAAGCATAGCAACAGATAATAAGCGCAGATGAACGTTCGATGCATCTTTGCTTTTCTGCTCGCTTGCGATTCGCGACGTGAGCCGGTCAGGAGCTGTTACGCGCCTGATTAAATTTACATTGTCTGCTTGTTTTGGTTAGTTTCGCATAAACCCTGTTTGTGCAATATTTTCTGAGGGTTTTACTGAAGTAATATTTTTGAATTGTAGATGAAGAAGCAAAGAAAGGACCAAAGAGACGCGGAGGCGCTCCGAGATCTGCTGGAAGAACTGCCGCGAACGTTGGCCCGGTAATTTACAATTCGAAGCCCTACATTTGTGATTGCGCACAATTATTTCACTTACCATAAGTGAATGTTTTCTCATTGTTTTTCAGAAGTGATTTTGTAGCGTAGTTTACTTTAGGAAATAAAAGCAATGACATTTTATCAATTTGATATTAACTTGAACGAACTAAGCTGCTGCATCGATCGATCGTGTTAGTCTGTTCAGTACAATGTAAGCTTATTTGATCTTAAACTTAAGCTTATTCCGTAATGATAATAAACCTTGCTGTATTTTAATTTCAAGTTATGACGTCTTATTTACTCGGTGTACAAAGTGGAAATTTGTCCAGAAACTGCTTTTAGCTGTTGTAGTTTTAAGCGTAAAGCTTAATTTTTATCTACAGAAGAAGACAGTTACTCTCGTCAGTGGCTCTGAAGCCATGAAGGAAAGACAGAAGCAGGCAAAGGCGCTCAAAGAGAGCCGAAAACTGGAGGTAAATCTCATTGTCAATAAACAAACAGTAATTCATGAAACTGCCATGCATGCTTTTTTTATTACAGTAGAAAGCAGGGCAGAGCTCTTGTACCAAGAAAAGAAGTTGCACGGTCCAAAAGTTGGTCTGAAATCATGTTATGAAACAAAAAATTGTTATTCTTAATTTGTAAGGTGTTTGAATCATTTTGGCACCTTACTAGTGACCTCTGGCAGTAACTAGTGTGAACCTTAGACTCCGTTTACACGGGTCCGGAAAAATCTTTGAATGGGCAAAAACTTTATAGATTTGCCATAACCGTGCAAATTTTAGAATAAGCAAGTTTTGTATGGACTGCTGTGAATAGTACTGCAATCTGTAACAGAATTTGAGAGGTGTATAAATCTGCCTTCGAACTGGGCCTTAGGAATGTTTGTTAGTAGCCTAGGGGTGTACTTTTGAGGCCCAGCTGAACTATTCTCTCAAGTACAATTCTTCAAATTCAAAGTTTGTGTTAATCTATTACTTTTTTTGACAAATGCTTTTTGATAAACTCATCTTCACCTAACTGCTTTGCTTTTAGATGGATTCCAGGCACAATTTCATATTTTCTAAGGTAATGTTGACTTTTTATGCCCATAAAATGACAGTTATTGCAATACTTATTGTTCTCTTTACAAGTAAGTGTTTGAAACTAACATATAGGTGGTGAGAATAACATCATAAACTCAAGAAAGCTTGTTAAAGCAAATAATATATAAGCCACCTGTTTGACCCATCACGGAATAGACTGTTCCTGATTCTCTCCATTGGGAAGTTTTAAGATTTCTTGTTTCTCCTCTGAGAAAACATACATTAACTGTAAAATGATATTTAGTGCAACTTCTAAGGCACAGGAAACAGACTTATGGAAAAAAATTGGTTAATTGAACATAGGATTTGTGGATTAATTTTTGCTGGCCATTACCCTGGCTCCAGTCAGGTCTCTTTTCAGAATAACTAGAAAGGTAAAGCTCCCAAGTTTTTTCTCTCTCAGCACTTCACACATCACTGTCCAGCTTTGCTGCAAACTACACGTATCATGAATTAGGAAAGATAAAAATCTCTTGCACGCAGGTCAGCCTGGCAATATTGCTGTTAAAGCCATTAGGACTTATGTTGCATGTTGTCGGTCAGCGGTCAGTGCTCACCTCCATGTGCTTAGTAGAGGCGGAGCTAGTGTTTCCTGGCAGCCACTCTCTTCATTTAGCCTTTGGATCATTCTTTCACCCCCATCCCTCTCTCTTTATTGTTCCACTGGACATCTCAGGCACCCACCTCCACTAAGCAATGCAGTTGTTAATTTTAAATAACATAAAATAGTATTGCAAACAATTTGGCATTTTTTATCCTTCCATTTGCATGTATCTAATATCAGCAAACTAAGGTAACATGTGTAATATAGTACCCTCTCGACAATGTTAGAGTGATTTTACTTAACCCGTGAAACAAGTAGTGGACTATAATGTACTACATGTACGCTCTATTATGCACTAATTCCATTGTTTTCCTGGGTAATCTTGTCGCTATTTTGCACTAGTTGTTAGTATCTGTTTTGCAGGTCAGGTAAAATCACTCTAATTATTTTGAGTAATTTTAAGAAGTTTATAGTTATGAAATCATGACAGCTGATGGGGATTGTTTGTTGGATAATTTTTTGTATAGATCTGTGATTATTTGGGCGTAGATGTTGCTGTTGTTGAAGACTTCATATTGGGAGATGAAAAGGTAAATGTCATATAACTGTCCCCTGAGGGCTTTCTGTAATGGTCTTTGTAGGGTAGCTCCACCCAAAAGGGGTATCTTTTGGAGGTTTTAGGTACATGTATATGAGAGGGTAGGGATTTCACCAGTTGAAGTATGTGATCTGAAAGGGTTGGGAAATCTGTCATCTCGGTATAATGTAAAAGGACTTAAAATGGCCTACAAAAGGGTTTTATGGTTGGGAAAAAAAGTCTAGTGAATCTTAGATTTTTCCAAAAAAAAAAATGTTTGCCAGGCAGCCTGGATTTCACAATTTCAGGGCACTGAGCTCCTTTCAATTTTTCCTGGAGTTCAACCTCCTTGTTCACTTATTTTTGTATTTTTTAATGTCAGTCTTGGATGTGTCAGTATTTATTTTGTACTCTTTCAATATTGCTTACTGTAAGATAATACATAAATCCATTTGTCTTCTCTTCCTCAGTTTAACCAACTAGAAAGCTTCTTTGCTTCTGATGGCTCTAGACGAATCATGTTTTTTTACCAGGAATGTAGTGTAAGTGTTTTAGAAAATACTTCAGCTTCATTGTTTAATTTTAATAATGATATCTTTTGTAAGTTCTTTGATTACTGCTATGAATCATTACAGTGTAACAGGGTGTAGTTTATCAGTGTGTTTATAAGTTTCTCCTCTAAAACTGTATTCACTTGCTTTTTTGATTTTTGTAGATAAACAGAGTTGATTTGAGCTCACAGGCTGCAAATTCACCAAAGAAACTGTTCATATCAGCAGGAAATGTAGAGGTATGTTATTATACTGTCTCACTTGGCTTGATTAGAATCTAATGATGCGTGACAATGTTTAAGGATGAGGGGCATGATTTTTAATTCCTGACTCTTACCACTGGCTCAGATTGCTGTGAAAACAAGGATATGGGGATAATTGCTAATTGCAGTTGAGTAAAAAAGCTAGATTGATTAATAAAAAAGCCTGCTGAGCTTTTCCTTATAGCTACATCTCAGAACGAACGTACAATTTCTGACAATTAAACTGGGTCACTTCCTTCCAATTCTCCTCTCCTTTTCTCCCAATGTTGTTAAGGAATAGTTTTTTGAGCTGATCATGAGTGGACCCATTTTTGTAGCCAACATTGAGGAAAAAGAAGAGAAGAATGTTGACAATAGTTATATGGGCATTCATGAGGTCCTTGACCCAGGTTGTAATGTCACATGTTGTAGCTGGTTTTTTGCACCCATTTTTGGATTTTTTGTTTAATTCCCTGTAGATCATTTGCATCTTGTAATTCCTTGATTCTGCCATTGTTAAGAGCACTTTTCTACGTGTAACATGTATTTACCAGTGTCAAAATTCCAGAAGTATTCCTTCAATTGCATTAATTTTATTGTTTTAAATTATTTCCAGGAACTGTGTGGTACTTGCCTGATGTTTCTTCGCTCAACAACAAAAGCTATCACTATACAAAATGTTGCCCAGGTAAAAAGACAGACAGAACCTTTTGAAACCTTTGCGTGGCTTTATACAGGTTACATTCGACAGGTTATACATCAGGGCCCAGTTGTTCGAAGGCTGATTAGCGCTTAACCCGGGGTTAAATTTAACCCGGGTTTCTCTTTCTTGTGTTCAAAAGCATTTTCTCGGATAATTTTCCCTGTTATTTTTAGAGCTTCTAATCATCAACTTGTAGTCAAAAAGAATTAAAATGTAAATGCTTTTTAGGCTTTCAAATCTGAATTCAAATCTTGCGCTAACCGTGGGTTATATTAACCCAGCTTTGAGCAACTCGGCCCTGTAGTCCGCTTGTCACAGTGCCACAGATGAATGTCTCAAAGAACAAAGGATAGTATCTCCTAATGGCCTAAAATTTAGTTTTAGTTCAAGTGAAAATCTTCCAATATACAGTTATATCGACTTATGATGACTGTGGAATTTGATCCGCAAAAACTTAAGGATTGGGGAACACAATGTTTGAATGACCTTTATAACTGCGTTACTTAAAGTGTTATTATGTGTAAACTTGCAGGAAGTAAACTTTATGGCCATGGAAGCTTCAAAAGGAGATATCCTGGCAGGATTTCAAAAACTTTTTGGAAACATTTTTATTCCTGCACTCCAAAAACAAGAGGTAATAGTAATTTACTAAGACTTAGTTTTACCTGCATTTTTAATGTTGGCTACACTTTTCTCTCTAGCCCCCTCCAACTTAAACATTAAAAATTATTTTACTTTTAAAGCATGTTCTTATACTTCCTTTCCTTTTTTTAGAATTGGGGTGAGCTGCCAGGTAACTCTGGGCAAGTGCAAGAGTTCCTTGAGTCCCTTGAAAAGTTTGCTGGCATTCTAGGTGGAGCAAGAAACAGCATGAAAGGAAGGTGAGACAACAACTGCATTTTACTAGTCAATTTTTTCCTTCGAGTATTCACGTAATATTGACTAGCCTGTACGAAACTATGCCGCTGAATGGAGGGTTACAATGAGACATGCATGAACTTCTGACAGAGCAACAAGTTAATGTCTTGCAGTTAATAAAGCACTTTAATGGAACAAAATATGTGTTGCTGACTAAAATAAATATAATCAGATTGCACCTAGCATTATAGAAATGTCAAAGAAGGAAAAGTAAAAAAAATTAATGGACTCTCTGCCATTTTGTTTGAAATCCAGGGTTCAGCTTGGAGATCATGATTTAGGGCCTCTGCTTGACAGCCTCAAAACTCCAACTGATTACGTATTGGCTGGTAAGAAATCTTTTTCGTTTTTTAAAGTATGTTATGACTTTGTTGTAGTCATTGAGCACTTCACACCCTATTACATGCTTCAGTTATTAAGGACTGGTTACTTGACAAAGTTTACGTAATCTTTTGGCTTGACAATTTTTGTTTCTTTTTTTCTAGACTGTGTTGGTAACTTTTGACAGTGTCACAAATAAATGTTAAAGTTTTATTACTTTGCCTTTTTAATGTCATTTGATTTTCAAGTTGGTGTTGATGGTCAATTTAGAGCACCACAATCTCATTGATGTATGACTCATGTGTTTAAAAACTTCAACAACAACAACAACAACACTTTATTCACATTTCCATTACAGGGTTTGTCAAACTTATTGAATAATTAGTAACTTAGCACGTAGAATATTCAATTACAATTTAAACTAAATATTATTACATAGAAGGAAATGCCTAGCGGCTAGATAACCGTAAGGTTTTCGAGCTAGCAACTAGTTCTTTGAAAGTATATAGTGTCGAATGTACAGGACATCACAATAACTAGACATACATCTTAAGACATACACACACCATAAAAATAAAAGAAGAAAGCACATAGATGGCAGAAAAAAAGAAGAGAAAACAGTCATCATAGTACATGACGATATGATTAAAATAAAATAATTTCAGTACTTAAGTTAATTGTTCGGCCTTTGCGGAGAAGTGTTTGACCGACTTTTCCAATTCAGAGAATGACTTTTCAATCAAGGTTAATTTAGCTTTTAGAGGTCCAATTTCGGCCTCCAAGAGTGACTTAATTTCATCTTTAGTTGCCATCAAAGCAATACAATTGCAGATGCCTGCACTTAACAATGGTAGCCGAAAATTTGGCCAACGTTAAAAAACACGTGCGGCTGCCATTGCGCCATATGCTAATCACTTTACCTCAAGCAGACTGTTTCTGCTGAGTTAAAGCAGATCAGTTTAAGATTCTGGGAAAGTGCCCTGGCCACCCATCCCTACCCTAACCCAACATTAACAAGTCAGCTACTTACTAAGGGCAAAATGTTGGGTTAGCAGAGGGGTAGGTTGGCAGTTTCCCAGGATCTTACATCAGGGCTGTTATTAAGAGCTCAGGGGGCCAGGGATTTCCGACGGCTGTTAAGAATGTGGCCCCTGGCTACTTTCATACGAAAATAAAAGAAAAATATGACCAAATGAAATCCCCAGCTCTTTGATTCCCTGCCTACTTGTTGTATTTACCTGGCAATGTGAAATCTTGGTGACATTCCTGTGATATACTTAAACCAAGGGCTGTCACTAAGATCCCTGTCTCCCAGCCTTCATTGATAGCCCTAGCTGACAACTATAGTAAGTTATAAATCAAGATGAATTAGGTCGAATCAACCTCTGTGTTTTTTTAGCCAACAATCCTGATACAGTGGACAAGCTTGAGGGTCTTGTAGCTTTATGGTCCAAAGTAATTGAGCAAGTTCTTGCTGAGAGTGAACAGGTAGGTCATACACCCCTGTGGCTCATGTACAGTACTCTACTTACTTTTGAATTTCCTACTAATTTATTGTGAGGTAGGCTGTAATAGGGAGAATCTGTGTCTGCAATAGTTCAGTTTTGAATTCGTTGCAGCCACTTGAATAGATCGAAGCAGCTGAAGACTCATTTATACAGGGTTAGCCTCGTCTCACCTAATGTAAAATATTCTCAAAAACTGGTGACAAGGTGCCTGAATTTGATTTTAAAACAATACACAGAGTTGAACACAGATCTTCTTCTGACTGGAATTTGTGAATATATTCTCCTTCAGGTTGAGACTAACCCTGTATAAATTAGTCTCCAGTGCTTCTATTCATGACGTGTTTGCAACAAATTCAAAACTGGACTATTCTTTAACATTAGTTGCCATGTGGGACAGAGTAATATACTGTTCAATTGTATCTTAGTTTTGTGACCCATGGGTTGGAATTATAGCAGGCATTTAATCACTTTTCTCTGTTATGGTTTCTTTTCCAAGATGAGGAAAGAAGCAGACGACATTGGTCCAACAGCAGAACTTGAACACTGGAAAGAGAGAATGGCCAAGTTTAATGTGTATGTGATCTTGACACAAGTGACACTAGACATATAAAAATATATATTATCATATAAAATGGCATTTAATGTTCTGAATGAGTGCACTTTATCTCCTTTGGAACTTAAAGGCTAGACATTCACTGAAGGTAATGGAAGGTACGTTTTAAAACAAGGTCAACCCCAGCCTCAAACTAACTCACAGGTCATGTTACTAAGAGAAAGCTATAAAATGGCACTGATTGCCTTTTCAAGCAGGTCCCTGATATTTCTCAGTACTTTGCCGCCTCCTTCAATAAAAAAAACATAGTTTGCCGTGTAGATTTAATTGGTATCATAGTGCCCAATGTAAAACAGTTGTATATTCTTCAAAAGGTAAATAATTTTGATGTTTAAGAACATATTTTGAAAAATTAATCTGCGCATCAACTGTTCTATTTTTTCTTCAGTCTTGTAGACCAAGTGAAAAGCCCCCATTGTAAGGCCACAGTAGGAGTACTGCATGCTGCAAAGTCAAGAAGTCTAAAACATTGGAAAGAGCTGGTAATAAACCAAGAATTGTGATAAAAATACTTCCACTTTTCAGAAAGTCGTGCTGACCAAATTGTTTTTTTGCTTTCATGCATAAAAATCTTGACTACATGGCTTCATTTATTCTGAATACAGGACAGTAGGATAACTGATGCAGCCAATGAAGCAAAGGACAATGTGAAGTACTTGTACACCCTGGACAAGTTTTTTGGACCACTCATCAAGTGCACTCCGGTGCGTATACGTGACCTATTAATTCACTATAAACCATGCATCAAGGACATTACGTTCGTCTGATAAAGAACTACTGGTACAGTCCTGCTGCCATCTTAAAACATATGGGGAGCGAGCTTTCTCCTTTATTGCCCCAAAACTATTTAATACCCTCCCATTAAGTATAAAACGTTGCAACTCGGCAGACTCTTTTAAATTTTAGAAATTACTTTGAATTGTAAGAGTCATTAATTATTACATTTTTTCAGGCTTTTTTTTAAAAATGTTACTCAGTTTTCTTTATCATTCACTGTTGTAAAGTGCTGTTGGTTCAGTAGAGAAGCAGCGCTATATAAGATTATTGTTATTAATAATAATAATAATATTATTATTATTGTTGTTATTATAATGATTTTAGCATACAGGGTGATATTAGGTGGAAACGTTTTGGACCCTTAAGTTTGTATTGCTCTCTTTATAAGGTTGTGCATGTTGTTCAGGTCACTGGTATGACTTGTCTTACTAGTTACATTTTGGGATGAGATTGTGCAAAATGATCACTGTATATCTCGTCTGTCACTCAGAAGTCACCAGAACATTGCAGACATCTGAATAAATCAGCTTCCAAGAAGTTATATATGGTAGAATCCCTCCTTACCACCACATCGGCCAAGGTCCTCATTGCGGTTTTAAGTAGACAGCTAGGATGTAAAAGTAGGCAGCTTGGCAGTTGATTGCAGAAGACAATTTTAGGACTTTCACTCTCTATTATTACCCTTTTTCCCAAAAAGTAGGTGGCTTTTAATTTTAAAAAATTAGAAGTAGCCAGTTTTTATGCGGTTGCCAGCACTAAATGAGAACCCATGGTCTTCCTGTTGCGTGGAATGTAGAAACACTCAGTCAGTTTCTCAATCTGAAAACCTCAATGATTTTACCTGGATTCCATGGGCTATAGATGGTCGCATCAACGTGGTTTTGCTGTATCAGGAGTTACAAAATGTTGTGTTTATGCTCTGTTTCGTTGGGAAGTTTTCTAAATATATTTAATTATGCATCTCTTTGACATGTGCTCTGAATAACCAAGTTGTTTTTGATGTATCTATCAGACTGAAATGGTGGAGCATATTCCAAGTTTGATGAACGCCATCAGAATGATCCACAGTATTTCTCAATACTACAACACCTCAGAAAGAATGACTTCTCTCTTTGTCAAAGTTACAAACCAGATGATAACAACTTGTAAGGCGTACATTAACAGAGATGTCATGAAGATTTGGGAACATTCAAGGTATCAGTCCGTCCAATCAGCCTTGCCTCAACAATTACTGTCAAAGGGACAGGTTCACGGTTCAGCGCATGCTCGTTAATCAAAATGCCATTTTTCTGCCGGGACATGCGGTATCGTCCATGAAAGCAATATGATCATGTCATAATGTTGTCAAATGGAACCAGTCTGCACACTCCCCTGGCAGGCACTTGATCAACTTAGGTGCAAATAGCTGTAAATTAATCAACCATAGAATAAAACCCTAGGGTCAACAATAAATTCAACGTTGGTAGTGTTGGCATAATCCACTAATTTTTCTGCGGTTTTAGTACTCCTCCATCCTACTTCAGGTTACTCTGAAATACACTTCTTCTTTGAAATACACTCTGAGATCGCTGAGATACATGTGAGTGGGATTATTAACCGATATAATTAATAATAAATTGAAAAAAGCGTAATTTAATTAATGAGCATGCGCTGAACCGTGAACCTGTCCCTTGAACAAGAGTTTTGCTGAATGATCAAGATTCTCTATTTTTACCATACTTTTCGTATGTTTCAATAGTATTGCATAAACTAGGACCATAAAGAGCATTTCCAGTTTAATCGTACACAGATCTTAGTAGTCCAATGTTGTATACAGTAGAACCTCGAAATAAGGAACCTCTATGTAACAAAGTCCTCTGTGTAACAATCAGTTTTGCTTACCACAGTAATAGAAACCTCGCTATGGTGAACAAATGTTTCAGTCCGTTAGCCCCTCGTTACTTCGAGGTTTCACTATACAAGTAAATGCACGAAGAGACTGTCGCCTATGTTGTTCAATATTGTTGAGCTGTTCAGTGGTTTGCCGGCTCGTAGATTTTGTTTGTTCTCGAAACCACAACCTTGCAAACTCACCAAAAACTTAAAAAGATCTGTTCACTTTATTACCATTTCCATTTACATGTATGTCCCACGATCGCAAGCTATGGCTGAGTTCAGGTCTCACAACTTTCTTCATGCGTAAAAGCAAAGTTCTTTAATAAATTGTAACCTGTGGCTAACAAATGTTATCTCATATTTTGATTTAGGGAAGTGTTATCAGGAAGATTAAATGAGTGCATTAGACTCAATGCAGAGTACCAGAAGTGTTTTCACCGAACTAAGCAAAAGCTGCGAGAAAGTCCTAATGAGCGACAGTTTGAATTTAGGTAAGCATCCCTTCCCTGAATTATGAATCATATGTAATTTCTAGCATTTTAGATGCTTCAACGTATTGCAGTTTTTTATTAGGAACTGTACATGGCTATGTCCAATACTTGTGCAGTTATGGCCAGTCCAGGATGAAAAACTTCTACATTCTTTTTTTTTTTTAAAGGGGGAGTTCAACTAACTTTCTCATAGTTCTGACTGAATATTTTGTGTGCCGGCTGTTCCTGAGCAATAAGTGCTAGTAACGCAAACTCATTTTACAAGGAACGGGACCTTTCAGAGTGTCACATGTGAAATTTTTTGGTTATGGAGTAAGAATATCTCGCTCCTCATAGTTATTTCATGCTGTTACCTTTGCAAACTAGGGTAAAAAATTGTAACTTTCAAGTAAACCAAATTAAATGGCAAGACGGTATGGGTTCTACGAAAGCTACTGATTGTCGTTAGTCAGTCACCCATACAACAAGGGTTAAATGTAATATTATGTTCAAAAACGTTTGCTTTACAGCGAGAATTACATCTTTGGAAAATTTGATGCATTTTGCAAGAGACTGGAGAAAATTGATGACATGTTGAACACAATGGAAAATCTGGCTGGCCTGAATAGCATCAAAATTGAGGTAAGTTATATTTTTGGTAGCTGGGCAATTTGATTAAGTTTCCGCTATAAAACTGCTTGTTGACGGCAAAATGTGTTTAACTCTTGTGCTGTTTAAGAGTCTTGTCGTGATCATTGTTATGTTTCGTTTTTTTTTTTCAGGGCATGGAGACTATGATTGTCCGTTACAATTCTATTGTGACGAGTGTGAAGAAGAAAGGTTATGACTTGCTGGATCACAGGAAAGGAGAGGTAAGGGTCACTTTTTTTCAACTGCCGTTTTACCCAGTGATGCTTCATGTAACTTACTGTGCCTTTAAAATTTTCTCGTTAGTTTGACACTGACTATGAAGAATTCAAACTGAGCATTGATGGACTGAAACAGCAGCTGCAGATGTTTGTTGACTCTTGGTTTGAGAAACCATTGTCTGTAAGTATTCTCTTTTTCACAGCGTTAATTTTCATTGGCAAATGCAGCATAGATGCAGTATATGTTATGGTTTACTGAGGTCTGGGAGGATTAAAAGTAAAAATTTTTCTTTTGGCTACAGAAATGGAAAAAAGTATAACGTTGACCGTTTTTTGTCTCTTGCATTTGCCCTTTTTTTATCAGTGAAAGTCTGTTTTTCGATATTTTTGAAGACGTACTTTCTTAACCTTTTTTCTTTCCTTCAGACTTTGCGTGCTCTCGAATTACTCCAAAAATTTGAGAATATAGCAGGAGTCCAGTTGTATCTTCACGACAAGTACCAAAGAATACTGATGCAGTATGGAAGGTATTATTAGTGGCTTTTGAAGCTATTACCTAATTATTGAGGTGTACATGGCGATCATTTGTCTTGATTGAACTGCACCTTAATACTTGAAAGAGCTTGAGAATGTCTTTCACGACAATTTTTACTCCAGTGAGTAATAAATGGGTTATATTCGAATGGGAACAAGCAAACAGAAATGCTTTGCAATGATAGGAAGAGCCGAGAAGTACGTAGAGTGGGTTGGGAGCAAACAAGGCTGAAACCCTGTGAAAACGGGCCGACAAACAGAGGAATCCCAAATAGTTCGTAGTTGGAATGTGATGAATAATCGTTAATGGTATAAATTGATCCATGTGAGCATAAGAGAAGCATTGATATCTGCAACGTCCTACAATGATGATATTTTACACATTTAAGAAATATGTACATGTAAGAAAGATTCTATACTATATGCACCACTGCCTTTGTAATACATATCTCAAGAGCAGGCGTGTTGACAACAGTGAGATGCATGTAAACAGGACTGTTTTTAGGTTCTTAAGTGGCCTCTCATTTTTTCAGGGACCTTGAAACATGTAGGAAGCTGTATCAGAAGCAGAAAAATGACCCGCCAATTTTACGTAACCTTCCACCGGTAAGAGGAGCATGTAACGTTTGAGATTGTAGTTATTTCTCTCGCAAGCAACCCCCCTACCCCCCATGGTGCACAAAAAAGTGGTCGCCTACGGGAGGTGGTCGTCTACGGGAAAAAGCTCGCTGGGTTAGCGCTATTAAAACTTGACCTTTTGCGTCATTTGAGTGAAGATTTTGTTACGATCATACACGATCATGCCGGATGGTCGGTTACCGGAAAAAGAAAGCTTAAGAATATCTCGCATTTCTGGCCAAAAAGTGATCGCGGTGGGTTAAGAAATTTGAGTAGTGGTCTCGTACGGTAGAATTTTTTGAAACAGCATTTGACCGAGAAACAAAACGGTCATTTACAAAGTGTTCGCTTACGATAAGTGGTCGCTGTCAGAGAAATTGTGCCACTCCGCGAGCCAAGGCAAAGTGTATGGTAAGAACTTGATTTTTTTGTTTCTAGGTGGCCGGAAAAATAACATGGGCGCGACAACTTTTCAGAAGAATACATGAGCCAATGAGAATGTTTAAGTCGTATCCTGACATCTTAAAGGTGAGTCAATCATGTAGCTAATTTGTTTGTGTTCGTTTATAATACCGTTGTAATTTTTATGGTAGAGTGACAGTGTTCCTCGTCTAACAAACGTTTCAATTCGTTCCGAAAATATCGCCATGGAGTCATAGTGGCGATTGACAGTATTGCTTTGTGTGTTTGTTTTTTGATAGGGTGAAGACGCAAAGAGGATCATTCGTAATTACAACAAGATGGCAGCAGTGCTCGTAGAATTTGAGGTGAATTTATTAGCGCTTTTTCAAATAGAGGGAATTATTTCGATGTTGGTGTGTTTGGCAACTAAATTTCTACCACCTCTATGACAGGTGCAAAAACAGGACACAGCAAAAATACAGAGACTGTGGCGATACAAATAACTTCAATGTCTTTTCAGCTTTTTATAGCAGATTATGTAGGCCCCGTCGGACAGGTTTCTGAAAAAACAATACATAATGGTCTTCATCTTCCTCTTCTGAAAGCACAGCTGTCTAAAGCACTTTTTTTGTTTCCTTTAAAACCACTATCCTAACGTTTGCTTAAATTGCTTTTGTTGCTGACACTTGTGCCACTTTTCTATCCCTGTTACTATCTGTCCAGTTATTGTATCACCGTGGATGGTTCAGAGCAGTGGAGGCGGCTAAGAGTGGACTGAATGCATCATTGCTTGTGCGTCACCCAGAAACCAAGGTTTGTCATTCTCCTATGATTTCTCAATTTCAATAAACTAATAACCTTCCTGTCCAAATTATGCTTTGCAAATTTTTTGTAGGTAAAATATTGGTGCCTACTGGATTAGTAGCTGTATGTACAGCCACCTCTTCGCTCGCGTAATGATAAAATGTAACTCTTTTAGCAGATTGTGACTGCAAAAGGTCTGAATTCAATTCGTTTTCTCATAATGGGAAGTCGCGTAACTCCATATGATAAGCTAACAAAAACCTAAACTTACTTAACAAAGACCTGGTCACTGTTTTATTGCGCTTTGTTAAAAAAATATGTCTGTAAAGCAGTTAACATTTGTTGTTACTAACGACACCTGTCTATGAGGCTTGAAAGTAATGACCTAGTTTGTCTTTTAATGAGGCAAAAGTTACAGTTGCCTAGGGGGTTTATATAACTCTGTTCACTTGACTCACAGATTATAAGTAGTCTCAAAACATGACATTTTTCCTCTTACACAGAAACTCTTTGTCAACTTTGATCCACAAATCCTCGAGTTGATCCAGGAAGCAAAATGCATGCGGCGGCTGAGTCTTGAGGTACTAAATAACCATTTTTTCCCTGTAACATATTGATATTCCTACGTGAATTTGGCTTGCTTCTGAGCTGTACCCTCCGAGTTTCTGTACTAAATTTGCTCCTAGTAATCCTATTGAATATTTCTTTTCCAGATCCCAGAGGCAGCTCAAGTAATGTGCCTAAAAGAAGAACAATTCAAAACATGCAATAATCGGTAAGTATATAAATCATCCGTTTATTTTCAGATGACAAACGTAACCGTTTCCGGATAAGTACTACAATCAATTTTTGTTTTAGAACATGAAAGGTTTTCTTGTAGTGAATCAGCCAAGATGCAAAAAATAAGACGCCCGTGACGTGCTGATTATTAAATCTCTCACAGAATTAAGATCTTACTTCAGTTTGAACCTCTTAAGATCTGAATTCTTTGAAAGATGTAATTAAACAGTATGTCATGAGCGTGGGACAGAGAAAACATCCTACTTTTTTAGTTTTTATGTGTTTAAATTGTTCACATCTTGGCAGGTTGACTTCAAGATCCTTTTCTCCTTCATGCAAGATGAAAAAACGTTTGTGTTTTTAATCTCTCTTTGCAGACTGCAAGAAGTTTTAAAGGAGTATGATGAAGTTATCTCGGGTATCCCGGAAAACGTGCTTCCGTTGATGAAGCCATTCACCAATCGCGTTGATGAGACCATTAAACCTGGTTTGACGATGCTGAATTGGACTTCCCTCAATGTCTACACCTGTAAGTAGTCACTTTTAGTTATTGGAATGGACCTTTCACTTCTGCTTGCTTCAATTTAAGACGGAATCCACCAGGAAATTAGTAATTTTAATTTTTAGTGGACAAAAACCTTGTACCAGAATAATTTAAAGCATATTGCATTCTTTTTTAGGGGGCTAAATATGTAATTAGTCATCTTTAATAACACTAAAGAAAATCTCTTATGGGAGCCCGAGAAAATGAATGTCAAATTTGACAAAATTACATCTTACACATGAAATTTTCAGAATTTTACCTGTGTTTTCACAATTCTTGTGAAATTTGACATTCATTTTCTCAGACTTCCATGAGAAATAGTCTTTGGTGTTATTACAGATGACAAAGTACCTCTTTAGGCGTTGAAAGATGTAAAAAAGAATGCAATATTCTTTAAATTACTCTGGTACAAGGTTTTTGTCCACTAAGAATTAAAATTATCCAATTTCCTGGTGAATTCCGTCTTAAGTATAATATATAGATTAAGCCAGAGCTAAAAGCGAAGCTTCCATTCATGCATTTTAAATTTATTTCAGACAATGAACTTGAACCCAGTGCAAAGAAATTAAAAAACCTATACTTAACTTTCGGGACAACCATATGACCAAAAAACATGAACTTGAGCCTGCGACCAATTAAAAGCTAACAATTGGTCAGCGGTGACCTCGATGAGTTAGCACTTGAGCCCATGATACGGTTGTGTGACTGGTCAGCGAATACCCTGTTTTGACAGCTATCAATTGACCATAATATGGATGTCTATTATATCAAGTTAAACACAGGTTACATGCTCCCACACTAGCTAGAAAGTTTGGCATTTCACATTGGTTGGCCTGTGGTGCGGACGGACGGACGTACGGTCACGTGATTGCCAAAATGTTTTGGATGGATGGAAGATTACCAAATTCTTTTAGGTTTGGGGCTCCGCTATCATGCCATTTTGAAACAAAAATCAACAGTGCAGAAAATCTTTTCATGTCACCACTATCAAAAGCTAAGAAGTCAATTGTGGATATAGATATGGACAAAGAAAGTGTAAAATAATGCCATGCATATCTTTTTTATCTTTTCTGCAGATATTAACAGTATCCAAAAATCTGTTAAGGGTCTTGAAAGACTTACAAAAGAGGTATAGTGCGTGTTTTTTGCTGACTGTACTGCAGTGCAGTGTGTGATATTGTAATGATCTGATTGCAAAATAGCGAGGAGCAAAACAGGGATATCAAGCATCAGCCGGCTTTACAATGATGGGAAGAGCCCAATAATGACGTTATTGATTTTGATACGGTAACACAAGAGAACATGCTTTGTAATGTGACCTTAGCAGCACAGTTGTGTTAGAAAGGCTGAGAGGTACATGTATGGGCAATATGCGGTGTAGGAATTTTAATAAAGCAGGGGTGTTTTAGCGATTCGCGTGTGGACCGTACTGAACTCTGGCTAATGCACCTTTTTGGCGTGATTTAGTCTGGATGCAGTGAGTGCACTGCCAATTGTTTTCTAATTATTTGCTTTCACTGATATTTTCGTAGATAAAGGACATACTTGATTGCAGAATCGAGGCAGTTTTGCAAGATATCGAGTTAACACGACTCTGTGACCTGCCAGAAGATGAAGCTGTCTCTGTGGAAGAATTTGTTAGTGTAACAGAAAGAACATGTCAAGAATCTGCTGAGTCTCTGTCTAAGTATGTTTTTCTTCACGAAATCTTTCAATAATTTAATAAGCCAGTCTGAGTCAGCGTGCGGGATGACCCGAATGCTGCACTCTGATTCGTCACTGCCCGCATGGGGTACCGTTTCCATCTATTTATAATATCGTAATTTCAACCCTCCAAGTTAAAGTTTTTGCTTGGTCGCCATTTGACAACCAACTCTTTGGTTTAGGGAGACTTTTTTACAAATCAAGTCGCTAGCTCCAAAATTTTAGGTGCCATGACTTGGAGGGTTGAATTTTGACATACACGTAGTGTTCGCACCTGTCGGTCCAAGAAAGCTAATCTTAAGGAAGTGTACACATCTTATCCGACATCGAGTTAAGCAATTAAACAAGTTACAATGGAACTATAGGTGGAAAAAAAGTTTCTGTAATTGTTTGTCATACAGAACGGATGTTAAGGCTTTGTTTTGGGAGCTTTGTTCGCAATAGCATCTTCTTAACAAATTACCGTGATTAAAGACACATTCGCTCGTTATTCTTGTTAAAGGTTCAACCATCTGGTGGAAAGTTCAGTAAATACTCTTCTGCAAACCCTGAAAGACAACCTAAATTCAGACGAGTTAGTTGGTCTGGACAAAGAAAATTATCCATGTCTGTACCCAGAATCAAAGCAGGCAAAGAATAATAAAGGAAACAGGTGCTGGGAGTGTATGCCATGCTGTTACTGGGGCCTGTTCATCTTCTTTAATCAGCGATGCATTGACGCTTTGGTCAAAAGCACAAGGCAGTCTTTAGATGCCATTAAACGTCGCATGCAAGCAGCGAGTAAACATAGTAAAGAGAGTCTTGATGCAGACAACAAATCTCCAGCTCTTTTTAAAGTGAGTACCTATTCTACTAGACAATGTTCCTAGGGTGGTGCAATTTCTACACATAGTTTGTTAACGGTTACTGTCATTTGCGCCATCAGCTAGTTTTCATTTATCGTTTGTTTTGATAGCTTCCAACGACCTTTTCTTCCTCTGTACCTTTCCCTGTCTCCTTTTTTCTTTTTTTTTGCGTCTTCGTCTTTGTTCATTTTACTCTGTCATTCTTTCTTTTCCCAGTCTTTTTTTTTTTTTACTATAACTGTGCGGTTTCTCGCGCGCTGATTGGTCGAGAGCTATGGTCGATATGAGTACATGACGTGATGATGGCGTAAGTTCTTTGTGTCTTCCTTGCGAACGCGATTTTCCGAGAAGTTTGTATTTGTAATCAAATGGCGACGAGTGAAATTATTAAGATTTGGACAAAACACTAGTGAAATTATTCCCTAGTTTCACGAGTATACCATTTTATTACCTATTAATATCATGGGTGACGAATTACGTTTGCCATCGTGGTTTTGTGACATGTTTATCCTGGTTTTATCGATCGAGATCTGCACGCTCTTAAAAGTTTAGAGCCTAAATTTGGCTAAGTTCAGAATTTTCAGAATGTGTTGGACAAAATACCTGTTAGAATCTTTCTTGATGTGTTCTTTCATGTGTTTAGGTTTTCTAAAGCGTCTCTTAATGTCCCGACATCTCCATTCAAAGCATTTTAAAACTTCGTCGCCATCTTGGCACTGACGCGTACAAAAGGTTGCCATGGCAATTTTGTAATTTCACATGTGAAATTATAAGTGAACGCTGAAATTTCGCGCTAAAATTAAGGAGTAATTCGTCACCTTTGAAACTACTACAGAAATGGGCGTGATCAACTGTCAATGTTATTGTAAAAAACCAAGATCGACCTCAATTTTCCACGGTCTCTATTCTTTTTGACCGTAGAAATGACGTCAAAATGTTCAAAACTTACGGCTCGTGGTTCTACTTGAGTTTTGAACATTTTGATGTCTTTGCTATGGTCGATAAGAGTATAGACCTTGAAAAGATGAGGTCGATTTATTAACCCTTTCACTGGCAAATGTGGCCAAGGGCAAATTTCGACCAAATTTCCAAATTTCATTTTCTAAAATTTTGACAAACAAATAGTACCATGTTAAAGTACAGGCAGAGAGCTTTCATTTGAATGGTCACATCATAGGATTTCATCCATAGACTCAAAAGTTAGAGTCAACTTACAAAACCCCATCAAACACTCTGGCAGTGAAAGGGTTAATTCGTTCATGACGCATACTTTTCTTTGCAGGCTGATGTCGTGTTGGAGATCCCTACAGTGGTAATGAAACCTAGCTTAGATGATATCCAGCAGGCCTTGAACAGAACGGTGCAGATCATGCTCAAAACGACACAGGTAGCTGGGAATACCGTAAAATTCCGAAAGTAAGCCCCGTGGCTTATATTTTTCAAAGGCCCTTTTTGAGGGGCTTATTTTTGGAGGGGCTTATATTCGGAGGGGCTTATCTACGGAGGGAAATTTGCGTTTCAAAATCGATTGCGCTAGCCTTATAGTTGTAAGTAAATTTACCGTTTTTGCTTTGTTTTACTTTGTATTTGACGGCAATTTCCAAGTACAAGCCCCCGGGGGGCTTATATTTGGAGGGGCGATTTAACCGAGGGTTTTTGGCCTTACGAGTTTGGGGGGCTTATATTTGGAGGGGCTTATACGTGGAGGGGCTTATTTTCGGAATTTTACGGTAACATAGCACATTAAATGCGATACAAAGGTGCTGTAGAGGCTATTCAGCCCATGCTTTTACTGAGTGGAACTGTGCAGTAGGTTGTGATTCTTAGCTGGAATAATCTCCTTTTGATTCTTATTTTGTAGAATGTCTACGAGTGGGAACAGCATGGAGTCATCCACCAGCCCCCAATCATAGTCGCTGAAGAAGGAAAGGTTCTTCCTCCGCTGGCTCCAAAGTCTCTTTACAAAATTGTGTCTGAGCACAAGGATGTAACAAAAGTAAGGGCTTTTTAATAAGAGGCAATAGGCATTAGTCAGGTCATCTGGTCTCGTGCACAAGTGTAAACCGTCTAAGCAAACCTAATGCGTTTTTGATTTCCAGGTGGTAATTACTCTCAGTTCTGTTGTAAGCTCACTGAAGATGGATGCCACTAAAATTCTGGAGGAGATGGACCAGTTCAAAGAGTTATGGAATCAGGTAAATATACATCTCTGTTGGCCTAATACTACAATGGAGATCCTAAATCCTTGGGACAGTTATTCAGGGTTCGTACATAGTCTTGAATTCTTGAAAAAGTCTTGAAATTTTCCCAGCAATTTTCCAGAGCTGGAAAAAGTCTGGAAAATGGAGATAAAGTCTTTAAAAAATGGTAAAAAATCCTGAGTTTTTTTTCTTTTTTTTCAAAGCTACAACAAGGACTTTAGAAGTTACATTATTTCGTTTTGGTCAAATCTTATTCAATCTCGCTCGTTTGTTTGCAACACATCATGGAAACAGCTTTGCTCCTGCGTTCTCTATTGATCACCTATTTGGTAACCTTGTGTCTGAAAACAGAAATTTTTGTTTTGGAATAAAGTCTGGAAAAAGTCTTGAATTTTGGGTCCCAAAATCTGTACGAACTCTGGTTATTCCAAACTTTCTGGAAACAAAGATATTCTTCTTTCAAATCTATTGGTTAAGAACCCTTATGCAATAATCTCTGTGTGTCCACCGACCCTCTCCACCCCACTTTAACAATGCCGTTAAATATAGAAAAAGAAAACAATTACCAGCCCTAAGTAAGTATAGTGTATAAAGCGCAAACACACAATATTCAACATGGTGTTTGGGTGAGGGAGGAAGGATTCCGTTTGATTCTTACAGTTTTCCTTGAAGTATTTCATGGCGTTTAACCATCGTGGCATTAGAGACCTTTAGCATCAGGTAAACCGCAAACCACAAACCGCAGTTAGGGGCCGACCATTTAACTCTTGAGGGGGGTGGTGGGTGATTTTGAAAAAAAATTTCCTGCAAGCGCTTGTCGGAAGAAAAAAATTGCATGCAGCACAAATGTAATAGAGAGCTTATGGGAAAAAAAGGGAAAAAGATATCCTGCCTACCATATTGCTAGAAAAAAAAATTCTTGATGACCAGAAATCACCCACCCCCACCCTCAAGAGTTAAATGGTCGGCCCCTTAGGCGTTTGCAGTTTCGCGTTGCCGAGATTTCACACTTTAGCAAGGCGTTCAGTTCAGTTCAGTTCAGTTCATTTTTATTCAGGCAAAATATAATACAATACAAGAATACATATAGGAATTGTAAGGTTGCAAGGGAGCCCAGAAGAAACCAGAAGGCTTTATGAAGCCTGGGCTCTCCAATCTCAAAGAAATAAGCAAAATAAAATGAAATTCGCGGAGTGATACGTTAAAAATAGGAACTAAACAGAGACTGAGTTAAAATATGAATTCAGTAACAAGATACACTGAAGACAGAAAAAAAATTTAACACTGGACAGGAACAGAATACTTTCCTTTGTTCGTACGGCAGAAACGAATATAAAATTGATTTGAACTACGCGTTAATTGTTGAGGGCCGCTATGTTGTTTTCATCAAGTCGAAGTGCATCACTTTAATCGCCCAAAACTCTGCAATAATTCATTGATTCGAGATCAAAAATCCAACAAACACATCGCAAACGGATATAAAAAGCTAGTTCATACCTTTAAACGCGAGGCTGTACAAATTTTTGTGGCAAAAAACCTTGCCGTAAATCACTTACCGCTGGAAGCCCTTCCTGCGGTTCAAACGTGAACTGCAAACTGCAAACGTGACCGCAAGGCCGTGGTCACGTGACATTTTGCGGTTTGCGGTTTGCAGTTTCCCATGAAAAACGTGATGCTAAAGGTCCCTAAAAGAGGCCGTCATTTGCTTCCCTGTCATGCTATGTTGGGCGCGAATATGAAATTAGGTGTATCTTTCTTGACGATAGGTATAACCAAAGTAAATTCAGATTGCGATCTTCAAAGGATGGGCTGAAGAATCTTGTTTTTTATGGTCTTGGCAACAGTTCCTCAGCTACAGTGGAACGTCGATTAAACGAACCTCTATATAACGAAGTCTTCGGTACAGCGAAACGATTTTCTTTACCCCAGTAATAGTAAAATATATGAAAAAGAACCTCGATATAGCGAATAAATTTTGCCAGTCCCTTGGGCCTTCGTTATATCGAGGTTCCACTGTACACTGGAGTAAAATGAGTAAAGGAGATTAAAGAAGGGCATCTCATAAGTTACTATTTAGTTCTGCTTTACAGCATAAACGTTTTTTCAGAAATGGCTATTACACTCATCAAATTACCCGTTGTGTTGTTTTAAGGATCCCAACACAAAAGTCAAAGAATTCATGGAGTCAAAACCACTGCTATCTGACTTTGATGCGCAAATCAAGTATTACCAACGCCTTGAGACCCAAATTGAAGAGTTACCTAGCAGCTATCATATTGGCCCCGTAGAATACCTCACTGAGAGAATCAAGGAAGCCCTGGTCACTGAGACTAAGGCTTGGAAGCAAGCGTTTGGGAAGGCCCTGGCGGAGAAGGTAACAATAATCTGTGTATCAGTTGTAGTTCGAGTAATCGCACTTTTATTAGATTTAAAGGGGCTGTGTCACGGCAGTCCAGTTCATTTTGTTTATTTTTCCAATTACTCGCCTTCAATCGCTATGAAACTTAAAGTAAGCAAAGAAATTACATGTAAATGACAAAATCAGAGATCCGAGACAAACAAAGATGTCTCCCGAGCATTATTTTTGAAGTGCAAGCAGCAGGGATCAACTTTGAAAAGCTGTTAGGCTGAACAGTTTTCAAAAACCCTCATTTCAATCCGCTTCAATCTTCTTCAGTCTTGCCCACCCGAGACATCTGTTTTTTCTGTTATGTTTTTTTTAACCTTCCGTTAAAGTTTTGAGCGGTTATTTTTATGTTTCTCTTAATTTAACGGTCATTTTATAATTTCCTAATTTGGCTGAATTTCGTGACACCGCTCCTTTAAGCCCTCTTTACCAGGGGTGTATACCGTGAAATTTTGAGACTGTACGCACGGAAAGAAAAGTTCAAGTGCAGAGGCGCTCAAAACTAGGGGGTTTGGAGGCATTCTCCCTCAGAAAGTTTTTAAGCTCACGGTCTCGGAAGAGCCATTTCCTGCGTTTTCCGCGGGATATCATCCACATTCACATTCACAGCTCATTCACTATGATGAAAAACGTTTGTGAATTATAACATATAAACAGATGTTTTCAGTAAATAGTTACGAAGGATTAAATGCAGCAGTTAGTCGTTTATTTTACCCATCTCTAGCGTTGTGGAATAATAAAAGGATAAAGGATTTGATGCAAAAAAAAAATGTTTGCGGGGAAAGAAGAAATCGAGATTTCAGCCGTACGCACCGACGTATGTGACGTGCGTAAATAGACGCTACGTTCCTGCATACTACCAGAAATTAACCAACAAATCTATTTTTGGTTTTAGATGGATCGGATGGTCAGTTGCCTGCTAACGCATTTAGCAAGAAAAATTAAAGTGAAAAAAAGTTATTCGACGTTTCGATGTTTCGAGCAGTATTATTAGGAATGAAAACCTTTGAGTGTCGAAGATGTTGAAAGAGTTGAAGTTTGAATAAATTAGATTGCGTTCGTGCATACTTGATTATTATGCAGATGTGATGTTCTACCAGAAACGCTTCACGAGAAGTTTTGGCCTTCCGGCGTTTCGTTTTAACGGCGTAATAATTTTTTAAAAAGCAATTTGAAAAAAGAGCCTTGATTGCTGTTTATCTAAAGACTGATGTCTTCCATGTTTGCTGCACATGACTTTAATTAAAACTCATGTGCAGCTGGTATTAACAATTAGTAAAATCCAACTAGTGGTCTATTATCAATGCTGCGTTCTGATTGGTTGAGCCATTACTAGGCTATATGTTATAGCCCACTAGCAGCGAAAAGCGTCGGCTTTTTGGTGGCAAAAAAGATTAAAGTCTAGCTTTAAGAAGCTAAAATTTTGTTATTTTCGATATTTTTGACCAACTAGTTGGATTTTGCTAAAACAATTATTCCTCTCGCCCTCATGGCCTCTGAGTCAATAGCCCATGAGACTTATGGCTGATGCATTTCTGCAGGGTAAATTAAGTTTTTAGAGACCTTTAGATGTGAGGACGAGATTTAACTTAAATTCTACGACGAGGGCGACTAAGAGGAAGAGATTTTCCCAAGACTAGGTAGTTCGCGCGCGTAAACCGGCGTCATTTTGGCGGGAAAACGTGATAACCGCAGTCATTCTACTACAGGTTTTAGCGAGAATGCCGTAGTGACGGAAAAAAGTTATATCAACAGTTTGAAGTCTTATCATTTTGCGATTGGAAGAGGGCTTTACCTCCTTCAATAAAAATAATCGTGCTAGCATTTCTGGTGAGAATAAAAGGATATTGATTGTTTACAGGGTGTATAATTTTGAGAAAAGGTGACAAAAATCAAAGATCTCTTTCATGCTATCTAATCTTTATGTTTCCAAACATGGGTATCATAAACAAGAATCTCTCAAATACTTTCGCATTTTGCTTTCTGGTGTGTAAAATACCACACTGTTCAGTGAACACTTCTTATAATTACAGAGAACTCCAAAGGGTGAAATTTGTATTTGCACATGCAGGTGGTAGACAGCTTCATGGGTGTCTTTAAATGAGATTTTTAATTGCTTTTTGGCTGTTTTCGCAGTGACGTCACGATAGTTCGATTGTCATTTCGATGAAAACACGCAGAGTTAGGTTCACGGAGATTAAACTTAAAATTGAGGTTTTTGTGCTTTAGCAATTAAAGTGTTTAGTGCTATATAACTAGTTTCTTGTGGGTAAGAACTGATACTGTCACAAATGTTAATAGAGGTGACTTAGCTGTTATTTGAAAGTCTTTTCCTGTTCCTGTTAATAAAAGCTAATCAAACGCAAATTTCACAGATCCCGCTGATTCATAAACTTTGAAAGAAGATTTAGCGAGAATCTCAGTGAGATTTGATCAAATTTTTTTTTGCGACGAAAAACAACGCATGCGTTTACGATCGATAGGCAGTGAGGTCAGCAATCTCAACACCACCAGATATACCAAATTTTGTCTGTGTTTCAATTTTTCAACAGAAACAACTAGTTTATAAATTTAAAAGTCATATAAGTAAGGCATGAAGAAATCAAACGATTAAATCAGGCGGAACTGACGGGAAGCCACTAAAGAAAGCCACCGTTCTAGTTTTACAAAGTGGAAAAGTTATCTACCTGTTCTCTTTCTACCCGTATTAACACATTCTTACAAACAGTAAGCAGAACGTAGATTTAGAACCACTTCTCAATGTGTTCATTAACGAATTTCGAACGGGTCGCATTTTCCAGCAATAAATAAAAGGGTTTAGAGTTGAGTTAAGGAAGATCAGAGTTAAACTACAGAGAGAAAAACTTTTCAGGTGGGTATTTGGGCCATAGATGTGAAGGGTTATCAATAACACGAAACGCGGTAAATAGCAAAGTAGAAAGAGCAGATATACGTAAAATGTACCGACGGCCGATCTACGTAGGTTTGCAAAGTTCGCTGTCCTTTCGCCATTCTGTGCTGTTTGCTGTACTTGTAGAGCCTGGATTTGATTCCTGTGACGTCGTAAAACAAGATATATTTTGATGTAAAGCAGAGTTGTTGCAAGGACACTTAGAATTCCAACAACAGCTAAGATTAGGTACCTGATAGCAGACGGAAGCCAGAACATTCGGAGAGACAAAAATATACTGAAAAGCCATATGAAGATGACCACAGCAATTACACGCCAGTGGGTTACAATAGTGTCGTATCGGAGATGAAGCTGAATAGCTAAACATCTGTCCAAAGTTATCCCTATGATGTTAGCGAACGAAGCCGTGAAAAATAAATTCATGGCGACGCTGAAAGATGTATACATAATGCAACTAGGACTTAGTTGTTGTAACCACTGGATCAGCAAAGTGATGAACAATGGTTGAACAAGTAAACCAACACCGAGGTCTGAAGCAGCAAGACTCAAAAGCAATGTTTTTAGAGGTTTTGGCAACGATGAGGTTCTTGTTATCGCGTGTATTGTTGCAATATTTAACATGACTGTGTTATATGACAAAAAGGCATTAAAAACGCAGTTAACAATCTGTGACACGTGAAGATCTTCAGCCTCGTCGATGGAAGGGTAGTAAGGACGGATTTCCTCACAAAACAAGCTTCCCGTAATAATGTCGTACTTCATGGCGAGGAAAGTTTGAAGCGATAGCGTTTTTGTCTGGTCGTGGGCATAAAAGTGAGCAATCTCTTGCGTACAAAATTGACCACGATCTTTTTCATTTGTTTAAACAATGATCTGAATGACACATGTCAACTGACTTCATAATGTAGTCTGTAAATAGTCTTGAAAGTCAATAGCATTTCGACGTGAATAATATTAATTTTTAATATTTATTAACTTTTTGCGAGGGAGTGTGATCAGTTTAATAGCCATAAGATCTTTGACGGTGGAAAAGCTATTTGCTTTTATGCTGCATGCTTGTCCGTCTGTGTATAGCGATGTGTACTTTTGCTTTTTTCTTCTTTTGTTATACCGAATCCCAATCTGGATAACAAAAAAAAGAAGATGACCAAATTATCAGAAGAAAAAACAAAAAACAAAAAATTGAAATATATATAATATTGAATTCAAAGCGTGTCTTTAGAAGTCTGAGACGCTTCCAAAGTTGCAAAGTTAAAAAGAAATGTTTTGTTTTTACTGGTTGTAAAAACTTTTAAACCGGGATGCTTTTCACGGCCTTTATTGGTTAGTGTAAAATAAATGAGTAAATATACTGCAGAGCTTTGTCGGTGGGAGTGCTGGCCACGAAAATTTGGCTTAATGAACTGATGTTCTCTGTTAAAGAACCTGCACTCAAAAGGTCATATGGTTTAACCAAGTCAAGTCAAAATCAGTCAGTGGTTAAAATTTCATTGCGTTGGGGCAAGGATGAAATCACATTTAAGGCGATTGAAAAATATCAGCATGGTCTCCGAAAAACTGTATCGAAACACCTTAAATCTAAAAACAGCAGGAAAAAAATTATTAACAGGCGAAATGGAGACTTGATCGCTGTTTACCCTGATACAGTGAATTTCCGTTTTTCCTAACATGGGTATAATTAGCCAGACTCTGCAGTTTGCTGTCAAGTTTATTTAATACAGGACTCTGTTTAGTAAGCGCTTCCTATTTTCAATTACCTCCGAGCATTTCTATTTTTATTAGCACGGGTGGCTAAGTTTTCGACGATAGGACACGTTTGTGGTCGATTTTAAACTAGTTGGGCGGCTGTTTCGCAATAACGTCAGGATCATTTAATTGCCATTTCGATGTACGCACGCCCAGTTTGGACAAAAGTTAACGTACGTTTAACTTAAAATTGACAATTGATATGCCTTAGTGATCAATGTTTAGCGCTCTTTAACTAGTTTCCCGAGGCGTTAGAATTAAAACTGGTGCAAAGGTTAATAGAAGTTATTTAATCGTTATTTGAAAACCTTTTCCTGTTCCTGCTGCTAAAAGCCCATTAAAACGCAAACTCTAAACTAAGATTGATCGAGAAGCCCAGTGAGATTTCATTAAAATGTTATTGCGTCGAAAAGCAGTGCAGTGTAGATGATCGACAATATTGTTGATAATCAATAGATTTTTTAGCTCCACCAGTCAATAAAGCAGATCTGTCTGTAGGCATTTTAGTCAACATGCGCAACTAGTTTTTACATAAAAATCTTTAATAAGAGATGAACAAACTACGTGAAAAAATGCGGATTGACGAGAAGCCACTGAATAACATGGGCAACTAGTTTTTCTATAAAAATCTTTAATAAGACATGAAGAAACTACGCGATTAAATGCAGATTGACGGGAAGCCACTGAATAACATGCGCAACTAGTTTTATATAAAAATCTTTAATTAGACATGAAGAAACTACGTGATTAGATGCAGATTGACGGGAAGCCACTGAATAACATGGGCAACTAGTTTTTCTATAAAAATCTTTAATAAGACATGAAGAAACTGCGTGATTAAATGCAGATTGACGGGAAGCCACTGAATAAGCGATATGGAGACTTGAACGCTGTTTACACTGATACAGTTACTTTCCGTGTTTTCTAACATGGGTACAATTACCCAGACTCTCTTAAAGACTGTTGCATTTTGCTGTCAAGTTTAATTAATACAGGACTCACTGTTTAGTGAGCGCTTCCTATTTACAATTACCCCCAAGCATTGCTATTTTTATTAGCACAGGTGGCTAAGTTTTCGACGGTAGGACACGTTCGTGGTCGATCTGTTTTCGCAATGACGTCAGGATAATTTGATTGCCATTTCGATGTACGCACGCCCAGTTTGGACAAAAGTTATCGTACTTTAAACTTTAAATTGTCAATTAATGTGCTTTAGCGATCAGTGTGTTTAGTGCTCTTTAACTAGTTTCCTGAGGCGTTAGAATTAAAACTGGCACAAATGACAATAGAAGTTATTTAATTTTTATTTGAAAACGTTTTCCTGTTCCTGCTGCTAAAAGCCCATCAAAACGCAAACTCGTAAACTAAGATTGATCGAGAAGCCCAGTGAGATTTCATTCAAATGTTATTGCGTCGAAAAAAAGCGCGGTGTAGATGATTGACAATATTATCGATAATCAATAAATTTTTTAACTCCACCAGTCAATAAAGCAAATCTGTCTGTATTTCATTTTTTCAACATGCGCAACTAGTTTTTATATAAAAATCTTTAATACGACATGAAGAAACTACGTGATTAACTGCGGATTGACGGGAAGCCACTGAATAAGGCTACCGTTCTTGTTTTATAAAGTGTAAAACCAATTATGTACCGGTTCGCCTACTAACCGTGGCAGAACATTCGTACAAAAAGCACCCCAAACGTAGACCTTAAACCATCTTGCAGAATGCTCATTAACGATTGTCGAATGTTTCGCATTTTCCAGCAATAAATAAAAGGGTTTAGAGATGAGTTAAGGAATATCAGGGTCAAACTACAAAGAGAAAAACTTTTCAGGTGGATATTTGGGCCGTAGATATGAAGGGTTATCAAGGACACGAAACGCGGTAAATAGCAAAGTAGAAAGAGCAGATATACGTAAAATGTACCGACGGCCGATCTACGTAGGTTTGCAAAGTTCGCTGTCCTTTCGCCATTCTGTGCTGTTTGCTGTACTTGTAGAGCCTGGATTTGATTCGTGTGACGTCGTAAAACAAGATATATTTTGATGTAAAGCAGAGTTGTTGCAAGGACACTTAGAATTCCAACAACAGCTAAGACTAGGTACTTGATAGTAGACGGAAGCCAGAACATTCGGAGAGACAAAAATATACTGAAAAGCCAGATAAAGATGACCACAGCAATAACACGCCAGTGGGTTACAATATTGTGGTATCGGAGATGAAGCTGAATAGCTAAATATCTGTCCAAAGTTATCCCTATGATGTTAGCGAACGAAGCCGTGAAAAATAAATTCATGGCGACGCTGAAAGATGTATACATAATGCAACTAGGACTTAGTTGTTGTAACCACTGGATCAGCAAAGTGATGAACAATGGTTGAACAAGTAAACCAACACCGAGGTCTGAAGCAGCAAGACTCAAAAGCAATGTTTTTAGAGGTTTTGGCAACGATGAGGTTTTTGTTATCGCGTGTATTGTTGCAATATTTAACATGACTGTGTTATATGACCAAAATGGCTTTTAAAACGCAGTTAACAATCTGTGACACGTGAAGATCTTCAGCCTCGTCGATGGAAGGGTAGTAAGGACGGATTTCCTCACAAAACGAGCTTCCCGTAATAATGTCGTACTTCATGGCGAGGAAAGTTTGAAGCGATAGCGTTTTTGTCTGGTCGTGGGCATAAAAGTGAGCAATCTCTTGCGTACAAAATTGACCACGATCTTTTTCATTTGTTTAAACAATGATCTGAATGACACATGTCAACTGACTTCATAATGTAGTCTGTAAATAGTCTTGAAAGTCAATATGATTAATTTTTAATATTTATTAACTGTTTGCGAGAAAGTGTGATCAGTTTAATAGCCATAAGATCTTTGACGGTGGAAAAGCTATTTGCTTTTATGCTGCATGCTTGTCCGTCTGTGTATAGCGATGTGTACTTTTGCTTTTTTTCTTCTTTTGTTCTACCGAATCCCAATCTGGATAACAAAAAAAAGTAGATGACCAAATTATCAGAAGAAAAAACAAAAAACAAAAAATTGAAATATATATAATATTGAATTCAAAGCGTGTCTTTAGAAGTCTGAGACGCTTCCAAAGTTGCAAAGTTAAAAAGAAATGTTTTGTTTTTACTGGTTGTAAAAACTTTTAAACCGGGATGCTTTTCACGGCCTTTATTGGTTAGTGTAAAATAAATGAGTAAATATACTGCAGAGCTTTGTCGGTGGGAGTGCTGGCCACGAAAATTTGGCTTAATGAACTGATGTTCTCTGTTAAAGAACCTGCACTCAAAAGGTCATATGGTTTAACCAAGTCAAGTCAAAATCAGTCAGTGGTTAAAATTTCATTGCGTTGGGGCAAGGATGAAATCACATTTAAGGCGATTGAAAAATATCAGCATGGTCTCCGAAAAACTGTATCGAAACACCTTAAATCTAAAAACAGCAGGAAAAAAATTATTAACAGGCGAAATGGAGACTTGATCGCTGTTTACCCTGATACAGTGAATTTCCGTTTTTCCTAACATGGGTATAATTAGCCAGACTCTGCAGTTTGCTGTCAAGTTTATTTAATACAGGACTCTGTTTAGTAAGCGCTTCCTATTTTCAATTGCCTCCGAGCATTTCTATTTTTATTAGCACGGGTGGCTAAGTTTTCGACGATAGGACACGTTTGTGGTCGATTTTAAACTAGTTGGGCGGCTGTTTCGCAATAACGTCAGGATCATTTAATTGCCATTTCGATGTACGCACGCCCAGTTTGGACAAAAGTTAAAGGGACTGGTTCACGATAAGGTGCATGCGCGCCTTTTGTCACTTCAGAATAAATTTGTTGGGTCAACACTAAATTCGAAATCGCCATTACAGGTACAATCATTGAAAATCCTTCGTTTTATTCGGACATCCGTTGCTTTGGCTGGTCTAGTTATACTTCGGTAGTGGTGATTAACGTGTGGTTGTGTCGTTTGACTGGTTACGTTTTAAGAAGACGCAAAAAATAATGTTTTGATCATGGAGGTTGAGAAGAGCATCGTGGCCGTCCGGCAACAGGACGTTCTCAAGAGTCTCTGGAGTTAGAGAAGCTTAGCCTATCGATCTGGTATGGTTCTAGGAGTAGTGTGTGGCATACGAAAAGAATACATGACACTTGGAAAGTGGTTAAAGGCATGAGTTAGTTCAACTTTGATTTGATTTTTGACTCCGACCTGTAGTTATACTGCAACAGGTCGCGCGATCTTCGCCGATCTGGTACACTTGAAATGTTCCTTGTATCTTTGCTTTACGATCGTATATGTTTAAGAATTGATGTTTTTAAAATAAATTATTGTCTGAATATTCTGTTCATAATCTAGTTTCTTTATGTGTGCTACTCGATAACATTTGTTTTGCGGAACACTGACCCGATGCAACGGGAATGAATTTGTTCATTTCCTGATAAGCAATTGAAATTTATGCTCAATTAAGGATAATCTTTATACTCATACGTTGTGTGTTTTTGTCACCGGTCCGGCGCTATTTGTAGGTATTTCTGCGTTTATATAAGGCGAACTGAGAGAACAGTAATAAGATGTCTGTTTCCAAATTTTGTTTGCCGATCGGTGACTGTTTTGTTAGCGTGGGTGCGACGTCGTAAAAATACACGTTGGTAAATGTTTGTTTCAAAGCAGGACAGGGCTGTAAATCTTATTCTTATCGGCTGCAACATATATCTGAGGAGTAGCAAAGAATAAAATTGAATTATGGGGATAAATAAAATCAAACCAAATGCCCGGAAATACTCTCGCGTCGCGAACAATTAATTTGAATTTTGTAAATTTACTTGCGTGCATCTAACTCGCTTCCGATTGGCTGAAAAACAATGAGCTACTGTCAGAACTCACACATGCGCACTATCGTGAACCAGTCCCTTTAACGTACGTTTAACTTAAAATTGACAATTGATATGCCTTAGCGATCAATGTTTAGCGCTCTTTAACTAGTTTCCCGAGGCGTTAGAATTAAAACTGGTGCAAAGGTTAATAGAAGTTATTTAATCGTTATTTGAAAACCTTTTCCTGTTCCTGCTGCTAAAAGCCCATTAAAACGCAAACTCTAAACTAAGATTGATCGAGAAGCCCAGTGAGATTTCATTAAAATGTTATTGCGTCGAAAAGCAGTGCAGTGTAGATGATCGACAATATTGTTGATAATCAATAGATTTTTTAGCTCCACCAGTCAATAAAGCAGATCTGTCTGTAGGCATTTTAGTCAACATGCGCAACTAGTTTTTATATAAAAATCTTTAATAAGACATGAACAAACTACGTGAAAAAATGCGGATTGACAAGAAGCCACTGAATAAAATGGGCAACTAGTGTTTCTATAAAAATCTTTAATAAGACATGAAGAAACTACGCGATTAAATGCAGATTGACGGAAAGCCACTGAATAACATGCGCAACTAGTTTTATATAAAAATCTTTAATTAGACGTGAAGAAACCACGTGATTAGATGCAAATTGACGGGAAGCCACTGAATAACATGGGCAACTAGTTTTTCCATAAAAATCTTTAATAAGACATGAAGAAACTACGCGATTAAATGCAGATTGACGGGAAGCCACTGAATAACATGCGCAACTAGTTTTATATAAAAATCTTTAATTAGACATGAAGAAACTACGTGATTAGATGCAGATTGACGGGAAGCCACTGAATAACATGGGCAACTAGTTTTTCTATAAAAATCTTTAATAAGACATGAAGAAACTGCGTGATTAAATGCAGATTGATGGGAAGCCACTGAATGAGCGAAATGGAGACTTGAACGCTGTTTACACTGATACAATTACTTTCCGTGTTTTCTAACATGGGTACAATTACCCAGACTCTCTTAAAGACTGTTGCATTTTGCTGTCAAGTTTAATTAATACAGGACTCACTGTTTAGTGAGCACTTCCTATTTACAATTACCCCCAAGCATTGCTATTTTTATTAGCACAGGTGGCTAAGTTTTCGACGGTAGGACACGTTCGTGGTCGATCTGTTTTCGCGATGACGTCAGGATAATTTGATTGCCATTTCGATGTACGCACGCCCAGTTTGGACAAAAGTTATCGTACTTTAAACTTTAAATTGTCAATGTGCTTTAGCGATCAGTGTGTTTAGTGCTCTTTAACTAGTTTCCTGAGGCGTTAGAATTAAAACTGGCACAAATGACAATAGAAGTTATTTAATTTTTATTTGAAAACGTTTTCCTGTTCCTGCTGCTAAAAGCCCATCAAAACGCAAACTCGTAAACTAAGATTGATCGAGAAGCCCAGTGAGATTTCATTCAAATGTTATTGCGTCGAAAAAAAGCGCGGTGTAGATGATTGACAATATTATCGATAATCAATAAATTTTTAACTCCACCAGTCAATAAAGCAAATCTGTCTGTATTTCATTTTTTCAACATGCGCAACTAGTTTTTATATAAAAATCTTTAATACGACATGAAGAAACTACGTGATTAACTGCGGATTGACGGGAAGCCACTGAATAAGGCTACCGTTCTTGTTTTATAAAGTGTAAAACCAATTATGTACCGGTTCGCCTACTAACCGTGGCAGAACATTCGTACAAAAAGCACCCCAAACGTAGACCTTAAACCATCTTGCAGAATGCTCATTAACGATTGTCGAATGTTTCGCATTTTCCAGCAATAAATAAAAGGGTTTAGAGATGAGTTAAGGAATATCAGGGTCAAACTACAAAGAGAAAAACTTTTCAGGTGGATATTTGGGCCGTAGATATGAAGGGTTATCAAGGACACGAAACGCGGTAAATAGCAAAGTAGAAAGAGCAGATATACGTAAAATGTACCGACGGCCGATCTACGTAGGTTTGCAAAGTTCGCTGTCCTTTCGCCATTCTGTGCTGTTTGCTGTACTTGTAGAGCCTGGATTTGATTCCTGTGACGTCGTAAAACAAGATATATTTTGATGTAAAGCAGAGTTGTTACAAGGACACTTAGAATTCCAGCAACAGCCAAGACTAGGTACTTGATAGTAGACGGAAGCCAGAACATTCGGAGAGACAAAAATATACTTAAAAGCCAGATAAAGATGACCACAGCAATAACACGCCAGTGGGTTACAATATTGTGGTATCGGAGATGAAGCTGAATAGCTAAATATCTGTCCAAAGTTACCCCTATAATGTTAGCGAACGAAGCCGTTGAAAATAAATTCATGGTGACGCTGAAAGATGCATACATATTGCAACTAGGACTTAGTTGTTGTAACCACTGGATCAGCAAAGTGATGAACAATGGTTGAACAAGTAAACCAACACCGAGGTCTGAAGCAGCAAGACTCAAAAGCAATGTTTTTAGAGGTTTTGGCAACGATGAGGTTTTTGTTATCGCTTGTATTGTTGCAATATTTAACATGACTGTGTTATATGATAAAAAGGCGTTAAAAACGCAGTTAACAATCTGTGACACTTGAAGATCTTCAGCCTCGTCATTTGAAGGGTAGTAAGGACGGATTTCCTCACAAAATGAGTTCCCCGTAATAATGTCATACTTCATGGTGAAGAAAGTATACTGTTCAAATGAAGCGAAAGCGACTTTGTCTAGATTAAGCCAAAAGAGTAAGCAATCTTATGAATAAATAAAAGGATTGGCCGTGATCTTATTGTTGGAGAATTTATTCTTTGTTTTTTAATGGTCTGACGCACGTCGACTAACTTTTCTGAAATTCAATATAATCTAGTCATCATTTGAATAATATGTCATTCTATTTATTTTTCGAACAAGAGTTTCCGTGCTGCATGCTTGTTTTTGTATAGTGATGTGTTCTTTGCTCAAATATCTTCTTTTGTTTTCCAGTTTCCCAAACTTTACAACAAAGGGCAAAAAGGACTTGTCATGTTTCGCTTCCAAATATAAAGAAAATAGTATCTAAAAATAATAATAGTAATTAAAAAAATTGGGGTCATTTTAACATTCTGGGAAACTGCACACCTACCCCTTCCCCAAGCCAACAGTTTGCCTTAAGTGAGAAGTAAGTATTAATGTTGGCTTAGGTGAGGGGTAGGTGGGCAGTTTCCCAGAAAGGGAAAATGATCGCAAAAATTGAATAAATAAAATACTTGTTTACGTTAACTCATTGAAAATTGACGGGGCGGGAGAAGGGCGGAAAGATCTCTTTTTAAAATATAATTAAATTCTAGACATGTCTAAAAGTCTGAAGGACAGAAATAAGGCTGTTTGCTATTGATGTGTTATTTTTCTGTTGAAAGTATTTAAGACATGGTTAGTGTTTCATTAAAAAGGAATACGGGATGGAAAAACCTCAAATTAAACGGCAGTTGACAATCGAATTCCTTGACAAAATGTAGTCCTGTTCATAGACCCTTTCATGTCGGCTTTTCAACTTTTGACATGAGGGACCAGTTAGGGAAAGTCCGTCGACACCACTGGAAAGAGCGCCGTGAAATCAGTTACGTTGCCAAGTTTGAAAGTTGTACGTCTTAAGCGAGGAGTGAAGGTATAGCTCCTCAAAGCCGCGAAATTTTACAGCCGTTTGTATCCTTGCCCGCCACCATACAAACCTCAGTAAAATGTCAGGGCTGTGAAGACCTAGATCATCGTTAGTTTTGAACAAATCACATTCACACTTAACAATTTTATTAAATTAAAGGCGCTTTTTTTCATCGGAGTGACGGATTTTCCCTAACCTGTCCATGTCAAAAGTTGAAAAAACCGTAAAAAGGTCTATGCGCTTAATTAATTAAAGGCTTCGAAACGCAAGCGCGGTGAGAACTATGGCTAGAATTAGCTTCAGCCATAGAGGATAATGTGTGTGTGAAAATAAGCTTCTGTTTATTCTGACAGGCAAGTGGAGATATGGAAGAAATCTTCCAGTTCATTGAGAACCTTAACAAGCGACTTGCTCGTGGGATCAAAGATCTTGATGACGTCAGAAGCAGCATGGCCGCTCTCAGTGAGATCAGAGAATCTGAAATAAGGTTCGTCTTCAATTTTGCTTATAAAAGGACTTAAATTTTTTACCAGACCGTGAGTTATTTAGGCGCGATTTTCTACTGGCTGACTGCGAAGACGAAATATGGGAAACTGTGATACCGTAAAATTCTGAAATAAGCCCCCCGAACGCGTAAAGCAAAAAACTTTCCGTTAAAACTTAAAACCTCCGGGGGCTTGTGCTTGGAAACTACCCTCAAATTCAAAATAAAACAAAGCAAAAACTGTACAGTAACACATAAATTTTTGCATCTGCCAAAGAATTGTGCCAAATGAAAATTGTAGTCAAAAAGTGTCACAGTGTATTGCTGTTTGTGTAGTTCAATCTTCACTCTTGGCTTGGATTTCCTCGGTCTATATAGACAAAGCACTTGCATGGATGAGTTTTAGAAAGATCTACGTCCTCAAGGCGAGTTTCATTAAAAACGTTCTGCAAATTACTGACATAAATTTCCTTCCAACTATAAGCTAGCCCAATCGATTTTGAGGCGCAAATTTCCCTCCGTACATAAGACCCTGAAAAAGAGCCTTTCAAAATAGAAGCCCCGGGGCTTATATATTTTCGGAATTTTCCGGTATTTTCTCACATAGCTCTTGTTCCCCGGCTGGTATGAAGGTCTTGTAATCCGAAGGGCGGGTAGGTTTGATGTCCGCCATCAAGGAGTTTACGCAACGATGACAGCGACGGCGACGAAAACGTCACTTAAAAGTGAATTCGCGCTGCCTCAAACTTTATCGCGCTTATTCCATCTCGTTTAATTCGTCAAGTGTTGGCAAATTTTTTTGGAGTTGAATTCTATAGCACTGCATCAAAGTTCAAGAAAAGAAAAAAAAAGTTGTTGTCTTTTGTTCCCGTCCTCGACAAAACGTGAAATTAGGCAGTTTCATGTTGTAGTCGTGCAACGACGGCAAAGAAATGTACAAAAAAGCGTGATGCACATGCAAAATTGTTGTTTTGCTTGTCTAAACCTATTGCTTTTTGGCCGTTCTCGTTGCCGTCGCCGTCGCGGTCGCCGTCGTCGTTACGTAAACTCCCTAATCAACCTTTTGAATTTTAGTTGTTTCAAGGCATTTTTGTTGCCGTTGCAACACATTGTGGCACTAAACGTTTGTAAGTTATATATAAAAAAGTTTTCGTTGTGATCATGCTTGCTGAGTGGGCTTGACGTAGCTCCCTAGTACTGTGTGGCAAAATAGCCTGCTGCAAATTGCCGGGTCAACGTCCCCGTTTCTTCTGTAATTTTACATAGTAACACTCACTGGGCTGTGAAATAATGATTAATAATTTCAACTCACTTTACTCTACGGATTAGCAGCACTGGTTCTTCAAATTTTGGCCAAGGTCTTACTATAATTGAGTAATAAAATACTGCTTTTGCCCTGCAAATGGCTAGTAAGTCCTTCTCTTGACTCGGATGACCACGTAAAATGGCGCGGCGGTCCCGTCTCCAGTATGAGACGTACAAAATACTGTAGTGTCCCCAGTTGGTACTTTCGTGCTAAATACATTGACAGTTTTAAAAATAAAGTGCATTTTTGTTACTTCAAACCATGAAGGAATTTTGTTAACCCTGACTCAGACTATTGTGTGGTGCATTACAGTGTTTGCATGTGTTTTTTTTTTGTACAACAGAATTGACATGACGATTGGTCCAATTGAGGAGTCCTTTGCTATGATGAATCGCTATGGCCTGGTATATTCCAGCAGTGATTCTGAAAGAGTTGACGGTCTGACATACGCTTGGCGTAAATTACATGCACAGGTTGGTGAATCCGAGGTTTTATCATCTTCTTACCGTTATGATGCGGAAGGTTACAAAAACCATGTAAGGATAGAAAGAAAGAAATCAGGAATAATGTTTGTTCTTGTTTCTTGAAGGTAGTAAACGGCAGGGAATTTAATGTGAAGTTCAAGAGATATTTCATTGAAAAAACGTTTTGTAACTGGATCGATTTTAATACTACATCAAGGGCGCGAAAAAGCATAAATATTAACCTTTGATTAAGGGACTGTGACGTCACGGACGTCTGGTTGACTTTTTTAATTATGTCAACTACGGGTTCTTGTTCGCCATAGAACTTCGGGGAAACCACTTTCGAATATATGACAAAACGGCATTTTCCGGTCAAACATATATTGCCTCCCAAGATGGATATCATACCGTATCAAGCGTTTCAAACAACAGCAAGTAAACGAACTGTGAAAAATTGTTAGGCTAACAAGTTTTCAAAAACCACAGTTGCAATCCGTTTCAATCTTGTTCAAATTTGTTCATCCGTGCCTCCTTTGAACTGTGTTATTATATCTTCGTATTATCGGTAATTTTTATGTTTCCCTCACTTTAGCGGGAGTTCCCGCCATTTGAATTTCGATAAATTTCGTGACACAGCTGTTGCCTTGTCCCTAGGCCTCATTATAATGCGCGGCCGATGCGTTTCGGGTCACGTGGTCCGAGAAAGTTTTTGAAAGTCTCCCGGCCATTCGTCTCGGATACGTCACCGAAATGCATTGACCGAGAGGGCCGCACAGGGACTAGGCAAACACAGCTCCTTTAGAGTATGGTCTATAAATGACTTTCTTTGCACGACTGCACGGCTCGGGGGGTACTTAAGGAATTTTCGGCCGGTGGGGATGTTTTGCTGGGACCTTGGAATCCTTAGGTTATTGAGTGGCAATTCCCGGTTTCCCTAGTCTAGACTAAAATCTTCAACAAACTGATCAGTTTCGTGCAAAATGATACCCTATTGTAGACCCAAACTCTGATTTATATACCTTATCCCAGAGTAAACTTCTTGAAAACCATACCCTTCACAGCGTCAAATACCTATATAGCCCATATATGGTAGTACCCCCGCCCTCCCCGCTGTATGGTTCTTGATGATCTGACTGAGTTGCTTTATTTGTCATTAGGCTGGCACAGTGGCGAGTCACCTTCTCCAGATTCAACCCACATTCAAAGCGGATCTATTAGATGGAGTGGAGAAGTTCAAGGAAATGGTCACTGTATTTGTTCAGGAATATAACGAAAAGTGAGTAAAGGAAATACCTCTTACCTCCTGATCTTTTGTTGTGTTTCTAGACCATGAGATAATTATTTCCAATCCAAACACGACTTTAGTAACTTCCAAGATAGCGGTTTTTAATTAGTGATTCAGTTCAATCAACGGACGTTCCTTCAGAACAGATACATAGTTTTGCTTTGTCGGTTCCGGCTGATGCAAAATCATGACTTTGACTCCTTCCTTTCGGTCAATAATGAACACTTAATGACTTGTGCCGAGGGAAACAGTTAATTTTGTTGCCGAGGGAAACATTGAGATTCGAGGCCAAAAAATTAACTGTTTCCTGAGGGACCAGTCTCAAAGTGATTTGTTATACTACTTGAAATGTGAAAACGGCTTGGAAACTAAAATTTCGAGGACGTTTGTGGACTTTTTACATTTAGGGCATGAATTTTCCTTCATTTCAGGCCATGAAACCTAAAAATGAGCCTAGCTAGCTGTAAAAAGGGGCAATACGGAGGCAATACGTCCTAGCCGGCATGATCACATGCTGTTTACGGAAAATTTCCTCATCTATGTCAGGAAATTCTGTATTTTAAAGCCTCGCCTAGGGCATGACTCAGCAATTGAGGACATTTCTGCTACGTTTTCAATGTTGGTTAGAATGCAAGGATTTTTCCCATGCCTATCGTCAATGATTTGCTCATTGGTAATAGAGGGGGTGGTCCCAGAGTGGTTTTGCATTGAAATTGACATGCAACAGAATTTCGCATGCCTTGTAAGCATAATTTGAGGTTCTGTGACCTTCTCACCCAGGCCGCGAGAAGCCTAGGTTCTAGTATTAAGTAATTCATACCCAGCAAAATCTCCGGCATGCCGGGCATGCCAAATTTTCTGACATGCCCGGCATGCCAAATTCTCTGGCATGCCGGGCGTGCCATGATCTGGGTCATGCCGGGCATGCCAAAATCGGTCTCTGGCATGCTCTCAACGCTCAGGTTATAATTTCTTGAATCTACAGATATTTTAAGCTTGGCTAAAAGAAAAAAAAACTAAACAGATCACAGTGCTTATCTTTTCATATACGGTTACACGATGACGTCATTGCTAGTCCTTTCATTTTCATAGATTTGGTTGTCCCAGCGAAGTTTAAATAACAAAAGCTCTAATTTTCACAAGAAAGTAAAACCCTGAGGGATTCTGCCGTAGTAATAAAACTGCGTCATCGTGGAGATGACCTGTTGGGGGATTGTAAAAACTCCTCACCCCTTTTAATGAGTCTTTAATAGGATTCCCATTTCACATTGCGAATAAAATGGAATTGACTGAAATCAGTAAAATTAGAGACAGAGACTATTTTCATTGTATAATAAAATGCATCTATGTTCCATGAAAGCTTTTAAAAATACAAGGTTATAGAATATCTTTCAAAGTTCATTACAAACTGAGCTAAGCCCCAAAATCAGTGTTCATTATTCAGTAAATTATGATGTTTGACAATGCAATGTGCTTGAATATAACGTTGCAATTACAAATCTCTCTAACGCAATTTTCCCTACGTTAGAAAAGCTGTTTTTATCTTGTTTCACATTTTGATAAGGAGTCTGAGTTCCTCTTTCTTGTTTTGTAGGCTTGCCAGGGTTTAATGTTTTGTCTCATTACCAGTGTCTGTGTTCTTTGTTTTTAACTCAAAGTAAGTCAGTAATAACTGACAGTATCAAAGAATTGCTCTCTAGAAAAGTAATTATCTCCTCGTCATGTCTGGAAGTTACCTGTAACAAAAAAAAAGAAATGGAATGTTAACACATGCAAGGGCAATATGAAAAAAAGAAATAGAACATGTAGAGATCAGCTTCTCTTAACATATTTTCATACTGGCTTGTTGAGTCTGTTAAAGGTCGCAACTAATTGTCTGAGGCTGATTTCACAAGAGGGTGCAATTGAGATAAATGCATGGTAAATAAAGTGAAAGAAACGTGGTTTCACATTAGCCAATTTACAATGCGTTGTTCGATGATGTTTACACGCTTTTCTACTGCGAAATAAATCTTTGCATGTGGATTTGCAAGCCAAGATTATACCGAGTTTGACTGACACTTAATTGAACAACAGTTTCCTTTTTAAGCAGGTAAGGTGTAGACCCATATAAAGCCGGAATATGTAAAGGAAACTCAGCGAAAACTTTTTCGCGTCTTTTTGTGGCGATATTCTCTCACGGCCCGTCAACTGATTAGGGGTTGCGAAGAAAAAATAAATTAGGACTAAAGGTTAAAGCCTGTCCGGTTACATCATTTCGTATGTTACCTGGAGTTCTAATAAACAGGTCATAAAATAGGATTTAACGAGAGCGAATTTGTTTCTCAGTCGGCGTATAAAAAAGTGAAGCTATCAAATGAGAAGTTTATAGAGTATCAAAATTATTAAATTAAAAGCTCATATAATTAGGAAAATTCCTATACGAAAACAATGCTAGTGACATTAAATTGATCAGATAAAATTCTCAGAAAATACGTCGAATAAAAGCCTCATTGTTTGCTTTTGTTTTTGCGTAAAGGTAAATTTTTCGGCCCACAAAGCAAAGTTGAAAAAGCGACTAAATCTTTAGTTTTTTACGTTGAACATGTTTATTAGCCTAGTTTTCGTCCGTTTTAAAAGCTTTATAACCCAATCATAATTTTCGGGTTAAAATAGTACAAAATCATTTCAAAAACCATGTTCATTTAAAGTAGAGCCGGCAAACGTGAACATTTTGTAAGTCAAAAGTCGGACCCAGCCAGGTTGTTTAAGCTTAGAATTATTTGCATTTTAGCGTCCTATAAATTTACCAGAATCGCCTCTCAGAGGCTTACTGTAGCAAAGCATTTTGTAGTACACTCGTAGACAAGCAATGTAAGCCTTAAGTCTTTGCTTGGATGAGATGTCCAAAAGAAAAATTAGTTTTGTGGACCTAAACACACATTCACCGAGACTGCTTATAAATATTGAGTTGTTCACAACTTTGCATTGACACCTGCAGCATGTTCATTTTTTTTAAAGCGAAATCCAAATCTTATTTTGGTATTTGATTTACGGATATTTTATTTTGTCGCCAAAAGTGATTGTAATATCCGTTTGATTGTCTTTCAAACAACAGTCAAACTATGCAGCAAAATAAGTAACTTTACCAGTACAGTGAAAAAATATGACCGTAGGTGACAAAAAATAATTATACTCGAGCTATAAAATTAGATCTGACTTTTTTTATCTTTGGCGTCTTATTTTTGAAGTTTTCTCTAGTCTTCTGAAAGCAGAAGAAGATTACAAGACATACAAACAGAAACAATCCGAAGTGAACGAGTTGACAACCACTTATGCCGGAGTTCTTAGGCATGCTCAACAGCAAGATAAACTGAATGCCTAAAGGCTAATTCACGGGATTTGTTCGATATTCAGGCTTTTTCGTTACCAAATTAATACTAAATTTGTACTTACAGTCTCTCGCAGAATCCATTTCTTGTCCAGCATTCACTAACATCTCAACCATGCACCGCAGAAAAAAAGACAAACAAGTGCGAAGAGACATGACGACATCGTGACGCCACAACTGCCACGCTACAACAAACTAGATTCATCGTCATCCGAAAACACTTCTGCGGAAATTCGGTCGATTTCGTGCGTGCTCGGGGTATCTTCGGATGACGCAGATGACGTTGCTCAAAGGGCTATCGTCAGCAAGGAGTAAAACAGTTTGCGAGATTCGCATAGCCGACAAGGAGCGCACTGAAAAACTAAGCAAAATCTCTCTGAGAAGGCAGTCCAAATTCACCAAAGCAGAACGTCTTTGCAGTATTAACGTCGTACTCTTGTACTGACTTGAACGACCTGGTAAGCCTAATTTTCACCAGTCTTTTAATGCTGTTGACCGGGAAACTTTCGGACGCGATAGGGGATAAGTTTATACTGAGAAGATTTGTTATCTTATTGTTTAAGACGCTTTTCCGCGATCAAATTTAAATCTGGACCCAGAAATGTCAATATCGGTTTGAAATAAAAGGATTAATCTTTGATTGCAAGTTATGTATTCTATTTTATGCATGAATAATGTTGTTTTGTTGAACTTTTTATTTATAAATCCAGGCTTCTGTCTTCAGTTTTGCCAGTCGATCCCGTGACACACATTGTGACAAACATGACTTTTTTTGTTATAATCTGCATTTATTGCCAGGCATGAAACCTGTAACTTTAAGCTCCCTAAGATATATTTGGCGATTATATGTGATTCTCAGGATATGATGCTGAAGCGAACATCAAAATCAGTCTCGCTGGGCATGCCAAACCAGAGGAGCAAAAACTGGGAATGAATTATCAACCCGGTGAGAGATCTGGGACCTAAGTTTAGCTGGGTCAATTTTGGGCTGCGAGGGCATGAACCCATTTTTTCCATGCCTATGAGATGTTATTTCTAAGTACCAATGTTCCCTTGAATTTTGTCATGCCTAAATATATAAAATTTTCCCTCTCTCATTAATCCTCAGACTGGATGCGATTTTTACGCTCGCTAGGCATGTTCAACTGAAAATCATGCCCATACCCTTATTCAAAACAAAATGCTATCAAATTTTAGTTTCCAAGCCGTTGTGAAGCTGCAAATTCATTAAACCTCGCGGTAAGTCGTCGGTCAACATCCGCGGGTAACAGTGCACTGTTACCCTCTGACGGAGAGGGGGGGTGGTGAGGGCGGTCTCGAAAAAAATTTTTCCACCCTTCGGGCCTCAGTTTGGTATTAAAGTAAGGCGGCGGGCCCCTCGGGCCCCTTCCTGGATCCGCCACTGCTTAAGGTCTTTTCATTTACCGTGCTTTTTCTTTGTTGCACCGTAGAGGTCCCATGGTTCCTGGAATACCACCTCGAGAAGCAAGTGATCGCCTGGGAATTTTCCAAGCTCGATTTGATGAATTGTGGAGAAAATACGAAACATACTCTGGTAAGGATATTTTTCTCGTCATTTATTTTTTGGTCCTTCTTGACATTTCGTTGAACGTTGAAGTGGCCATAACGTAGAAATTTCTGTTATGTTAACTGGAAGATTTCATGACAACAAAAACTTCGAAAAAATTTTGCGTTTTTAAAATTAAAATGACAGGCTCTTGTATGACGTCATGAGACTTGAAGTCAGGAACTGAAAAACGGAATTTTGTGCATGTTTTTTCATTTCTTAGGTTCGCCAGAGTTATTGCGTCTCACTGCTACGCATCTTAATTGCATGCTATACCTTTTAAGAGCAGATTCAGTTTGTGTATTGGAAGAAATATTAAACAGATAAAAATTTTTCGGGTTATGGGAACTTTAAAGTGCTCTGAGTCTTGACGAACTTTCTTTATTTTGAAGGTGGCGAGGAACTGTTCGGTTTGACAGTAACCGAGTATCCAAACTTACAGAGGATCCGAAAGGAACTGGGCCTGCTTCAGAAGCTGTACAACTTGTACAACTCTGTAATAGATAATGTGAACGGTTACTATGACATTTTGTGGCAGGAGATCGACATCGAGAAGATCAACAATGAATTGATGGAATATCAGAACAGGTAAATATCTTTGAATTATAGAGCCTGATTTCCCTATTTGCGGTTTTTGCTGTTTTTAATAGATTTCTGACGTTCGTATTTGTATGTGTTACAATCATGCAGCGACCTAAACGGAGAAGAGTGACGTCACAGAAATTCAAATTTGTGAAATTATGGATTGATTAGCATAATTATTCAGAAAAAAAACAAGATGGAAAAAGCCCCCTTGCTAAAAATCAGTCTGTTAGTGCAAATTAATAGGTAGATAAATGCAGCGGTTTTCTCTGATGACTTCAATACAAATCCTTTTTAGAAGGATTTATATGGAGTCATCGGAGAATAACGTTGCTTATATCTCCATGCCATCACTTCTGTTCTCTATAGCTTGGGGCCGATGGACTAAAATACCCCAGTAAGAATTTGACGTCTAGTTTATTCCCAGCTAATATACAGTTGTTCTATCGCAGGATCCGAAAGTTGCCGAAAGCCTTAAAGGAGTGGCAAGCATTCTTAGATCTGAAGAAGACAATTGACGATTTCAGTGAATGCTGTCCTCTTCTAGAAATGATGGCTCATAAGGCCATGAGACCACGCCATTGGGAGAGAATTTCAACCATCACTAGCGTGACATTAGATGTGGAATCTGAAACATTCCAGTTAAGGCAGCTTATGAGTGCTCCTTTGCTACCAAACAAAGAAGACATAGAGGTAGGCTTAAATCTTTTAACTTATGAGTTTTGTTATGTTAGGAAAAAAATTGTGGGCGTGCCAGTGGAAGTGGCTCCTTTCTCACCAACGGGATAAAAACATTGCTGTTTGTCGTAAAACATTTGCTTAGTAAGTGTCAAGAAAGAATTACACTTAAGGAAATTTTAAGAAGTCATTTCTGGAACTCAATTACTGTGGTGGTTGTGGTAATTCTCTCTTTTTCGTCTAAACTGCGTTCTAATTGTCACAGGTGCTTTTGATTGGAATATTTGGGTTTGAGTTGGAAAACCTGGTTTTTCTTTTTAATAAACCACGAATCAGTTTTGAATTTTTCTAACGAAATCCGTTCATAAAAATAGAACATCTCTCTCCGAGATCGGATTTCAAATACTAACAAGGCCGGTTATTTTAATTAAACGTACCTTTAGTATGTTTTCCAGTTTCAGTTTCTTTTTGTATCCTCTGAAAGTTTTGCTACTCTGTTATTTTTAGTGATGGCATGTCTCCCTCCTCTTTAACTTTTTTGTACGTATCTATCACATAGCTAGTCACCATGCTAATCTTATCAGGAAGTGGGATCAAATTCGAAAACAATAAGTTTTGCTTTCTGATGTTGAAAGAGCTATTAAATTTTTGCTCAATTTTTTAAAAGGCCAAACAATTGCATCTTCACACCCAAGAAATTCCGATGATTTTTTAAGCAGCGATTTTGCCTCTTCGGTGAAGCGAAGTAATAAGCAACATTCCCCGTGGGGAGGGTGTTACATTATGTCTCCCGCGAAGCAAAACTCACTCGGGGGAGTTGGGTAAAAACCACTCTTTCTCCCTTATCCTTTGGTTGCGCCCCACTATTGCAGACTGTATGTGGTGTATATTAGTTGCTGATTATATACCATCATTGAATTGTTATAGGATGTGTGTATAGCTGCTGTCAAGGAACGTGACATTGACTTCAAGTTAAAGGGCGTGGTTTCTGAGTGGAGTACACAAGTGTTCTCATTCTCCAATTTTAAGAACCGTGGTGAACTGCTGCTTAAAGGATCTGAGACATCTGATATTGTATCACTTATGGAAGACAGTCTGATGATACTTGGCTCCCTGCTAAGTAACAGGTACAACTGTCAGCTAAGTCTTGTTTCCGGAACTAAACCCCGAAAAATCCTATCGAATAAATAGGGCTCTGCCATCTGTAACTTGAATAGCCATTCTGTATACCTCTACATACAAGAGTTGCGTAGTTAGTCACCCCACTTTGCATAGAAAACTAGAAAGGTAAGAAGTACCACATACATCATAAAAAGAAGTATCGTGCACAGTAGTGCTGAGAAGGTTTTATATCATAATGAACACCTCGGAATTTTGTCCTTGAAAAAAGAGAAAAACCACCCTACAAGTCAATGGAAATAAAACGATTAAGACTGACACCAGGACGTGCATTTTTCACTGCGCACAGTTTCAGGAAGTCATGTGAACTCTGATGATGTTTTTCCGTGGAGATGGTTCTTTCCAAAACTTAAAAAGGAATACGTCTTGGCCCATGCAGGTGTAGTGGGAATTCCAGCAACATTTAAGTCTTTATCTCGTAAATAAATTATTACATGGTCTGATAGTTGAGTTTATTTTCAGATACAATGCTCCATTTAAAGCAGACATTCAAAAGTGGGTAGCGAAGCTGACTGGTTCCACAGAGATTATCGAGAACTGGCTAGTTGTGCAGAACTTGTGGGTTTATTTGGAGGCTGTATTTGTGGGTGGTGACATCGCCAAACAGTTGCCTCAGGTTTGTGTTCTCCTTTTAAAAGTTGCGTTATAATTCGCTCGTATTTTGCTGTGCAACGGCGTGGCCAATATGTTGTCAAAACTCGTATAACGCGCTCGTTTTACATTGTTCTCGCATACATAATTTTACCATCTGTACTTTTCTTATGAAGTGTGTATAGTTTTTAGATAGTTTTACACGAAGATTTTGAAATCTTGAATATAATGTTAAGCGCCTTTTGATGGCTGCAGAAAAGGGGCTATATAAATAGGCTATGTCCGAGTTCCCCGGGTCTCTGTATGAAAACAAGGTTAAGTGCTCAGCCTTTGATGTGGAAATGATTTTGCATTCTCATGAAAATAAAACTCATTTCACGAAAAATTATGTGCGCTTGGACTCATTTTGAAGGTGAGGGTTTTTGGAACTCGGAAGTGGCTCCTTGGTTGCTATCTTTTTAATGTTGAGGTCTGACTTACCATGGGTACCAGAGGTTTTTCCCGCGTGCGGCGGGAATTTTCGGTGTTGGTCGAAGGCCGACACATCTTCGGCCGTAGGCCGAAGCCACGAGCGGCGAAGCCGCGAGTCACTATAAAGACTCGACAGAAACCGGAAACCGCGCTACAAAAGTCTCTGGCACCCAGGGTAGGTCTGACTTGCAATTTCGCGGAAAGTTAGAGTATTTTGTAGTATTAATGAAAGGTCCTTGGCAACATGCCTTGCTGAGACTCGGTCAGATCTGCGTGGTAAGTGACAGAGACAATTGCCTCACATACAGTTTGGTCTATTGTTTATCGACCTAAACACGTACTAACAAACAAACACTAGTTTTTGTTAATTTGTTCCACAGGAAGCAAAGCGTTTCAGTCAGATTGACAAGTCTTGGGTGAAGATCATGAACCGTGCCCATGAGAACTCTAACGTAGTACAGTGTTGTATGGGAGATGATACTCTTGGACAGCTTCTTCCACACATCCTGGAACAGCTTGAAATATGTCAGAAATCTCTAAGTGGGTAAGGAAACTGGTCATATTTCAACTATCTTAGCAAAGAGTCTTCACGTTTCTTTCTGAAGAGATGATGAAGCGCCGAAATATCAGGACTGAGTTGAGTTCCTTGTTTTTGCCCCCGCAGGGTTCCTGCCCAGAGGCCGGAACCCGAGGAGGCACCCTAATGTCCCCCGCGTAAAGAAGAAGTATCGTATTACTGTTAGTATATGCGAAGCTTTCCCGATTTGATGAAACTAGGCGCGCACGGTGGTCCCGGTTAATTTTCAGCATGTGCGCCTGGCTCAGCAACTGCGCAAACTGGGTTTGTCAACGAGTCGCATTCGCCGAATTGTGTCGCACACGAGCACAACAAGTGGCTCCAAATCCTCGTCCGGGAAGATTTTCCACCGAAACTCCTCTAGAGCGAGAACGCCGACTTCAAATTCAGCGTGAACAACGAAGGAGAAGACGTCAACAAGAAACCGCGGATTAGAAGGAACATCGATGAGCACAGCGAAGGCAACGCCAACAACAATAGACAGAGGAACAGGAGATTGGAATCAAAGGAATTATGATTGTTTTACACTGTCGAAAACCCAGATTTCTTCGTTTGCCGGTTTCCTTGCAGATATATAGATCAAAGTCTGCTAAGTTTCAGCTCCGTCTTACGGCCCGAAGAATAATAATTTTCAGGCGAACTGCACCGGGCTATATTTGTTCTTTGTTTTTGTCTTTTTCTAAATGCGGGCGGCGAAATAATGCTAAATGTGCTTTTCAATACACTGTTAACAATAACACTACATAATACGCAAAAAGAAGAAGAAGAAGAAAAGAAAGAGCAACGTATGGACCTTTAACACGATATTCGCGGTTGGTCACCCGTCCAGTTCGTAACCCCGACCGACAGCTGGGCTTAACTTGTGTGCCGTTACCAAACCGAGTTTCGCGAAGGTTATTGCGAGATACATATTTCTATAGAGTTAAAAAGTTATTCAGCAGTACTGCAATTGTTTGGTATTAAAGAACTTGATTTGTCAGACACAAATCAGCAACGTGGATCGACAGAACTTTGAACTGGTTTTGTCAACGTGGATCGACAAACTCGAGGAATAGCTCAAATTTCTCAAAACCCAGTCAAAGACAAGAAAGGTGCTATCGTGAAATAACCGGGTTTTGTTCTATATTAAGGTATTCAGGGTTTAATAAACAGTGGTCCATGTGTTTTTAGGGTTAGTTTATTGCGAAATCCCGATTATTTTATTTGATACAAGGACATGCCAGAAAAAATGAACTGGGAAATATCTCAAAGGTGAGAAACTTGAAGCAGTCGTCCATGTTTTTGTAGGGTTAGTTTATTGCGAAATCATTTATATCAGTTGCGTTCGACGTTGCCTTCAAGAATGTCACACTCGAAGCCAAAGCATCCGTTCGACACATTAGTTATAGGAAATTTAGTTACAAATAGATAATTAAAGATGGTTTTGCTGTTTAACACGCGCTCTATTACATTTGCAGGTTTGGTTAAACTCATTATGAGATGTATTACTATAAAAAACAATTGTCCATCCTAGGCATGTCATGTATGAGGATTTTCATTAACCCACGAAACAAAGTGTAATAATTGAGAAAACATAAAAGAGAACAAAAGAATTACACTCACAAACTCTAATACGAAAACTGCATTTCAAAGGTTCATGGCAAATACATGGACAACCACAAGGAGTCTTCATTCGGGTTTTAAAAGGTCGGGGGCAGATTTAGTGACAACTACAACTAGTATATAATCTTAGAACAGACGCATTACATGACCACATATGATATATATTTGCGGGTAGAACTTTTTTATGCCGCAATGACACAGTTCTAAGTTTTTTAATCACCAAGTCAAGTGAACGAATTAAAGACCAATCTCTATTTTCGTTGAACGACGTTCGAAATATTGGATGGCATATTAGTAGGGCAAAATACACGGATCAACAGTAACAGTTGATCAAGAGCTGTAACAGTGTTGATCAGTATATATTGAAGCGGTCCTTACTCTATGAAGGTAAAACAATTGTAGAGTAGAATTTTAATCCGGAATTAGCGCTACTCTAATTCAAGAACCGAGCTTGGATCGTTGACTCAAGTCCCCATTATATCTTTTTTTACTATGACTGGCTAGCTTTTTGAAGTAGTGACTTACATTTGTTGCTAATGATTTTCAGTTACCTTGAGAAAAAACGTCTGGTTTTCCCGCGCTTTTTCTTCGTGTCTGATCCCGCCCTGTTGGAAATCCTGGGTCAGGCCAGCGACTCACACACCATCCAGGCTCATCTTCTGGGGGTATTCGACAACGTCAAAACGGTCACATTTCACGAGAAAGAGTATGACAAGATCTTGGCGATCAACTCACGTGAATTGGAATCTGTTTCCTTGGATAACCCAGTCATGGCGCAGGTAATTCTGAACGGGACTTTTTCTAATACAATGTAAAAATACAAAATATGCATACCGCTTACTAGGACTGCAAAGGAGGTAAAGCTCTTTTTTCAGCACAAGAGTTAATGAAGCGTTTATTGGTTAGATTCAGGCGAAGCTATTCAGTCAGCACTTTACATAAAAATCAAGCACATACAAATGCCTTCTCATAAATTCAAATCTCAACCCTTTTAACAACTTTGTCATTTCATGTTTTTTTTATTCTTAACAATGATGTTGGATACATTACTTCTATGTTGTCTTTAAACTACGATTTGAGTTGGCCAAGTTATGTCTGTTCCCATATTTGGCAAATGTCGCAATCAATTGAAGAATACACGCGTGTATTTTTCCTTATTGCACAGGTTCTGTTTGTTGGATATATTGATTGAAATGTCTAATTTTTCAAATGTTAACTACTGTGTGAGTTTTCCAAGGGCCTGTTCCCACATGTTAGGCAAATGTTTTAATCAGCTGAAGAATTTATTTCGTTTACAAATCTTTTCTTATTGCACAGATCTTTTAGCCTGTCTTAATCTGTTTATCATCCTTTATGTTTGTTAGGGAAATGTTGAAGTATGGTTAAACACACTTTTGAAGGAATCCAGAAGCTCTCTTCACTCTGTGATCCGCATGGCGTCAATTGCTATCAAAGATCCCAGTTTCAAGCTGAAAGATTTCTTGGACACTTACCCAGCACAGGTATAACGCGAATGTCAATTTCACTTGTGGATTAGAACTTATCTGAATTATTCACGTGGCTGCCTTGTCCTTTGTCGCCGCCATAGAGGGCAGCGAGTCAGGCTATCATGGGAAAGATGCAGTGCATATAGTGCTTGCCAAGAAACAGCGGGCACCGCTTGAGCTTGGGGGCGAGGGAGTTCACATAAATAATCGGGGCAATAACAGTAAAGGTAGCATAACTATAAACTTTGGAATACCAGGGAAGACGGGACTGTTTCCTGAGGGCAGACATAACTAATTAGTTATACAACTGCCGAAAAAAAAAAACAATAAAAAAACCTTGTACTCCGTGTAGGAAACGTTTGCCAAGATGTATCCCGCACGTGAAACATTTATTTAGTCCAGGCCACGTGAATACCAATCGGCCAATGGCAGTCAGCGTTATTTTTAGGGGAAACCTTAGGTTTATAACAGCAGCATGCGCAGTCACCGGAAAATTTTGATGCATCTAGCTAAAGATCAACCTGTTTTTCTTTTCAATATTTACCACAGGTCGGTTTACTTGGAATCCAAATGATTTGGACGAGAGATGCAGAGGACTCCTTAACATATGCCAAATCAAACAAAAAGGTAACAAACTTTTTACCTCCTTCCGGAAACAGTTTTTGCTCTGTTTTATCTTATTAGCGTTCTCCTTTTTTCTTATGGTAGATCATGGAAGAAAGAAATCAGTTTTTCATGAGCATGTTGAATGAGTTGATCGAAGTTACGACACAGGAACTGACCAAAGTGGAACGTACTAAGTTTGAGACCCTTGTCACCATTCATGTCCATCAGAGGGACATTTTTGACGAGCTGGTAAGTTGACAACGCTAATGGGACAACAAAAGTGAACATGATCTTCGCAGTAGAATAAACAACCTTAGTTGTTGAAAAAAAACCTTTAAACTCATCGCTAATTATGGGCTTGGGAGCAGGTGCCTTAAAGGTTAAAGGTTAAAGGTTAAAGGGGGCCAAATGCAATGAGCAGAGAGGGGGTATCCATGGCAACCCTGGAAGCGGGAACCACCTCAAGAGCGCCCATTAACCGGCACCGTCACACTGAATGAAATTCAGTGGAGATACTTACCTAAGAGAATACTTACCTGAGAAAATACTTACAAAACTACCAAGCAGGGAGGGAGGAGAGGGAGAAAGAATCCGCAATGTTTCGCAAGAAGGGAAAAATTGATCCGCTACGATCAGTAAGCAAAGCTACAATGCAACGCAACACTAGCAAAAGAGCACACAAGGAGCCCTTCAATTCCCCGAGGGCTGCCCCGTAGGTCACGTACTGGAGTGGGAGAAGACCGCTCGCCAACTCGCTCGAGTTTAACTTTGCTTAAATGATATTTTGCCACATGAAAAAAATTCATGCTTGACCGGGAATCGAACCCTGGGCCTTTGCGATGACCGGGTACAGTGCTTTATTCATTGAACTAATCAAGCCGTCTGGAGAGCAAGCTATCGTGACTTCGTTATATACCCGTTGGTGAAAATGACATGAATTGAATGTGTATTGTTAAGTGTCTATACCAGCTGTGTCTGTCTACCCGCTGTGTGACTCATGAGAGCACACCCTCTATCTACAGTCAAAACTGTTGGAAGGCTACTACTTTTTAACTTTGTTCCCTTATTCTTTCCGCCCCCTGACCCACTGTTGGACGAAACTAAATTGTTTGTGCTGCAATTGTAATTGAACGGGGGAACGGGAAATATTTAGCGAAATGAAAAAATTTTTTTGAACATTAACATGGACTGCTTTTAATTTGTATAACTTTCCCAACTAATTTTGTCCGGGACTGTAGCTTGAACTCAGCTGTTTACAGCTTCTCTATTTTCTCATCGCAAATTAGAAGTAATGCAACAAACAGTTGGGGAAGCAAACACCAAATTCTGAGGGATTAGGCAGAGTTTCGTGACTCTCACGCTCCGCTTTGACATGCATGACATACGCGCGTTTGGGCGCGAAAATTGGCCCTTTGTACGCCTACATGATACAAAAAAAAACACCTTGCTGGATGGCAAACGGCGCAGAGGGAAAGAAAAGCAAAGAGATTACGTCATTCAAAAAGCATATATCCTTTCTCTTCACGTTCCCACTGCGTCGATGCCATACAGTAAGGTGTTTTTTTGTACCATGTGACCGTATTCTGCAAAAGGCCCATACCGGGCAGTGAATAGTATAGCTTGAACCGATTTAATGTACGGAACCCTCTACCCCTTCTTTCAACGGTTCTACTCAGTACTAAACTCACCCGGACGGCCATTAACAATGCACTTTTTGCAAGTTTTGTCTGATCATTCATCACTGATTCGTTGTGTCAACAGTGTAAGAAGAACATTAAGCTACCAACAGACTTTGAATGGCTGAAGCAGTCACGTTTCTACTTCCGCGAGGAGACGGACGAGTGCGTGGTATCCATAACTGATGTGGACTTTATTTACCAGAATGAATTCTTGGGCTGCACCGACAGGCTTGTTATCACGCCTTTAACTGACAGGTTAGGAGAATGTTTGAAATACCGCAAAACTGCGAAAATAAGCCCCCCAAACTCGTACCGCAAAAAACCCTCCGTTAAATCGCCTCTCCAAATATAAGCCCCCCCGGGGTCTTGTACTTGGAAATTGTCGTCAACTTTACAAAGTAAAACAAAGCAAAAACGGTAGAATTCCTTCCAACTATAAGGCTGGCCCGATCGATTTTGAAACGTAAATTTCCCTCCATACATAAACTCCTTCAAAAATAAGCCCCTCAAAAAGGGCCTTCGAAAAATATTAGCCCCGGGGCTTATTTTCGGAATTTTACGGTAGCCGATGCAGGCAATGGTTTTCCCGACACCGACCTCGTTAAGAGTCGGGCCATTAGAAACGTTATGGGCGGAGCGGGTGGGGGATGGAACGAAGTGCAAAAAAAATATTCATGCAAGGGAAAATTAACTATAGAAATAAGTGAAATGTTAACGAAAAAATATTCATACAGCTCGAAAATTCCCCACATCCGCCATAACTTTTCTAATGGTCCGCCCCCAAGCTTTTTTGTCAGTTGCCGTTTTTATACTAAGGACGCATTATCCGGGTTGTGACTAGAATGGATACCTCAAAGTCAGATTGACATCTTCACTCAAAATACATGATAGGAGTCTTATAACTTGCAGTAGTTTGTACTTAATTTTTAACGTACTTTACATGGCGTTGATCGTTACATTATTGAAAGCTAACCGCTTTTAAAAAAGTGCTTAACCCTAATCACTGTACTTCGGTGCTAAACCCTCTATACAATTCTTTTCCTTGCACAACTGTCTCTTACTCTGATTTCCCCACTTTTCTAAAAGTTCTCGTGCCCAATAAATTCGCCTAAATATGGTATGGCGCGGTGTAGAGTATAGCTTTTTGTAATAAACATAAGGTGTCCAACCTCATTTTGAGGTATCCATTCTAGTCACAACCGCATTATCCGTCTGGACTAACTTGGGCAAACATTTTGTAGTTCGTGTGGTTATGGGTTTCTAGTATAAAGACAGGCACAAGACGCATTATGTGTCCAGACTAACTACCTTTCGTAGTGTGTTGTTCAAGACTGATACTGTTGTTGTAATTTTGTGGTTTTGAACATGTGTGTTTTGGTTTTGTTATTGTTGTTGTTTTCTTTTTGCAAAGTGGTGAACCGTTAATATTTCCGCTTAGGTGTTACATCACTCTGGCCCAGGCTCTTGGTATGTCAATGGGTGGCGCTCCTGCTGGACCGGCAGGGACTGGAAAGACTGAGACCACGAAGGTATATTTTCTAAAATGACATTGTGTGTTAACTGCCTCAAAAACAAAACAATGTGAAATGCAAAATATCAAAACTGTTCCGAAGTCCAGAGAGTACAGGACAAGGAGAAGTAAGGAGCGAATGGAGGAGGCTGCGTGGCTGCCGAGTGATTAAAGTGACGACTTGCGATCTGGAGCCTCCGAGTTCACCCTAATCGCTAGCTGAATTTGTTTTCAGTAGTCCCGAGTTCAAATCCTGGACAACGCTTCAAAATTGTCTGCTGCTATGCCTCCTGCTATGCCTCCTGCCACTTAGGATTTGATGATGATCATCATCATCATTATCATCATCATTATCATCACCATCACCATCATCATCACCATCACCGGCGGAGTACCGGGAGGAAAACCTCTCGAAGCAAGGGCGAAAAGCAACAACATACGCAACACACCGATGATGTCGCTTTCAGGATGCGAACCTCGACCACATTGTGACATGCGAGTGCTCTCACCATCGCACCGCGATTGAACCCAAGGGTGGCCACAAATTCCTTTTTTCCCACAAAGTTTACCAATAAAGTTTTCTGTTCTTTGTTTTAGGACATGGGAAAAGCCTTGGGTAAATTCGTTGTTGTTTTTAACTGCTCTGATCAAATGGATTACCGTGGTTTGGGCCGTATCTACAAAGGTAACTCTCTTTATTCAACCACTCTATTTCAGAGAGCACTAAAAAAAATGAATGTCATCTTGTCCGACAAGCATCGCTTAAGTTTTACTTGGCGACGACCAGCGTATCGTCGTCCGAGATTGTGATTTGGTTAGAAGTTGTCCTGCCTGGGCCTTCGCCCATTGGGCTAGTGAGAATAAAATTTACTTGCCTAATAGGAAACTTTACCTCTCGCGGACGAACGGGTGTGACTTTTGCGAGTTCTGTGGTGAAGCTACGATGATCTTTAGAGCCGTTGCGGTTAGTTGGGGTTTGTGGTGGAGACAGCTGACACTTCAAACAGTTAAAAATGCAGGCTAAAATTTGTTGGATGCATCGCTTTAAGAAATAATTGATTTTGTTATTTTCTGTATGGTAGGTCTGGCTCAGTCTGGAAGCTGGGGCTGTTTTGATGAATTCAACCGTATTGAGCTTCCGGTGTTGTCAGTGGCGGCACAGCAGATTCACGTGGTGCTCACGTGCAAAAAAGAGCGGAAGAAAATGTTTATTTTCACTGACGGGGATGAGGTGGACATGGACCCTGAATTCGGTATCTTCTTAACCATGGTATGCAAAGTTAACTATGTACAGTATGTGCAGTACATGATATGGGTAATTATTTCCTTATTCCGTGCCCCGCCTACAAATTCTATTGATTTTTGTTATATAATTATGTATGGCGATGTTAGTGATATGAAATAAAGTAAGTAGATATGTCCAGAAGGGGTAACCTTTGAAATGCGGGTAGAAGGAACAGTTTTCAAAAACGCGTATTGCAATCTTTTTTACTCTTCTTCAATTTTATCTATCCGTGCGCTCTGTTAGTATGTGGGTAATCAAGGATTTGGACAAAACGCAAGTGAAATTATTCCCTAATTTCACGAGTATACCATTTGATTACCTATTAATATCATGGGCGACGAATTACGTTAGCAGTCTTGGATTTTTGACATGTTTATCCTCAGTCGTATCGATCGAGAGCTCCTGCACTCTCTCGAACGTTTAGAGGTTAAATTTGGCTTAGGTTCAGAGTTTTTCGACAAAATACCTGTTAGAATCCTTCTTGATGTGCTCTTTCGTGTGTTCAGGTTTTCTAAAGCGTCCTTTTGTGCCCTGACATCTTCATTCATGACATTTTAAAACTTCGTCGCCATCTTGACACTGAGACGTACGGAAGGTTGCCATGGCAATTTTGTAATTTCGCATGTGAAATTACAAATTAACGCTGAAATTTTGCGCCAAAATTAAGGAGTAATTCGTCACCTATGATATTAGCTGTGTTATTTGTATCTCTCTTCACTTTTGTATGTGGCTATTACATTTCTTTAAATTTGGTACGTAGCCAGTTCCTAGCTATTGCTTTATTTGGCTAAATTAGGTGACGTCACTCCCTTCTCTTTCTTTGAATAGAACCCAGGTTATGCTGGCCGACAGGAGTTACCGGAAAACTTGAAAATTATGTTCCGCACCGTGGCTATGATGGTACCTGACCGACAGATCATCATCAGGGTCAAGCTGGCTTCTTGTGGCTTCATCAAGAACGTTATTCTTGCTCAGAAGTTTTTCACTCTCTACAAACTGTGCGAAGAACAGCTCACTAAACAGGTTAGTAGCTTCTTGCGTTATAATGTGAACTTTACCTGCTTTGTGTTCTTCGTCAGTCATATAACTAGTACTGAGTATAATATTCTGGCCCAAACAATCCCTTCCCTAACCCAACATTTTTCCTTAAGTGGGAAGTTCATGTTAAAGTTGGGTTGGGGGAGGGGTAAGTAGACAGTTTCCCATGATCTTAAAATACAGATTTAGTCAAGTTTCTTCTATGTGACCTCCTAGTGTGGGTCTCTGCCGTTGTTCAAACTGTTTGTTTTACTCTCTGTAAAGCGGATACTTGCCGAAGACGGTCGTTTAATTCTGGTTCCAACGGGGTCGGTCTTAGATCGAGTTGACTGAAGGCCTCCTGTTCACCTCGTTATTTTCACGTATTACTCGATTTAGTTCTATTTGAACCGGTATTTAGCTGTATTTGACGTTCATATGTTTTTGCCAACATACTTCTTTAAATTACACTGCTATCAATTGGTTATAATTTATTGGGTAAGTGATAAGCGAACAAACAGAAGTATTGACGTCTTCTTTTTCCTACTAGGTGCATTACGATTTTGGTCTTCGTAACATCTTGTCAGTTCTCAGAACACTTGGAGCAGTCAAGAGAGCCAACCCGGAGGTAACGTTATTTTTTTCTGCGCATGTCTCACCTTTTTATTTTTGATCCGACGCAATATTTTTCAAACTACGCTTCGAGAGTGAATACCCAGATTTTTCACTAACCTGCTAAGAAACTATAAAAGCTATAATATACCAGAAATTGTTCATGTAGCACGTGATACTAAGGCTGCCTTCACACAGGAATGGACGAGTTTTCGATCGTCTGAAAATTTTTACCGGATACTTTGTTCACACGTGACCGTGCAATATTCTCGCTCTGTGCACACTGAACTTTGAATGGCAAGGCGTCTGAATTTTCGCACGGTTATAGTTGTTACGTGTGAATTGAAATCTTAATCACAGGGTTCGCACAGACGTGAAAAGTCCTTGAATTTAGGGGGAGTACAACGTATAGGCTAAGAGGCGAGGGCTTGAATTTGAAATTACCTAACTTTAATCTTAAATTTAAGAAGAATTCTTTCACTTACTCATGAACTAAGTTATGGAACAGTTTGCCTTTTCAAGTGCGTCTCTCAAGTGATGCTAATGACTTCAGAAGTAGATTGCACGATTGTAGCTTTCAACTGTTTTTAGAACGAGTATTATAGTTTTCCTAGTCACATTTCTAGTATGTGGCTTTTTAGTCGGTTTTAGCTTTTTATATTTTTAATACCAAGTTTTTTTATATGTATCTATTTATTGAGTTGTTTTTAAAATTGAATAATATTATATAGTTGTAATTATTATAGATTTTATTTATACACGTTCGTATTTTGAACGAGTTTTTTAGCTCTTTGACGCAACGTGTTAAAATAAATGATTGATGATTGATGATGATTGAGTCCTTGAAAAGTCCTTAAATTTCTGTTCAAGTCCTTGAAAAGTTCTTGAATTTTCTTCAACTTTCAATGTAATGTCCTGGAAAGTGTTTTTAATGCTTTTGGCTGTGCAAGACAGAACATAAATCATAGCTCAGAGAATTTAAAGGTTATTTACGTAAAGCTCTCTTTGTTTTATGCAATAATTATCATTCATAAGACAAGTGAACTGAAAAATGTAGAGAAGGTGGTGAAACAAGTACTTCAAGCCTTAAAGTCTTGTTATATAGACTGGGAATGTGCATTTTTGTACAATCTGTGAAACTATATTCCTGTTAGGTGGTCCTTGAAAATCGAATGTGGACCTTACAAAGTCCTTGAAAAATGGTTGCAATTTTTTTGTATGACCCCTGAAACAGGCGCCTTTTCGACCGGTCGAAAATTCTGTGTATTCATATACGACCTCTTTGATTTCTGTTAACAGGACGGTGAAGATCGTATCGTGATGAGAGTTCTTCGTGACATGAACTTGAGTAAGCTGGTCGACGAAGATGAACCGCTGTTCATGAGTTTGATCGACGATTTATTCCCAGGCCTTACTCTTGACAAAGCAGGTTACCCGGATATTGAACAAGCTATTGCTGATTGCGTGGAGGAGGCGAAACTTGTAAATCATCCGCCTTGGACTCTCAAGCTGATTCAGGTTTTATTTCTCTCTTGGATAACCAAGGTTGCTAATAAATAAGTAGAGCGCGCTCTTTTAAGAAAAAAATATTTCTGTTATAGTTCACTCCCCTCTTACTGTTTAGTTATTCTACTACAAACCAATAGTAAACCTAAAATCTCAAAAGAAGGACAGAAAATGGATACAGTCAGACCCCCTCAATACGGCCATAGGAAGTGACCGTATTAAGCGGGTTGAATGTAGAGAAAATGTAAGGAAGGCGTTTCCCCAGGGACAAAGCAAACTGTCCGTAATAACGAGGTGTCCGCACTAAGCGGGGTTCGACTTATTTTATTAAGTGATAGTATGGTGCCGGCGAGTGTGGTTTTTTAGACCTTATTTCTGAGGTCTTCGGACACTTTCTACGCATGGCGACGAGAAGATTCATAATCAGTATTTTCTATTCTTCATTCACCGTCAACAACAAACGTATTTAGGACTACGCTCGCCCGGACGATCATATTCCACCTACTTATGACTCCCTCAAACAATTTACTATCTGTCTTTTAGAGTGCTTTTATTCTTTAATTCTTAATAACCTTATTTTGTTTTGTTGTTGTTGTTGTAGTTGTATGAGACCCAACGTGTTCGTCACGGCATGATGGCTCTTGGCCCGAGTGGTGCTGGAAAGACTAAGTGTATTAATATTCTTATGAAGGCCATGACTCAGTGTGGTGCGCCCCACAAAGAGTTTCGTATGAACCCCAAGGTATTGAATCAACAGTGAACTTTTTTTGTGTTTTCAGCTTTGTCGAAGCTGGTACCTTAGCTACTTTGCTGTTATGTTATGTAGTGTAGGTAAGTAAGTTAGTCCAATTTTGGAAAGGTTTGGAAAGGCATCGAAACGCCGAAGGGTACAGACGATCTTTCATCGCAGAGTGTTTTGTCTTTTGATGACAGGCGTCTGTTGCAACGAAGCTTTCAGAAACCTTTAGTTTTATTGGCCTTTGACGATGCAGCTGCCATTTTTTTTTTTAAGGCCGGGTACTTTTTTGGGGCCATTCATCTATTGTTTCGTTAACTATTTTAACAACCCACCCAAATTCCTTAACATCACATATAGTGACAGTGACTTTAAATGCCACTTTGTTTTCTCTTTTAGGCCATCACAGCACCCCAGATGTTTGGCAGACTAGATGTCTCTACTAATGACTGGACTGACGGAATCTTTTCCACGCTGTGGAGACGAACACTGAGAGCTAAGAAGGTGAGTTTTCCGGTTCAGTAGAAATGAATCACAATCACAAGATAAAGCACTAGAAGTTTGTAGTTAAGAAATTCTCACCCGATACACACATGTATTCAGAATGTGCCTCTATGTGACTGTCAATTTTATAGTGCAAAACACCTTTGCACTTAACTGAAGAACTTTGCTTAGTTTGTCCCCGTATCTGTAAACCTGAGGTAATTTTGGAGGTACAATTCAGTTTTTTATATCTCAGATTAAACACTCTCAATATCCGCTTTCAGTTTATTTATTGAAATATAGAAACTGTCTCAGCTTCCAATAGCAAACGTAAGATATATTAAAATTCTAACATGGCTTTCTGGTCATTTTTCTATATTTGGTTTGATTTTCTTTGTGCTCAAGTCTCTTCTGGGAATTGTGAGACAATGGAGTCGTGAAAAATTTGCAATTTTGTCCCTAAAGCCTCGGAGTAATGTTAGAATTTGAAACCCGACCTCTCAAGTTTCACAGTTTACTCTATTTCTCTCCCTTCCTCCCATCTCTATCATTTTACGCGCCACTCTCCCCCGAGCTTCACGAGGTTTTGCGATACACGTAGTTCTAGTTCATCGACTTATTGAAGTCAGTCTCATCCAACGAACGATTGGGTCATGCATTTCAGGGGGAACACATATGGATTGTTCTTGACGGTCCTGTGGACGCTATCTGGATTGAGAACCTTAACAGCGTGTTAGACGACAATAAAACTCTAACACTGGCAAACGGTGATCGTATTCCAATGGCTCCAAACTGCAAAGTCGTGTTTGAGCCCCACAACATCGACAACGCCTCTCCTGCCACAGTGTCAAGGTAAAGTCGTCATTTTAGATGTAAAGCACCCTTCCATCTTTTTAGTAAGACTGATTTTTATTTCCAATTATGGGAGAGGAGGTTGGTAAAGTGGGAAATGGGTGGGGGCATAATTAAAAATAATGACCTACAGTTGTCACTAGTCAGTGAACGCAGTAATGACCTGCTGGTTCTACGACAGTGGAAATGGACATTGAATTGGATAATGCTTTCGCTCCTAGCTGGCCACCCCACCGCGCTCGCGCATTATATCTAGGAAGACCTTAGAGCTCGGTTATTATCCCCCCGCCCCTATTCTTTATTTAAGTGAATTAAACAACTCTTTTTAAATTAAACTCGTTTTCTCCTTTTCCTCTCTACAAGAAATGGTATGGTTTACATGAGCTCTTCTGCGCTGGACTGGAAACCTATTCTACAGGTAAATGTCCCTATTGCTTTACGCAAATGACTTGGACGATTAGGTTTACTATGACTTTTTAGGAAATACACGAAGACGACGCATAACGCAGGCTAACTCGTGTAGAAAGGTCACCGTCAGTGCGTTTTGACTCCTGATCGGGGGTGGGGGAGGTTATTTACGCTGATCACATCGAGACCGAATACATACTTCTATTAAAACCGCTCTATTGTAAACTTCTCGCTCGTTAATTAACTAACGACATTCACCTCAGGTAACTTTTGTTTGTAGGGCTGGTTGAACACTCGTCCACAGCTAGAAAGAGATGTTCTGTTCCCGCTGTTTGAAAGCGTTTTCGACGAGCTACGATCATTTGTGATGCAAAACTGTTTCCCAAAGATGGAAGTAAGTGTTAGAGTTTCCTTTCACGCACTAAAATTGCAAGTAATTAAAGGGCAATTTTACCATATTCTATTCAATATTTGAAACTGTATAAGCTGAAGTATGGGTAAAGTCGAGCTTGACCCTGCGGACACCTTTTTGCGGAAAAATCTCTCGGCCTGATAGATGCAAAACTTCATAATTTCCAATGTCTGTTACACTTATGTACAGTTCTGTTGGGCCCAAATACTCTATACCTCACACAATCCCCACCTCTGTATGGACACTTCGCTTTGTCTCTTTGATGTCCTTTAGTGTATTACGGCGGTTTTACAGGTTATAATCTATGTTCTCTAAGGAAACATGGACGCTGTAACATTAGAGAGATTTACGGCAAACTTGCATTTGTGCCACGTGACCAAGTTTACCCTTAACTTGTTGTTTCCTGTTTATTATAGCTACACTGAAATCAGTAGATTCTCGTCATAAGAATTTTTTGAGCTGTTTTTATCTGCTAATGTTTTATTTTGAGAATTTCTCACCTTGAATCTGACGCTTGCCGATTCACGTTTCACGTAAAAGTGACTATACATCTATCTACATCTGATTCCCGAAGCAAGCCTCGTGTTTGGTTTGATTTGACTGTTACTTCTGTCCTGCTTCCTTTTCTTTTAAGTCTGGTTCAGGTTGTCTTATTCCGCCGTATTACCTACGATATAGGCGCCATTACTACCTAGGACACTGTTCCGATAGGAGAACAAAGGTTGCCGGCAGCAATGGTTGTGGGGTGCGCTTATTCGATCATTTACGTTACACATTCTCTTGTACAGGTTTTGGAGTGTAACAACATTGTTCAAGCCATGAACATTCTGGAAGGTTTAATTCCCGGCGAGGATGCCCCTAAACCAGCAGATGCCAATCATCTATCAAAGTTGTTTGTATTTTCTCTCATGTGGAGTGTTGGAGCATTGCTTGAACTGGATGATCGGAAAAAGGTGTTTTTACGTTGAGCATGATTCGCATCAATCCTTTTGTGACGTACTTTTTATTTATTATTTATTTAATTTATTTATTTGTACGCAGTGCACGTAAGACTCAGATCGCCCACAAGCTGAGCTCAGCGGTTTTTTTTCAATAGCGAGAATTGTACACCACACCCTCCTCTGTGTCGCCAAACCTGGAGGGGACACTGGTCAATCTCGCCTACTCCTATGAATAGGCCATTTCCGAGTTTCCCCGGGCCTCTGTATCAAAACGAGGTTAATTGCTCAATCTTTAATACGGAAATGATTTTTCATCGCTTGCAAATAAAACTCATTTTCAAAAGAGAGGTTGTCCACTCGGTCTCATTTTGAAAGTGAGGGTTTTTGGAGCTCGGAAGTGGCCTACTGTAAAATACACGTGGGTGCAGAGAAACAGACTAGAGCAACGTTTCTTGTCTAAGGAAGCAAGAGGAGTAAATGGGATGTACTCTTTTTGGCCTTTTGCAGATGGAAGATTTCTTAGTGGGAAAAGGAAACTTCAACATGCCCCCTGCTGAGGGACTGGACACAATTTTTGAATTCTTGGTTAACGAACAAGGGGAATGGGAACATTGGTCTGAAAGGGTAAGTTGTCTGCGCAGGATAAAAAACTTTGTTTTTCACTCCAGTCCGGCGACAAGATAGTCTGCTACAACAGCCGTTTTAAGTGTCGTCGCGCAACGCTGGAGAGGAGCGTTGCGTTACGACACTAAAAACGGCTGTGTAGCAGACTAGCGAAAAGTGAACGAATGCTGCCAAAAAAGAGAGAAATCTTAGTTTTAGGCAAGGTCAGTACGAAAAGTCAGGGAATTTTGTTTTTATGTTGCCACTGAGATTGGTGGAGTTTAAAAGAAAGTCATTTTCTTTCCCTGAAGAAAATAAAAACGTGTAGTTGATTGATTTTGTTGTTGTGTTCTCCAAGTCCTCTAAAGATGAAGGATCACATAATAAAATAAATAAAAATAAATAACGATTTGCAGGTAGCACATCCACATAGAGGTTCTTCGTCTACCTGATTCCTGGCCGAATGGGAATTTGGAAATGTTGGTTTTTGAGGAGAGGGGAAAACCGGAGTACCCGGAGAAAAACCTCTCGGAGCAAGGGGAGAACCAACAACAAACTCAACCCACATATGGCGTCAACGCCGGGATTTGAACCCGGGCCACATTGGTGGGAGGCGAGTGCTCTCACCACTGCGCCACCCTTGCTCCCCGAAGAAAATAACTAGAAAAGAAAAAATAGAAAAGATTGAAACAACTTATCGCGCGCAAATGTAATCGCCCCTGTGAACGAGCCTCAGTAAACGTCTCAGGTTTTCCTCTGTGCTGCAATGATAATGTACATGTCACTTTATTATTTCAGGTTCCAGTTTATGAATATCCCAAGACCAGTATTCCTGAGTATGCGTCCATTCTTGTACCAAACGTTGACAACACTCGAACAGACTACCTCATCCACGCTCTGGCCAAACAGAGCAAGGTAAATGCTGTGATTTTTGTAGAGGATATTCACACTTAAGTGTCATTTGACAACAAATACAAAATTTCGTCAGTAATAGCTGGATGAGCTTTGTTAATAAAGCTCCAGTAAACCGAATGACCGGTCGCGAGTTTGATTCCCGGGGCCGGAGCAATACCCAGCGTCTTTGGAAGGTACTTTGTACGTCTCTGGTGTAGCTTGTGAAACGTAAATTATGGCGGCTGGTTATGGTAATTTAACCTTACATGGGAATATTTGTTGGCTTCACTCTAGAGCTTCAAGTATAATGTAAGTGTACTTGGAACCTACTTTGAGTGTGAAGGGGTGAAATGTACCTACTTCAAGTTTACTTGGTGACCATGGAAACGTTCGTAGTTCGAAGAAGCCGAATTTCGCCCTCAAGTATGGTCTACGCCACACTTGAGAACACACTTGACCAATGAGAAATGGAAACCATGTGCACGATGTGCACGTGCAGCAGTCCCAAGATTCGAATGAATGGAGAGATTGATAGCTTTTATTACAAGTAATATACTCTATCGGCAAGTGTGAAGCCATGTTTTCTACAGAGCGACTTACGATTTCCAAGTGCACTTGAATTAAGTGCTTACTTGAAACTAACTTCGCTTCTAGTGTGAAGCCAACAATTAAGGGTGGATTCATTTGCAACACACGCGTCACGGTGTATTTCCCGCTTGAAATTTTTATTATTTGTAAGCCTATAAACAGTAAAAAATTCCAGCGGGCAAATGCGACACCTACACGAATATGTTCCAAGAGAATCCACCCTAAATTTGTGTGAGAAATTCATTCTGGTATTCGTAATAAAATGACGCTATCGTGAAAATGTTATTTCTGTTGTATCATCATTTTATCAGCTAAAGCAGCCATTTTTGCCATAGGCGCGAAAAAAATACTTATTTTTATATGTGTTTGATTTTCATTCCGTGTCCGTCTACAGGCAGTGTTGTTAATTGGTGAACAGGGTTCAGCCAAAACTGTCATGATGAAAGGATACTGTAACAAATATGACCCGGAACAACAACTCGTCAAATCTGTTAACTTCTCATCTGCGACCACTCCAAACATGTTCCAGGTAAGTTTGAGTAACATTCGCACGTACCAGAAGAGTGTTTCACGCTGTTGCCAGGAAGTTGGCTTTTGCTATTTCTTCACTTATCACATTTATTCATACAGTAAGTAAGGGTATAAACGGGCCAATAGCGCCAAGGACTGCGGTAGCCAGTGGCGCCCTCGTATAGGTGGTTTTCACGTGACGTCATCGCCGCCATACTGGTGGATAGTAAACAAAAGATCGCTCATTAGCTGGTTTTGTTTGTCCACCAGCATTTGTTCATTTCACCATTGTTTATTGTGTCTCCAGAGATTGCATGAAAACCACCTATATTGACGCAATGCATTTCTGAACACTTGCTATCGAAATTACCCAAAGATAGTTTGAAAAGTCTTACTAGTATACAGTCTATTGTGAAATCCCTATTCTCCGCATTCGGATTGTTATAAGAAGACATTGTGTTGCTAAAAACTTGTCTTCAGCAGACCTCATCCACGATACCCGCCATCTTTGCATGCGCTTTAGGGCTGATGGGATAAAAGCAATGTCACGTGGTTTCTCAGGGGGCAAACAAGTGATAAACTCTTCCAATACAAGAAATCGCGGTCGAGTTTGTATATTCTAGACAAAAGAAAATGAAGAGCTTTTTATCTTGAAGACGCTAGTGGCAAGTTGTTAGTGAAAGTGTTCATTGTAACTTTATTTGGAAGCAATGGCGACCGTAGATGTCCGTTCAACATGTAATAATGACGTAAAACTTGTCAAAACTCGAACTGTACATGTTGAATGACTATTAAATCGTCGTCTCGTTTTGATAGAATAAACAAATTCGACCGCGATTACTCGTATTGGCAAATTTTATTCATCGTTTGCCCCCTGAGAGACCACGTGACATTGCTAATGGCCCATCGATCCTAAGGCGTATGCAAAGATGGCGGGTATCGTGAATAAGGTCTATTGTTAACGAGGAACATTTATATCTTGTTGCCCTAACCATATTTGGGGTTGATTGAAGTGCACTGTGCAGTTGGATTTTTTTACTATATACTTCTCCTGTGGCTTCAAACAGCGCACTGTGGAGAGTTACGTGGACAAGCGAATGGGTACAACATACGGTCCACCAGCTGGCAAGAAAATGACAGTTTTTATTGACGACATCAACATGCCTGTGATCAACGAGTGGGGAGATCAGGTAAGTAGGAATTAATTAGACAAAGAAGGACTTTTTTGCTGTAAAATTCAAGCTAACGGACAAGCAAGCAAGATGATCAGTATATGATTCTGGGAAACTGTCCACCTACCGTCCGTACCCTTCCCGTAGCCCAGCCCAACATTTTTCCCTAAGTGAGCAGCAGCGCGATACATTGGATACAGTGGTCTGTTTTCTACCATTGCTGTTGCCCTCTCAACAAAACCGAAAACCTTTTTGATGTTGTAGAGAGGCTAAAACAAGAGTAAATGTATCCACCGGGACAAAAAACAATTGGTGGTTGTGGAAAATGGCCAGAATGTGTTCTTCTCTACAAAAGTTAACCAAAAGGCGTCCAAGATATAAAGTATGAAACACGTTTTACATCAACAAGTTATGTAGAGCTAAGGAAAATTTCTAAAGGGATTAAATTCATCTCAGGCCAATGTTGTGAATGAACACATCTTTTTCTCTATATTAGATCACGAACGAAATTGTTAGGCAAGTCATGGAAATGAAGGGGTTTTACAGCCTGGACAAACCCGGTGATTTCACCAACATTGTTGACATACAGTTCGTGGCGGCCATGATCCAGCCAGGTGGAGGGCGCAACGACATTCCAAGCCGTCTGAAGCGCCAATTTACTATTCTCAATTGCACGCTTCCTGCCAATGCTTCCATCGATAAAATTTTCAGTTCAATCGGCTGTGGTTATTTCAATAACGAGCGTGGATTTCCTCAAGAGGTCCAGAAAATGGTTAATCCTTTGGTTTCGTGTACACGAAAGTTGTGGCAGAAGACCAAGGTTAAGATGCTGCCTACACCAGCCAAGTTCCATTACATTTTCAATCTGAGAGATCTCAGTAGAATTTGGCAGGTATGACAACATGGCAGATCCTCTTTTTATCTTACATCCTTTAACTCTTAAGAGGCAGGAACTTTCATTAGATTAAATTTCATTAGCCTGGTACCAGGATTTTTCTTACGCGTGCGGCGAACACGCGAGAAAAAACGCGGAGTTATGTCTTATTTCCGCTCGGGTTCCTATAAAGACTTGTCGATATTAGAAACCGCGCGTGAAAAGTCTCTAGCACCCTACTACGGTTGTAATAGTTAGTTTAAGCCTAGAGGGTGAGAACTGCCTTGAATTTCTCCGTAATTACATATGAAAGCGACGAGTATAATCAGTCTTGAAATTAATGCAAACAACTCTTAATCTTCGTGAAACTTTCATTCGTGAGGTGTTGATTTTGACTGTCGTGTAAAGAAAAATAATGGTATTTCAATAAAAAATGAGAATGATCACGGTGGCAATACTGTGGCAATACTGTGCCAAGTTGTAAAACATAGGGAGCAGTAGCGAATTATTAATATTATGGTTTTTACCGCCACCCGATTAGCTCAATTGGATAAGCGCCGGTCTACCGAGCGCGAGAGGCATCTTCAAACGAAAAGACTTTCTAGTCTTCTTGGATAAGGACGACCCTTGCACATATAAATTCTGTGTTAAGTTAAAGAACCCACACACTGTTCGTAAAGAGTAGGAGACGATGGTCTATCTCCATTGGGTCGAGGGACTGTTATAGGCCCGCAGTAATTGGCTCTAGTCGCGCAGTTGCGGTGACCCTGCCAAGAATTGGCGAACGTAAGTAAATAAATAGCAATAGCTATTTATAGCGGTCTCCTTCTGACACTCGTACACTACTTATATGACCTTAGGGGATGCTGACAGTGACTTCTGAAGTGGCTACGACTGCCAAGCTGTTCCTAAACCTGTGGAAACATGAGTGTAATCGCGTCATCGCTGATCGATTTACCAACCAGCAGGACAAGGACTGGTTTGAAAAGACTTTAAAGCAGGTTATAGAGGAAGATTTTGATGCTGAAACAGCAACTTTGTTAGACGCAGAGCCCTACTTTGTGGATTTCATGAGGGATCCTCCCGAGCCCACAGGTATGAAGTGTGTTCAGACTTAGCTGCCTGGAGTGGCGTGACCTCTTTACAAAAATTATGGGATACAACTTAACAGAGAAGAGAAGTGATGACGTCACAAACACAAAATTTGTGAAATTATGGGATAGGCTGGTATATCCAAAGAGAACAAGCCAGGAGAAAAATGTTCTGCAATTGCCAAAAATCAGCCTGTTCGTGCACTTGGCAGGAGATATAAGCATTATTTTCCGATGATTCCATATAAATCCTTCTAAAATAGGCCTGGATCGTAAACGTTAGGATCTAAGCCAATTTTAGAAGGATTTGCATAGCGTCATCATAGCTTAAAGGTGCTTATATCTCCCCGCCAATTTGCATTAACAAGCTGATTTTTTGGCTTTTTTCGTCTTGTTCTTTCTGGATATGCCATCCAATCTTATAATTCACAAATTTGAATTTTTGTGAAGTTACTTTTCTCTCCTCTATACCTAAGACAGAAATGAGCGTGAGGAAATTATCTAATGGACCAGCGTGCGGGTGACTGACACAGAAACGTAAAATTTTATGTGTCAGTATGTCCGGAAATTTAGAAGCGTTTGCATGGAAAAAAAATTACTGGAGCGAAAGGCGACCTTTTTCTGTGATATATAACCTTCTTTTGAAATATTTTCTTTTCTTTTCTCCCTATTTCAATCTGTTAATATCTTCTCTTATTTCTAGTACTTCTTGTTCTTCTCGTCTTTCCTTTCTATTTCTTCAGTTCTTCCTGAAGGTAATAAAAAAGACAGGAACAAGAAAGCTGCAAAAGAAAAAGGGCTGACAAAGACTACTTCTGGTGGGCCCAGGGGCCCAGGTAAACTTTACATTGCTTATCTTATTCTTCTTTCTCTTCGTCTTCTGTTCGACCGGTGATGGAAGCATCTTTATTTGAAGTCTATTTGCTTTCGACTTTGACTTGCCTTTTGTGTTCTTTTTTTCTAAGCTCATGAATGAAATCCTGACGTTTGAGCATTCAATGGAACTGAGTTTGTTTCATGAAATTCTCTGTTGTGGAATTTTACTGAAAGCTACCGAGCTTTAGCATGTTGTCCTTATCATCAGTCTTGTGACCTATCATTATTTGGCTCGCCTGAGCTATCTCTTTCAACAATATTCTTTATTTCTCTTACAATATCTTCGCGAGGGGGTCGATCATTTTTGTTGCTTTTGTTTTACATTTAATTATTTTGAGTGAACGTTTCGTGGTGATTGTTTAAATAATAATGACATTTGAGACTGGGTAAAACGTAACAGATTGGAGAAGTGGTAGTCTGTGTTAAATAAGTCAACTCTTTGCTCATTGACAACGTCTAGTTAGTTTTTGTGCATTGCATGTATATTCAATGATTTTCAATAACCCTGGCTTCAAAGTGATGCAAAAAAAAAAATCTAACTTCAAATTGCTGCGACCAATACAAGTTTGACCAGTTTAGAATTTCACTATACCGGTTTAACCTGCTTTAGGAGAGGAGCCTGAAGATGCAGATCTGGAAGCGCCAAAGGTGTATGAACTTGTAGAGATGGATATTCTTAAAGAACGTCTTGGCACATTCATGGTCCAGTACAATGAAATTGTCCGAGGAGGCAATATGGACCTTGTCTTCTTCAAGGTATGACTGCAGAGTTAACTATAGAGGATAATTGGCTGTTTTATTGGCCATGTGCAATGCGCTTTAAACGGATTCACCTACAGATAAGTTCATTCGCGTACTTTCGCTTATAATCGCCTTCATGATGATAGTCAATTTGCCTCTTTGCCAAAAAATTGTTTTAATCCTTGTTCGCAGATATGGATGAGAAAGAAACGACTGAAATTGTTTTGAGTTAGTGCTCTGTGAAGATATGGTTGTTTTCGCAGACTTGTAGTACGGAGACGAAGGGAATCGGCCCCTTACAATAAAACACTCCCCAAACTATTTACTTAACTCACTATTGGAAGGTATGCCAGTAAACGTAGAGGAGCCTCAATTTTTTTATACCTTATTATATCTTCAAACGAAAGCAGTAATCCTCGACTGTAAGTAAGAACGAAAGGAGGCTAAATAAGTTAGTTGAAGTTGGCACTTATCTGTGATTGTTTACATTGAATTTTGCCTTTAGGATGCTATGATACATCTTGTCAAGATTTCGCGTATTATCCGCACCCCTCGAGGCAACGCCCTGCTGGTAGGTGTAGGAGGCTCCGGAAAGCAGAGTTTGACAAGACTGGCTTCGTTCATCGCTGGATACGACATTTTTCAGATTACTCTGTCAAGGTATATTTAAAAAATTTACTCTCTGGGTGCATAAAAACGATAACATAGTTCAAAAAACTCGTGGCCAAGGTGGATCTACAGTATCTATACCATTTCGGTTGGTCAATAATTATTATTTGATTTACCTTGCGGCTGGGTTGTCTTCAATTAACTTTACTTTTACTGTGTTGGAAAAATGCTCAGAACTATGTGTTTTTTTTATTCGGCTGATTAAGACTGTGGAGTTTGGCCGAAATATGCCAAAGGATTTGTCTGTACTCTGATGTATTAAAAGTATCTTTTTAAAGATAAGTTTTGATATTTTGAGTGGTGAATTCCAGAAGAATAAGTAGAGTTCAGCAGGCATAACATATGGATCTTACCACACTAGCCTTACACTGTAACCACCGTTGGTTTTTGTGAGTGCCTTGTTGTCTTTTGACTCCCTCAGTGTAATGAGCCCCTCCTTCGTCCTTACAAATGCCTTGCTTTTATATGCACATTTACTAAGTATTTCAAGTCGATTATATAGTCCACGCCCTTGTCGCCAGAACAAATTCAAGTGAACAAATCGTCTTGTGAAAGACCGTCTTTATTCCTTATTCATGTTGTTAATGTGTTCTTGCCCAGGTCGTACAATGTCTCTAACTTGATGGAAGATCTAAAAGTACTGTACAGGACTGCTGGACACCGAGGAAAGGGAATCACATTTATTTTCACAGATAATGAAATCAAGGATGAGGGATTTTTGGAGTACATGAACAATGTCATAGCTTCAGGAGAGGTGCGGTATCACTGTCTACAATAATTAGTAAAATCCAAGTAGCGGTCTGTTTTCAATGCTGCGTTCTGATTGGTTGAGTTATTACTAGGCTACATGTTATAGCCCACTAGTTGCGACAAGTGCCGGCTTTGAAAACCGAAACAATGGCGACTGAATCACGTTTTGCTAGCTAAAGTTGTTTTATCTCCATATTTTCGACGAACTAGTTGGATTTTACTAAAACAATTATTCCTCTCGCCCTAATGGGCTATTGACTCAAAGCCCATTCGGGCTCGACGAATAATTGTTAATTACTACAAGAAACAGTTTATAGTCAAGCGTACATCCCAAAATCAGATTAATAAATATGAAGCTGAGTCCGTTAAGAATTTTAGACTTCAGAGTCATGTATTCCTGCACGCCTAACAAACTATACCATGTTTATACTCTCCTTTATGCTCAAAAAAGAAAAAAAAACTTTCTTTTTTGATTGGCTAAAAAAAAGTGGAAACTGATACTTCTATTAACACCAAGTTGAAGTCAGTAATAACTACAGATCCCTTAATTAATTATAGATTTTCATAGTCTTGCAGAGAACGCCCTATGGCCGTTAGAAGTCAGTTCTATCCTAGTAGTGTAGAAAATATTTGTCATCCAGTCTGTCAGTACTTGTTCAGTGGTTGTTGTTGTCTTCGGTAGGTCTCCAATCTGTTTGCGCGAGATGAAATTGATGAAATTACCCAGGACCTGATCAGTGTGATGAAGGCCGAGTATCCAAGGAGACCACCGACCAATGAGAATCTGTACGAGTATTTCATCACACGCGTCAAGAACAACCTCCACGTTGTACTTTGTTTTTCACCGGTAAGCAACCATTTCCTCCTTTCCTTTCCTGTGGTTTACGACAAGTTTCAAATTCTAAAGTGCAAACTCTTCCAAGGAAAAGAGAGGTCAGAAGTCATCTTTGTGGGCTGTGATTGAATTCAGATCTCTGGCTCCATTGTTTGTTGCCATGGTAGCGTAAGACTTACCTTATTATAGGAATTGAACGCTTGTTAATTACGGTATTTGAAATTGACGCGACTTAAATTAACGGGAATTAAAGGAAAAATTAATTTCAAATAAAGGAAATTAACATGAAAGAGAGCGAAACATTTCAAGCTGAGTCAAAGAAAACAAGAAGAAACAAAACTTGTTGAGACAACCACAACAAGTAATTGTAATCCGTTTTAATCCTTGTTCGCAGATATGGATGAGAAAGAAACGACCGAAATTGTTTTGAGTTAGTGCTCTGTGAAGATAGGGTTGTTTTCGCAGACAATCAAGAAGGTTTTATTTCCCACAATAAGGCAATCTATAGAGGGCGTCACAAAGTTCTCAAAACGAGTTGTTTGATTAGGTAACGAAACAAGAGATGAATGACTCAGGCAATGTTCTTTGCCCTAGAAACAGTAGCAAGAGTGTTTTCAAAGGCCAATGAAAATAGAGCTTCCTGGGAGCTTCGTTGCTCTAGATCTATAGCTTGGCCTTCACTTCAATGTACGTGTCTTTGAAAGGGGCCTAAAAAGAAATCGTTCACTCCTCTTGTGAACTAAGAAAAGACAAAATTATCCCACTCCAAAAACAGTAAGTGTGCAAAAAAACTATAAAGTGAGATGAATTAGCCTAAACACGCAAAAATAGACCGAGCATTAGAGCGTCACTTTAAATAAAGCAGTCGCCCTCCCTTCTCCTCCCCTCCCCACTCTCCGTAACCCCGTCCTGGACTTCCTTAGTAATCTAAAACTCTAATGTAATATTTCAAGGTGGGCGAGAAGTTCCGAAATCGTTCCCTTAAGTTTCCTGGATTGTTCAGTGGATGTACGATGGACTGGTTTAGCCGCTGGCCTAAAGATGCGTTGATTGCAGTTGCATCTCACTTTTTATCCTCTTTTGACATCGTCTGCTCCCGGGAAACAAAGGCCGCTGTTGTCAACACAATGGGAGTTATTCAGGTAAGTGACGTAGTTAGTTTGTTAATGGAAATATTTAAAATGACTCATAGTTTGAACTGCGGCTAAAGATATAAAAATGAAAAATTAAATGGTCCCCAAAATTGAGTAAAAAACCTAAGCGGTTGAAAAAGAACCAGGAGAATCCGAAAATATTCAACTGCGAGGATCATTTCCACTTTCATATTATCCGAAGTTCAACATATGATTCATTTCACATATTACCACTCGTGTCATTTCGACCATCGGCTATATTACGAACTCACAATGGCTTACTCTCCAGTCAGCTTGATTAGCCTAATCGATAGAGCGTTGAGCTCGGTCATCGCAAAGGTCAGGATTCGATTCCCGGCCACGCCTGAATTTTTCAGGTTCTTTTTCAACCGTTTAGGTTGTTTATTAGTTGGTTAGTTAGTTAGTTGTAAAAATTATTTAAGGCTTTTTTCGAACAATGTATTCAGTTTAAAAGGTAAAGAGTCCTCATTTTACGTCGTTACCTCGTAAAAGTCACCAGTTGGCTGACAAACCCGAGGCTAACTGTGTTTTCATTCCTTCCCACCAACACCCCCCCCCCACCTCTCCTTCAGTGCTCCGCCATTTTACGAGTTTTGAAATCTACTTAAATTTACACAGAAAGGAAAGAAGTCGAAACAGGGATTTGAGGTCACATCTGGGAATCAAGAATTGAACTAGGGGCTTCTTGCACAGACGCCTGCGCACTAACCTTAGTTACTTAAGACATTCCCATTTTCCTTCTAGGACAACGTTGCAGAAACCTGCGTTCAGTACTTTGAGCGTTTTCGGCGTCAGACCCACGTTACACCCAAATCGTACCTCTCTTTCATCGGTGGTTACAAGACCATTTACAAGATGCAACACGAAGCCATTGGTCTCCTGGCTAAGCGTATGAACACTGGTCTGGCTAAGCTCGTGGAAGCTAGTGAATCGGTGGCGAAGCTTTCGGAAGAGTTGGTGGTGAAAGAGAAGGAGCTTGCCGTAGCCTCAAAGAAAGCGGACGTTGTGCTTCAGGAGGTGACAGTTAGCGCTACAGCAGCCGAAAAGGTGAAGTCCCAGGTGCAGAAAGTCAAGGACAAGGCGCAAGCGATTGTGGACGAAATTGCGGTGAGTTTAACTCTCCCCTTCTCAAAACCTCTAGTTAAAAATATTTAAAAATATATCTATTTTCCTTTCTGAGTAAATAAAAACAAATGTGAGGGACAAGCGCTTAAGAGCTGAAAAAAGCGCATAAACATTTGCTTCGTTCTCACCCTCTCTCCTAAGCTGCCCCGAATCACTGATTGGTCTATGTTCTGTCAATTATTTTAATATTTAGCTTTGTCCAACCTTGCGAACTATACTTGACCTTAACACTTTTATAAAAAAATCATAAATACCGTTAATCCTCTATTAAGCCCTCCCTCTCAAACAAGCCCCCCCCTCTTATTATTATTCACTGATAATTGACAGACTGTATTAATCAATCGCGACTGTCAGGAGTCTATTGCGACTGTAAAAGTTCCTGTGGACTGATCCAGAATGGTTTATTCACCAGCTTGAAATTCGGATTTGTTTTTGATCCTCAGCTGCATGACCTCCAACGTCTTGTACTTTCGCTTTTCCATACCATCTTCTTTACTAAATTGAATAAGCCCCCATCTCAAATAAGCCCTCCTGTCTTTATCAAGCCCCCCTTACATGTGTTTGAAATCAGTGAGCTCCCGGGGGTCTTAATAGAGGGTTTACGGTAAATGAATAAATAAATAAATAAAATAAAATAAAGAACGATTTGCAGGTAGCACATCCACATAGTGGTTCTTCGTCTACCTGATTCCTGGTCGAATTGGAATTTGGAAATGTTGGTTTTTGAGGAGAGGGGAAAACCGGAGTACCCGGAGAAAAACCTCTCGGAGCAAAGGAGAGAACCAACAACAAACTCAACCCACATATGGCGTCGACGCCGGGATTTGAACCCGGGCCGCATTGGTGGGAGGCGAGCGCTCTCACCACTGCGCCACCCTTGCTCCCCACATTACAATTACAATTACTCAGGGTTGATGGTGGGAACCAGTACGATACACTAAACATGCTATTTTTCGACCAATAGGAAGACAAAGCAGTTGCAGAGGAAAAGCTTGAGGCTGCTAAACCTGCGTTGGAAGAAGCAGAAGCTGCGTTGCAGACCATCAAACCTGCGCACATTGCCACAGTCAGAAAACTGGCCAAGCCACCTCACCTGATCATGCGCATTATGGACTGTGTGTTGCTGCTGTTCTTTAGAAAGGTTGATCCCGTCACAGCCGATCCTGAGAGGCCCTGCTGTAAACCTTCATGGGGCGAGTCTCTTAAAATGATGAGTGGCGGTGGCTTCTTGAACAACTTGCTCACTTTCGCAAAGGTAACTCGATTAACATTTCGTCAGTATATAACATTACTTCCCGAATAATCAATGATTGTTGAAGGTATTCAGCAGAAAAGTTTGAAAAATATTGCATTCGGGAGCCTGTCTAGTAGAAACTCTAAGTGAAGAACGGTTGAAAAATATTATTATATTCACGATCACATTTCGACACCCTCTTTGTACCAGTGATGTCTTTGCTCTTCTTTTCATCAAATATTTTTTATTTTTAAACCGTAGTTCACAGGTATGATCCTATGTATTCACACAGTAGTCTCTTCGAAAATTTTCAGTTCTATTGCCCGTTTGTCCCTAATGTTGTTTACAAAACTTCCCTTCGAGGAGAAACCTCGGTTCGAGCTTGTTGTCTTAATTATTTAATAAACCGCACGTTTATCCCGTTTGTCTACTAGGATTCCATCAATGAGGAAACGGTTGAGCTGCTAATGCCGTATTTAGAAATGGAGGACTATACTATGGAGAACGCCAAGAAGGTTTGTGGTGACGTGGCTGGTCTGGCATCTTGGACCAGAGCTATGGCATTCTTCTATGGTGTCAACAAAGAAGTTCTTCCTCTCAAGGTACAGTAATAATAATAATAATAATAATAAGTCTTTATTCATCAAGAGATAAAAATACATATCTTTTGTTACAAGTAAGTGTAAGAAATTTAAAAAGTTAAAAAGTAAGAAATAAAAAAATATATACCGGTATATATATCTAGTATATTACATAGCTAATTCATATTTAAAAACTAAACGATTAATAAAAGCGTTTTTAAAGCGCGTAGTGTTAATCTTAGGTTTAAAACTAGTTTCTTTTCTAAGATTGTAGCTGGAGGGTTTAACACGAGGCATAATAGATAAAAGTGGATGTCCTTTGGCATTAAAAACTTTTTTAAAAATTTTACGGTCTTGCCTCTCTAAGAAATCATAAACACTTACAGGCTTAGACGTATATTTCCTTTTAAAACAGCGGTCTAAGAAACATTGTACGGGTGTAAGATCGGACTCGGACGCGGCGTAGACTGATAATGCGTAATTAATATTAGGTAGAACTATAGTATTAAAGAGAAGGTCTATTTCTGACTGATTGTACCCTTCTTTGCGCAGCGTTCTAAGGATATGTAGGGATTTGTTAGCTTTAATAAGTTTGTTCTTCACGTGCACTGAAAATTTGCTGTCACATTGGAAGGTGACGCCCAAAATCTCAACTTCTTTACAGCTTGGTATCATCCCAATGGGTGAATAGAGATCGTGGTTGCCTCTCTTTTTGATCGTCAACTCTTTACATTTGCTTGGGTTGCAAGACATTCCATTTGTATACGTCCAATCTAAAAACTGTGACACTAACTGATCGGAGTAGTCTACCTCCTTCCATACAGGAGCAATAATTGTCGAGTCATCAGCGTACTTAAATAGCGCGTCATGATTACCTAAAGTGATGTTAAGATCATTGAGGAAGATATTAAAAAGGTAAGGACCGCTAACGCTACCTTGAGTTGTCCCTTGGTTGACCGGTTTCCAGTCACACTCAAAGTTGTTACAACATACCCTTTGTTTTCTATCCTTTAAAAAGTTCAAGTACCAATTGGTAATATATGGATTCAGTGGGAGCTTTTTTAATTTACTAGCAAGAAGTTCATGTTTCACAGAGTCAAAAGCTTTGCTGAAGTCCATAGCAAAAAGGCGAACTGCTTTACAATCTGGGTTATCCAGGTAGCTGTTGGTCCTATGTTGAATTGACAAGAGAGCATCGGTACAGTTTCCACCTTTTCTGTAGGCGAACTGTGAGGTGCTAAGGTGGCTTTCAATTGTCTCGCGGGCATAGCAGTGGTACACAATTTTCTCAAAAGCCCTCGCTATAACAGGAGTTATATTAATGCCGCGATAATCACCATGTGCTTTAGGAACATCCACTTTGGGGAGGGGGGTGATGATCGCACGCTTCCACGATGATGGCAAACACTGAGTAGAGATTGAGAGATTCCAGATTTTGGTGATAAGAGGCGTGAAAATCTCAGCATGCTCTTTCCAAACCCAGTAAGGAATCTGGTCGGGTCCAGTTGCAGTTCTTTTGAGAACGCTAAGTAAATTCCAGACCTGCCGTTCGAAATTACCGGGATCTCCATCCCACTGCTGATTGTGACAGGGGTTGGTTCTATATACATATCATCTGAGCAGAGCCTAGCGAAGTAATCATTCAAGTCCATCAGACAGCTGTTATCCAGGTTTACTTTGCAGGATGCACGACGCCGCTGCGACAATTCATCAACTCCTTTCCACCATGCCCGACTACCTGGAGGGGCATCCATAAACTTTCTCCTATTTTCCGAGATGATGTCAGCTATTCTTTTATTAACAATGCACAGCCTGTCTTTGCTCAGACGAGAAACTCTAGACTTCGTTCTGATCATTGACTTAAGGAGTGGTGTCATCCAAGGCGGATCGCGTGACGACATGGATACAGTTTTGACCGGCATACACCTGTCCATATGGCCGCGAATCTTTTCTTCCAATACACAAACCGCTTGCTGAACATCAGGAGCAGCGAGCACATTATCCCAGTTTTCCTCCGCCAGCGCGGTGTAAAGTGTGGCTTTACGATTCTCTCTACAATCCCGTATCTGGACTTTACATCGGATGGGTTTTAACTTTGTACCAGCAGGGAGAATAACAGCCGTGTGATCGGTCTTGATTGACAATTGAAATGGGTGACACTTGTTGAATAAATGTGCCGTTTTGATTTATGATCAAGCTGTAGAAGCTATAGATCAGGGGACACACCAATTGCTATTTCGCAGAAGACATGTAGGAAACTAAAGCATTCTTTAGTGGCATGTGTTTTACACTAGCCTGCGTAGCAAGCGTTTCCTACACAGGGGCCGGTGACGCCTGTTTCCCTTTTCTATACTTGTTTTGCCATTTTAACGGTCGATGCAACCATTGGTAACCATGCCTTAGAAACGCTAAAAATTTGAATTTCTTTCGTCCCCTCCATGCACGTAAACCTCAAAAGGCTGCTACAGGTTTTACCGTTAGATGTTGGCCGCCTAACGTTTAGCAGGCATGTCTTCCGTATATGTAGCCTGAGAAAACAACCGATGATTCGCGACACCACTGATGGTTTCCCCGCGAGCCCAGAAATTCCGTACTGATGACGCGCACAAGGTAGATTTGAGTAGAGCTTCTGATTGGTTGGAATTTTGCTTCATCCAAGCAGAAGCAGTAACCAGATCTGGTTAGTGACACGTCATCAGTGGAATTTCTGCAGTCGTTTCTCAGACGTCATTTCGCGGGGAAACCAGTGGCAGCGTCGCGAATCATCGGTTGTTTTCTCAGGCTACAATGTATGAACATTTTTAAACTTTTTCTATCCTCAGGCCAATCTGATAATACAAGAAGCACGTTTACAAAAAGCAACGAGCGAGCTTAATGAAGCGCAAGCACAGTTGGACGAAAAACAGCGTGAGTTGGATTTGGTACAGGCAAAATACGATCAGGCTATGCGTGACAAGCAAACACTGGTTGATGACGCTGAAGCGTGCAGAAGAAAGATGGCGAATGCTACGGCGCTGATCGATGGACTGGGCGGTGAGAAGACCAGGTGGACTGAGCAGAGCAAGAAGTTTGATCAACAGATTCAGAGGTTTGAATCGCTTGTTAATTCTGATATTATATATTTCTCGTCTTGATATACTCCTTTTCAGTCAGGGGGCCGGGAAGCATTGCATGATTCCGGCCCGAGCGGCTGCGAAGAAGACTATCGTCCTGAACGACCTATAAAGCGTTTGGTAGACTAAAGAACGAGTAAATGGACAATTATAATTAAATTATTTTCGCCTGTTTGAACCAAAGCCCTACGCAGGTTTCAGGGTCCGTTTTCAAAATGCTTAGAACAAAATATTCCGTGCTTGCTCCGAGCTATCACGAATCATTATTCTAGGGTAAGGTATGAAAAAATAACCCCAGGCACTCAGGGTAACAGTAGACTAGGCTACCAGAGCCTGTAAACCGTAATACAACTGCCGCTTGGTTAATCAGCTCATCATCTTGCCTGTCCGGCGAAGAACTTTTTACAAAAAAGTAGTGTATTTACAATGGTCACGCTTAAGTTGAGACACGAGGCATGCAAGGGAAACAGTCTTTTTCTGTGTACGCATATGCTTTTGGATCCTTATAGTTGATTTTATATTCGAACACTGCAGCACGAACCTTTGTACCCCGTTTTCTAGTCGTAATTGGGCGCCAGGAGCTGTTCTAGCATTGTTTCAAGTGACTTCTGTTGTTGAGCGTACCTCAACAAAAGAGGATTAAGCTTGCGGGTTAACTTTCATACCATTTGTCTTTCAGGTTGGTCGGTGATGTGCTGTTGGCCACTGGCTTCTTATCCTACTCTGGCCCATTCAACCAATCGTTTAGGAATCTACTGCTGGATAACTGGAAGAAAGAAATGAGAAAAGTGAAGATTCCTTTCTCGGAGGTAATAATAAAATAAAGGTGATCTATTTTTTTTCTCTAGTCTTGCACCAGCCGTTTCCGCAATTATTTTTTAATGTTCAGTCCTAACCTTCGCTGCCTCGGGATTTGTAAGTTTGTGTTTCGTGAAAGAGATACATTTGATGCTGACTCGCTCGCGTTGCCCTCGAGGACCGGGCGGAACTATTGTATTTCGTTTTAAAGGTGTGATCTGAGTGTTGGTTTTGTGTCCACTCAACTGTTACCTTATATCTTTCTTCTTTTAAGGATTTGAACTTGGTGAACATGCTGACAGATGCTGCAACGATCGGCGAGTGGGCTCTGCAGGGCCTTCCAAGCGATGAGTTGTCAGTTCAAAATGGTATTATCGTCACCAAGGCTTCACGTTACCCTCTTCTTATTGACCCCCAGGTATGATATATGTCAACTGAACCACGGGATATTTGCCTCTTTCAGTGACTTAAGGTAGATTTCCACTGTCGCGGTACGCGCGTAAAAATTACGCAACAGTCGACGTCTGGCTCGAGTTTCTCTGAATGAGTTTGGATCGTCCAGCAGATGGAGAGAACGCCTGAAAATAGTCTCCGGGACAAACGATCTTCACATGCGACGAACTAAAATAATAAATTTAATGTTTGTATCATAATGTATATTTAGACTCGTTCGGGAGACAATTTGCTTTTTGGTCGGATTCAGTTGATTGGTTCGACGGGTCCTAAGTTCGACGTCTGATCCAACTGACGAACTTAACTTAATTTAGGTTGACTCAAATTAGAGTTAAATCCGTCTGATGGAAAGTTCGACGTTTGGCCCAGGCATAACGTCCCAAGGCCACATATTGCTGGTCCAATTAATGAGGATGAATTTGTGCGGACGGTTTTTACAACACAATAAGATTTCTCAAAATCTGAAGTGGATTTGTTGCCATGTCTTCCCTCTCAACGTTGAGCAGTCTATTGAATAAATATTGTTGTAGGTCGTAATTTTAACCTCCTTATACCAACGTCTCTTAGTAGCCTAAGAAAGCTGCATCCTGATGACGTCACATCTTTTTAAACAGGGACCTTTGGCCCCCCTCGCAGTAACATAGAGATGTGACTGTTCAGAAGCTCTGAAAAAAAGAAAAGGATAAAAAGAGCACATGCTAACTAATTGCTAAATTAGTCATTTTTGTTTTTGCTCAGGGCCAAGGAAAAGCCTGGATTCGAAAGAAAGAAGGACCTAACGAGCTACAGGTAGGACTCTTCATTTGATTTTGTTATTTCAAACATAAAGTACCCATCATGGTTTCACTGATTTGAATTTAATTATTTTATGCCAGTTAAGCAAAATGCCGATAGGAGATCAACACAGCTTAAGTTACTTACCTCATCTCCATATTGTACTGTTTAAAAGGGGCTTGAAAAGTTGTAGAACATCTGAACTTGAAAATCCCCAATTTTCTGGAGAGTTAAAAATTGCGATAGCTCAGTGGCGTAAATAACCAGCGTTTTTTCTTAAATTTTTTGCTTTCAGATATAGCCAAAGAATCCGATTTTTATCTCCTCTCTTAGTTTTGCCGCTGCGAAACCTTGCTTCTTGACAAATGTATTAAAAGTTTTATATTTAAACTGTTGTGTTTAATGAAAATTATTGTGTTGTTTAGACCTTTTTTGCATTGACCAAAACGTTGATTGTGTTCCATTTTAGATCACAGCTTTGAACCACAAGTATTTCCGAACACATTTGGAAGATTCGCTCTCCTTAGGAAGGCCGCTGATCATAGAAGATGTCGGCGAAGAACTCGACCCGGCGCTTGACAACGTGTTGGAGAAGAACTTTATCAAGTCTGGAAAGACGTTCAAGGTAAAATATGCCCTCTCTCGCGGCAGCAATATTTCTGAAGTAAGAGAGTTATCCTCCAGATAAAGATCGCGTGATTTTTCTACACTGTAAACCACAAACCAAAAGCGGTCATTCTGGCCAACCAACGAAACTAATCAGGCAGTATTCGAAGCGAGTTTCAAGTTGCAAGTCATCAAGTTTCAAGTTTATTAAACTCTTAGGATACATATAACCATTGAACCTTGCCTGCAAAATAGCCTAGCTAATCGAGGCGGGAAAGAAAAGTCTCAAAGTAAAAAATTACAATAACAGGGTTGAAACATAACAATAAAGAAAACTGATTCACGAACATCTGCTCTTGAGTTGTTCGCTTTTCCAGACATTATTATAAGTTTATTTCAACCCAACGTGAAGAGCTTACATGAACACGTCCACTCGCTCGGAGCGCATGTACTCCGCACGCGGACGCACGCTAAAGGTACACAACACTGGTTCCATAAGTGGGGCGGAATACTAAAAAATCCGGGCACGAGAACCTTATTCAGATTAAGAACCTGAGTGAAAATTTGGGGAATTTGTTGCCCATTATGCAGACCTTATTACTCACGATACCCGCCTTCTTTTCACGCGCTTAAGGACTAATGGGATAGAAGCAATGTCACGTGTTTTCTCAAGGGGCAAACCAGGAAAAATGTCAATGCAAGAAATCGTGGTCGAGTTTGTTTATTCTAGACAAAAGAAAATGAAGAACTTCTTTTTATCTTAATCCCACCGATCCTAAAGCGCATGCAAAGATGGCGGGTATCGTGAATAAGGCCTATATCACCGACTTCTTTCTACTGGCGTCACTAGCCATCTTCATGAGGGCAGAAGGTCGTCAGCTCTTGGTGCCACACAGGTGGTACCCTCGCACAGTCTTCAAAAGTCCTTGAATTTTAGGTGTAGTTCTTGAAAAGTCCTTAAATTTCTTTGCTACTCCTTGAAAAGTCCTTGAAATTTCTTCAACTTTGATGTAGCAGCCTGGAAGCTGTTTTTTTAAAAATTCTTTTGGGTTGTCGAAGAGAGATTATAAATCATAGCCCAGCGAAGTTATAGGTGATTAACATAAAGTGTTTTGTAGATTTAAGATAAGTGAACTGAACAATGTAAAGAAACTGGTGAAGTAAACAGTTCAAGTCCCGTTAATTTGGACTGGGAATGTGTTTGTGTACAAATCTGTGATTTACATTCCTGGAAGGTGGTCCTTGAAAGTCGAATGTGGTCCTTGAAAAGTCCTAGAAGAGTCTTTAATGACTGCAATTTTTTGTATGAACTCTGCCAAGGCCTCTTGATCAACAAATTACCAAAGCAATCTCGAAATTAATGTAAAACCCGTTTAATTTTTATTGCAGTCACTATTTACTGTTTATTTGTTAGGTCAAAGTGGGTGACAAGGAAGTTGACGTTATGGATGGCTTCCGGTTGTACGTTACAACTAAGCTTGGTAACCCTTCCTACACTCCTGAAGTAAGTGCCAAGACTTCCATAATCGACTTCACCGTAACAATGAGCGGCCTGGAAGATCAGCTACTGGGAAGAGTAATCTTAACAGAGAAGCAGGTAACATGTCTGTTTTTGCGTCGAATATACAGGGATCGATGTAGAAACTTGCAATGTTAAAAGTCACGTGACTTGTAATTACTCTACAATTTGTGTCTGATTGACAAGTAGTAAGATAAACAGAAGGTCGATAAGCGATCAGGATTCCGAATATACAGAGCAGAAAGCTACATTTAGTGTATAAATAATTTTGGTTGCATTTTCTGAATGAATGCTGTTTCACAGCGGACATCAGTTTGAGATCAAGCATAGATTGTTGGCCAGTGACATTTTGTATGGATGAAATGTTATTGTATTAAATGCACATCGCGCCAGAAATCTCGGCACTAATGAATTAAACATATTAGTTCACCAGAAGCTTAAAATATACTCTGACCTCAGATTATCAACTTCAAATTCAGTGCTGCTGTTTAGTTAAGCTAGTTTTCGTTGTTTAGGAATTAGAGGCTGAGCGCACCAAGTTGATGGAAGAAGTGACTGCAAACAAACGAAAAATGAAAGACTTGGAAGACAACCTGCTGTACAGACTGACTAGTACCCAGGGCTCTCTCGTCGAAGATGAGTCATTGATCCAGGTTCTCAGCGTAACCAAGACAACATCAGAGGAAGTCAGTGAAAAGCTATTGGTTGCCGCAGAAACGGAATTAAAGATCAACACTGCTCGAGAAGAGTATCGACCTGGTTAGTACAGAATTTAGGTCAGAGCTATGTATTCAGTCAGATATATAGAGCGTTTTCACATGACGTCACGGCGGTCATGTTGGTGTTCCAAATCAATCCTGTGGAAGTTGAACTCTTTTCTTATGCAAACGCTTTCTTTTGTTCCAATAAATGTGTATAGATGCTGGCCACGTCAGTGAAAACGCTCTATTCCTCAAGTGCTACCATTTTCATATCATTTTCTTGTATAGTGTCGTCACGCAACGCTCGTCCCCACTGGGGAGGAGTCTTGCGTGACGACGCTAAAAACGGTTGTGTAGCAGACTATGTACATGTAGGAAAGTTGCTGTTTCCTTTTGCCTACCGTTTAGCAGTAAGCTAATCTTAAATTTTCCTCTCTCCTCATTTTCTCCTCATTCTAGTGGCCACACGAGGTAGCATCCTGTATTTCCTGATTGTCGAGATGTCCTACGTGAACGTCATGTACCAGACCTCTCTGAGACAGTTCCTGGGCTTGTTTGACATTTCCATGGCACGCTCTCAAAAGTCGCCAATTCCCGCCAAGCGAATCCAGAACATCATTGAGTATCTTACGTTTGAAGTGTTTCGATACACGACCCGTGGTTTGTACGAGGAACACAAGTTTTTGTTTACTCTTTTGCTCACTTTGAAGATTGACCTGTTGGAGAAGAAGATTCGCCATGAAGAATTTCAAGTTCTTATCAAAGGTAAGTTGGTTTACCTAAGTAAACTCTCGTCTCTCAAGCTTTTTACATGTGCTTTGTTTTCTAATTGTCTGCTACTATTAAACAATTATTGGATAAGGTTTTTGTGATATCTGGAATAATCAAGGTCGATAACACTTACCGAGACCTTGATTATTTAGGATATTACAAAATTGAATGTAATAATTGTTTTATTATACATTGTTTCGAAGAAAGTAACGACAAACACACCGTCGCAAGGAGTCAGAATTGATATTGTTGTTGGAAATCATGCATTGCGCCCGCAACCTACAGATTAGTCAGTTATCTGCTAGCAGATAACTAACTAGTCTGTTGGTTGCACTGATTTCTAAAATTAGCTGTAGGCTGTTAGCCATTGAGAAGGGAGATAGTGAGTATAATAATGCAAATTCTTTGCGGCGTCTTTTGCAATCGTGGTGTAACCTAGTCTTCCGCCCAAAAATTAGCATTGGAAATCCGAGAATTAAGTAAGCAAGACTTGAATTCAAGAAACAAAGGTAAAAATTAATAGAAAAAAAAATAAGATTTCAAATGTAAAAAGCTGCAAAATAGAGATGATAGAAATTTGGTATGATCAGACCTTAAAAACTTCTGCGAGTGGTAGAATCATCAATTCCATTGTTTCGGAATGAAATGAAAATATGCCTCTCTTCCAGTGCGTCAATCCATACGAAGTTATTAGGGTGTTTTAATATATACGTTTCTGGGAAACTGCCCTCCTACACCTCCCCTAAGCCAACATCAACACTTCTCACTTAAGGCAAAATGTTGGCTTAGGGGAAGGGTGGGTGGGCAGTTTCCCAGGAACGTATAATGACCATTTTTATCGTACTTTAAACATGATCAACGCAGCGCGAAAAGAGAGATGAGAAAGAAACTAACAACGAACGCTAGAGTCATCTTGAATCGCTTGCTGGCTTTCAGTCGATTAATAATGACAGTCTTCTTTTTCTTTTCCTTTTTCTCCTGTTTTTGGTTTACAGGTGGAGCCGCGTTAGATTTGAATGCTGTGGAACCTAAACCAAAGAAGTGGATCCTTGATATGACCTGGTTGAACCTGGTAGAGCTTAGCAAACTTCCTCAATTCACCCAGCTTCTTGGACAGGTCTGCTTTTGAATATTCATTCGTTCATTTGTTTTAACACTCATCTACTGTTTGCTTGTTTCTGCATTTTGAATGCAAAAAGGGCGGCGACGGCGGCGGAAACGTCACAGGCTTAAAGTGATTTGAATTATTAAGACCGTATGCAAATTTGAAGATAACGAATGGATTTCGTGTGGTTACGTTGGCTCTATTACCAGCCGTACCCAAGACCAGACTCAGGAGAGTGGCGGAAATCAAGCCTAGAGGCCAGAAAACCGTAACGTCGCATCAAGGAATTTCACGTCATAGTCGTCCGGTGACGGAAAAGAAATAATCCCAAAATTGTGACGCACTTGTGGTCCTTATGCTTCCGTCGTAGAAATAAGTTAGGCTTAAGAATAATGCTTTAGTTCTCAACATGTCACAACACACCGATCTGTTTTGCAATGCAGCACATAATTGTTTTTTGTGATAATGTTTTATAGGTTGCAAACAACGAGTCTGGTAAAGCTTGGAAGACTTGGTTTGACTCTGAAGCACCAGAAGACACTCCCATTCCAGATGGTTACCAGGGCTCTCTCGACACTTTCAGAAAGCTGCTTCTTATCAGGGCCTGGTGTCCAGATCGTACCATCAATCAAGCCCGACGTTATATCACTGATGCCATTGGAAAAGAGGTAAAGTACTGGGTAGTGTTCATACAGAATTATATTTATAAATTCTATTTAGACAGTAACGACAAAGACACAAGAGGCGAGATCTTTGGATTTGTGACAAGTAAAATTTGATTTTCTTTTATCGGTTACTGGTCTGATATTGTCCTACAGTCGAAAACTGAGGAAGCTAAGTGACATACGAATTTTCATGTGTTTTTTTGCAGTATGCAGAAGGTGTAATTCTAAATCTGGAAGCCATGTGGGAGGAAAGTGACGTCCGAACGCCAATGATTTGTTTCTTGTCAATGGGTTCTGATCCTACTGCTTCCATCGAGGCTTTGGCAAAGAAACAGAGACTAGGTAAACATTCTTGCCACATATTGTTAATAAACCACTATTTTCCTTTTAAATCATACCTACCAGTCAGCTTAAAATACTCTGAACTGGTTATAAAGAAGGGAAAGCAATGGCCTGTTTTATGTACGCTTCTTTGAACGTGAATTCAGTCAAATGCTCATATCAGCTACGAGGCGTGCTTATTTAACAAATACCCTACTGTTGATGGCTCAGATACGTGTGTTCAAACGTGGTAAAGTGCTTTTCATTTCAGTTAAAATATAATGCCTGCTCTTGTTGACGCCGTCAAAAACAATTATGATTATCAGAAAGATTTTTTGTGATATGCAGGATAGGGCTCATCTCAGGTGTAATATTTTACAATTATTCCTGGAGCCCAAATGGGCTCTGAGTATTGACTTAGAGGCCATGAAGAGGAGAGGAATAATTGTTTTAATACAATCCAACTAGCTGTTCAAAAATATCGAGACAAAACAACTTTAGCTAGTTAAAAATAGACTTTTAAGTCCGTTTTTGCAGCCAAAAAGCTGGCGCGTTTCGCTACTAGTGGGCTATAACATAGCCTAGTAGTAGCTCAACCAATCAGAATGCAGCATTTATAATAGACCACTAGTTGGATTTTACTAAAATTTATTACTCTCAGCTGACGTGAAACAAAGACAACTAAGCATCCTTAACAATGAACCTAACCCTGACAATAGTCAATAAAACAAAGAAAACGAATAAATTATATTACACTGGAGATGACCCCAGGATAGTTAAGGTTGAGAGGTTACTGCTTTTTTTTCGTTGGCTGAAAACCGATTCTAACGATTGTTTTATTATATTTTTTATAGAGAAATCATAACAAACGCTCTGTCTTACAGAACACAGAAATCATGCATTGCACACGCAGCCTAGATTTTTCACTTATCAAGCTGATAACTTAATATGTAGTTTGCGCTTATTTCCAGACGTAGCTCAAACTGTAAACTTAGCCATTAAGAAGACAGTTAGTGAGTACGATGTGCAATGGCATAATCAAACGCAGTTATTTGCAATCATATCTCAATCATTCGTTCATCCATCACAGACTGTCGAGCCATCTCCATGGGTCAAGGTCAAGAGGTACATGCGCGAAGATTACTGTCTCAGTTTATGAACGAGGGAGGCTGGGTGCTACTGCAGAATTGTCACTTGGGACTCAACTTTATGGACGAGTTATTAGAAACGGTAGGAGACAACATTTAATTTTTAAACAGCAGTGATAATTTGCTTTACATCGGTTTGCCTAGCAGAGTATCCTCGCTGACTCTAAAAGTGATGCTTGGATAAGTTCGTCTCGATATATTTATCCATTCCAATAACCTCTAGTTTGATTTTCAACAGTTATTGTATCGATAGGCTCTTTAATCGTTTGTCTCACGATAGACAATTTGTTTTTGATATCGATAATGTTTTTGTGTGCGTAATGTTAACCATAAGCTCGCTGTTCTCACATATTCACTTTGCATTTGAACTGGACAATGATTTCGAGTGCCTAGTGCTGGTCTTCACAAGGCGATGGTTTGGATTTACTGGGCGGGAAAATTAATAGCACCATGGTTACTTGTAATTGTTGCTTAACGCACCTAGTTTACCGCTCAAAATTTTGCATAACCATTATTTCTATTTTTTCTTGGGTATCACAGTCGTCCCAAGAGAAATCGAAGTCAATGGTTGTGCAAAATTTTGGAGGGTAACAAGGTGCATTATGGTTTATGTGAAAATGATGAGTTGCGAACCTCACTCATGCTTGCATTGGTGTTTTCCATCCTAAGTATTGTTGGCATGGTTAGTCCCGCTCAGGAAATCGACATTATTAGAGAGTTTGAGCTTCACTAGTGACGTATGCGCCAAACGGAAAACGTCAGACTCAAGTTGAGAATTTCTCAAAATAAAAAATGAGCAGATAAAAACACCTCAGAAAATTCTTTTGGAGAAAAAAAATGCGTGAAACCACTAGTTTATGTGTGGAAATAATGAACAGTGGGTAAGGGAAAACTTGGTCACGTGGTACAAATTCGCGTTTGCCGTTTGACGTAAACTTGATGCTTAACTTCTCTATTGTCATTGTTATTTATTTTGCAGATTACGTCAACTGAGAATGTTAATGAGAAGTTCCGTCTGTGGATAACAACTGAGGTTCATCCTAAGTTCCCCATTACTCTTCTGCAGTCGTCTATCAAGTTTACTAACGAACCTCCGCAAGGCATTAAAGCGGGTCTGAAGAGAACCTACGCTGGCATCACACAGGTCTGTAGTGAAAAATCATCGACATGTCGCGCAAATGGCGGCGATATTTCGATTACAATACTTATACATCGACAGCCTCACATTCACATGAGGCTCAATATGTATCAGACAGTGTGAGACTAGGGTACCATTTATGCAGTGTCCACGGGTGTTGCCATCAACTGTATATCAAGGTAATTTAATAGCAAAGACAGGAAGTAAACCAGTTGGCAATTTATAAGCAAGGCCGAGGATGTGAACTTGGGATTACTAACAAACAAATCCAGCTAGTGGTAAGGGCGAGACTTGAATTCAAGACATCCAAATGGCAAAGTCGGTATTTTGACCTCTCTGCCATACTGCCTGGTGTTTGGTGATTGATTTTTTTTCCTCGTTGTTTTACTTGATTAGCTGGGAAGAATCTCGCCACTTTCCCACTAAGTCATTTGTAAACTCTTACCAGCCATGACTTGCTTAGCGTCAATATTTCCTTGTAATCAAGACTGTGTGCCTGTTATGTAAACAGTAACGGACTGATCACCAGGGACTTCGTTAAACAATACTTGAATTAAAATTGTTCTTGTATATTGTTTATCCTTAGGATCAACTTGATGTCACAAACATGCCACAGTGGAAGCCTATGCTGTACGCTACAGCTTTCCTACACACTATCGTACAAGAGCGTCGTAAGTTTGGTCCTTTAGGATGGAATATTCCGTATGAGTTTAACTCTGCTGATTTAACAGCTTCTGTGCAGTTTATTCAGAACCATCTGGATGATATCGACCCCAAGGCGGTAAGTGTTTTGCACCAAGCGTTGCTTGAAAAAAGCATGGAAAAAAGCCATTGACAGTTCTTTGCAAATTTGAACTCGATCTTTCATCCTTCGTATTATTTTCATCATGAGCTTCTGTGGGTAAATCTAGCTGGATGTTTGATATTGTTACCGCCAAATAGAATTGCCACCAGATAGAGTGAAACAAAACGATAAATTCTTAAAGCATTAATAGAAGGTATAAATAACAGGGAAACATAAAATAATAAGGCACAGATGGACAATCTCGAAAAAGAATTGCACCGATTGATTTGGGGTTTGCGGAGACTCGTTGGGCTAACAGTTTTTCAAAGTTCATTTGTGTTTTTTGTAACGTGTGATATTATTCTGGTGAGACAAACTTGTTTATTTAAAGCTGTAATTTTGCCATTTACAACTAGTTTTGTTTTCGCTAACTTCAGGGTCCTTAGTGAAAGACGACGCGCAGTTGGCAACAGTAACTCTATAAGCCAGAAAGAGTGATCAGCATCAAATTTCATCTTATTAATATCAACGCTTTATAATACGGGGACTATCTATCTTATTGATACTTCAACATCCTCTCACCCCTACTTTTAGAGGAAACGTATAGGAGTAACAAATGAGAATTTGAGTCTTGATATTAGGTTTTGAAGGGTGAACAAAAGAATCTAGGCAGCCGCGTGACAGCCCCTTTAAACAAATTCACCTTTTCTCCTTCCAGGGCGTGTCATGGGTAACAGTACATTACATGCTTGGTGAAGTCCAATATGGTGGGCGTGTCACTGATGACTTTGACAAACGCTTACTCAACACTTACGCACGAGTATGGTTCAGTCAGGAAATGTTTAAAGACACATTTAAGTTCTACCAAGGATACAATATCCCTCGCTGTGCACAGATCGCTGATTTTAAGGCTCATATTGATGAAATGCCAATGTCAGATACGCCAGAGGTAGGATAACGGAAACCCTTTCTTTATCTTATTATTTTATGGCCCACTGTGGGTTAAATCTGCAACTAATGCAGTTCAGCGTGATGAGACCATTTTAGCAGGACTGTTAACTGAACTGCTCCCAACTATGACAAAGGCTATAAGATATTGCCTCAGGAATAGTAATTCTTTCTTAACCGAAGAGGTACACCGCGAGTGTATAATAAGATCATGCTCTATCTACATTGTACATTTCTGTATGCCTGTCACAAGCAGGAATTCTTTTTTTCCCTATTTAAAAAAAAAATATACAGCCTGACTATTTCCTGACTTCATGAAAGAGACACGAAAAAAGCCCAATCGTAGGTCAGCCTCATGCCAATAGTTTCCTACAATTTCTTTACAACTATCGTAAAATTAGTCTTCAAACTTCTTAGAGAAAAAGTAAGAAAATGGTTAAGGAATGCGTTTAAATCTCGTCAAACACTGCTGAGAGTAAGGCTACGATATTCTAGGAAATTTATTATTAACACACTACCCGATTAGAATAAAGTAGCAATTTGTGTTTTAATAAGTTTTTAACCCTCATATTTTTAACAGTCATATTTTAACACTCGTATTTTCAAACTTGATGAAAACCCACGTGCTTGTGTAGTAAACTTTTTTATAAACAAATTCCATGCAAATGCTAACTCCATATCTTAAACTGTCCTTACTTTTTCAGGTTTTTGGTCTTCACCCGAACGCTGATATAACATATCAAACGAAGACCACTTCAGACGTGTTGGAAACAATTGTGAACATCCAACCTAAAGACAGCGCTGGAGGATCAGGAGAGACTCGTGAATCACTTGTAGCGCGTCAAGCCACTGAAATGTTGGATAAGCTACCGGCGGATTACGTTCCTTTCGAGGTCAGGCACTTTCCCTGGAATATTACTTATCTTGTGCTATCTTGTGCTCGTTCTTGCATAAGCTTTTTCGCAGCTTTTAGTATTTCCTTCGTTTTTCTCTTCAATTGACCATTTTCGAGTTGCCTCTAGTTTTTTTTTTTGTTGTTTTCCTTTTCTTCTGTTTGTTTGCAAACGTAACTCCTTTTCGCATGAAAGTTCTGCACTCGGCCTCAACTTCAAAGTGAAGGTTCTTGGAACTCAGAAATGACCTATTGCTTAACTCACTAAAAGTGTTTGTGTTGGAAGATTTTAACTGTATGCGCACTTCCTCAATATCATTTAGATCCTGGTTATTTAGCGAATAACTAAGAACGTTGTTGGTCATTTTGAGGTTGGGAGTGAGACTGGATTGGTTTTGGCTCGTAATACACTATTGCGCTGGAGACTGGATCAATATTCGTTATCCAAACAGTCCCATAATGCAATTCGATACATCACCGTCCCAGTCTCCCGCTCATCTTTAAGATGTCCATTGCAATTCTCAGCAAAAACATTCGGTTTCGTTTACAATTATGATATACTGTCAATGCCAGCTTCATTAACAATTGTTTCAGAAGTTGTGCTTTGTGTTAGATCTGCGAACTTTCTTTGGTCTTCTTTCTGAAGAAAGCGTTCTCAGTTTACGTAGTTTACTGTGCGACCGTTTCAGCAGGACGTCGTGTGTCAGATCGTGCTTTCATGTTTTTTTTTTTAATTGACCCACCTTTCCTTCCTTAATTCGCAACAGGTGAAAGCGCGTCTCCAGAAAATGGGTGCGCTGACCTCCATGAATATTTTCCTTCGGCAAGAAATTGACCGCATGCAGAGAGTGATAACAGCTGTAAGGAGCACACTGGTGGATCTTAAACTCGCTATCGATGGAACCATCATCATGAGCGAGAACCTTAAGGACGCTTTGGACAACATTTATGACGCTCGAGTGCCTGGCCTTTGGAAAAAAGTAAGGGTACCTCGTTAGGGTTTTATTCGGCTACCTGAATTTGGGCTAAAATAGTCAAGGGCTGTTACGGCTCCCTGAAATGAGTACCAGAGAAGGCTAAAATATTTTTCTGACATGGCTGTTTGTTTCCCCACTTTTGTTCCACTGGAGGCTGAATCAGACTTGCTGTCCCCAAAGCTAATTACGCTTTGGGGGCTTAAAAAGTGAGGTATATTCTAGACCGCGGAATAGCCGATTAGAGTAACAAGCTTCTACTTCCTTTTTAAAGTAATACTACTGCCTAAACGTAAGGTCGTGAGCATGTTATGAAGTAACTAATTACTGACCTAGTATCGACAATAAAAATTGTTTGATAATATTCTTCTGTTCGAATTTCTAGTGAACATAACAATGTTTATGGTCAATCAAAAAAAATAAGGAAAGAGAAGTGAAAAATTAGTAGAAATTGAATTACCTTTTGCAAGACCTTACAACTGAAAAATCTCCCTTGCGTCAGATCATGCAAGATCGACTTGTCTTTTAAACCTACCCTTTCTTCATTCTGACAGATATCCTGGGATTCAACCACCCTCGGTTTTTGGTTTACCGAACTGATTGAGCGCAATAATCAGTTTTCGTCCTGGTTATTTGAAGGCAGGCCCAGTGTGTTCTGGATGACTGGTTTCTTCAATCCTCAGGTAAGACTACGGTCTCCGCTTTTACAGAGCGATTTCGTGTCAGTTGGTAGTGAAATGTTCCCAAAGATGAGTGGAAAAGTAAACTATACAGAGTTATAAAATGTTTGCCATCTCTGTACTTTATATCACAACAAACCCTAAAAATTACATCTTCAGCGGTATCAATTCACTCCGTCACCCTGACATCCTCTGTCTCTTCATTGTTTCTTCAAAATCCTTTTCTGACAATTAAAACTTTTGTGAACTTAGGAGGCATTCATTGATTGAAATATTTTTGGGAGACGGCACCGATTGCTACCGTTAACTAAAATATTAAGGACATTTAGACCTGAGTACGAGACGGTTCCGTTCTCAGTACGAGTACTATTTGAGGAATTCCATAGCTCCTTTTCTTTTGTGATGCATATCTGTGTGGCAAGTGTCGTGTGAAGCACACGATCTGGATTTATAAAAGTTTACTTAAATTAATTATCGTACTTGACTTGAAGTCCAATTGACGAATGGTCCATGCTGCGAACACTCGTTGGCGGCTCAGGTCGTCATTCTCCTTATTTCTTTGAACATTTCGCTCCTGGAGTCAATTTTGGGGACATTATAGATCTTACTTTTGCGTCCGTTGAGAAGAAACTTAGAGTATGACCATGGAAACTAAAACTTTTTTTTTAATTGTTGTGAGCGTCATAATTATTATGGCAGTTCAATAAATGGAGGTACGTTTTTTCTCTTCTTATAGGGTTTCCTGACAGCTATGAGTCAAGAAATCACTCGTGCACACAAAGGATGGGCGCTCGACAACGTTGCTCTAGCCAACGACGTCACTAAGATGATGAAGGAGGATGTATCGTCTGCCCCTGCAGAAGGAGTTTATGTGCATGGCTTGTTTCTGGATGGCGCTGGCTGGGATCGAAGGAATTGCAGGCTCATGGAACCCGCGCCTAAAGTTCTGTTTACCGCGCTGCCTGTGGTTCACGTTTACGCGGTTAATACGGCCGCTATGGCAAAAGACTCGAAAGATAACAAAGATGCGCTGAAGTTTTATGAGTGTCCTGTGTATAAGAAACCAAGGCGCACAGACTTGACGTACATATTCTGTTTAAATCTCAAGACCTCGCAACATCCCGATCACTGGATTTTGCGTGGTGTGGCGCTTTTATGCGACACAAAGTAGCGATCTTTTTGAAGTGTGACATTTTTGTTTGTTTTCTCTTATCTGTAAAACTTTCGTGTGTATTTTTCACCAATAAGGAATCTAGTTCTGTCTCAGTGTGACACTGAATGTCGTTTTTATGGGAGCTTGTTTCCATACAAAATCGTGTTCATTTGACCGTCTTTTGTACATCGTGGTCTAAAAAAAGGAATGATGCCCTTCTTACCTTAGTTCATTTCTTTTTCCTTGAAGGAAAAGCATTTTTCTCTTCTTCAAAAACAAAAAGGAGCAAAATTTAAAAAGTAGCTGATCGCAGGTTAGTGGTGGATGCAAGGACAAATCAAATAGAAAATGCATTTATTTTTGGGTACTAAGTTGTTCTATATAGTTTTGCGAGTTATATTTTTATTAAAAACCTGGAAATTTGATTTCTTAACGTAACGTATTTGTAGAATTTAGTTTTGTTTAACAACGAAGTAGCGGCCAGTACTTGCGGGATTTCACTTATTTTTTTTTTTTACTTACTTGAGGATTTACTTACCTGGCATTTGAAAGTGGTAAAGGAAATACTTAAAGCGTGTTTGATATATTACAACATATCCAGTTAGCGTTAGATGCTTAAATTGTCAACCAAAGAGAGTGAATTAATTTATTTAAAATACAGTGTGAATGCGAAATGAGGAAATAAAGAAAAAAACCTTGCATTGAAATAAAAATTGTCCATAGTAACATGTTATGTATGGCTTTAGCGACTCCCAACGGACGGACGTTCAGTAGATCAGGGTTCGTACAGTTCTTGAATTATTGTTTACCCAGCAATTTTCCAGACCTGGAAAAAGACTGGAAAATGGAGATAAAGTCTGGACAAATAGTAAAAAGAATTGAGTTTTTTTTTTTTTCAAAGCTACAACAAGTGCTTTAGAAGTGAATTTTTGTTTTTCATTTTGGTCAAATCTTATTCAATCTCGCCCGTTTGTTTGCAGCGTACCTTAAAAAAGCTTTGTTTCTTCGTTTTTAAGGTCTCTATTGATCACCTATTTGATAACCTTGAGTCTGAAAAAAGAAATAATTGTTTTGGAAAAAAGTCTGGAAAACGT